AAGCCTATCGGATGCTGTAGAACCGCTGGACTTGTGCCAGGGTCTACCAAAGTGACTTATCGTCCTGGCCCCCAAAATTGGGGTAAAATTGATTGGTCCTAAGAGGAACTGGGCGGCGAGATTCCAGGATCTGGGCGACCCCTTCAAGACGTAACCAGTCCTCTACCTCAGCAATCCAGCAGAGTTCCTTGTCAGAACGCCCCTCTGAGCGGATGGTTTTAATGCCGAGTTGCCTGCACTCGTTCAGGATGTCAGAACGGTCGTCGATGAGACAATGTGCCTGAAGAGCGGAGATGATAGAGGATTTGCCCTGCCTACCGCAAGGATAGCGTGCCAGGTGCACTTCTCTAAACGGCAAACCTTCCGCAATGAGCTGGCTAATCACGTGCTCTGCACCGGCCTTGGTGCTGTCAATCTTAGATTGGCCGGCGTATGAGACAATGTGGAACTCAATTTGATTACCAGCAATCCTAGTCAATGACCGAAGCTTATCAACTAAATGGGAAGATAATTCACCTACGGGGTTGAGAGCCTGGTCAATGGTATCGTGCCAGTCGATACAAACAACTACATTGGATGTATTAACGTGGACTACCTTAGAGACTAAGTTGGGTTGGTGCTGGTAATGTCGCGGCACAGAGCCAGCGACCCCCTCAGGCCGATCTGGTGTTGGGTCAGGTAAAGGCCGCCCACGGACGTGGGGTGCAAGGCCAGAACCTGAACTTTGCTCTTGATGCGGCTGCTGCTGTCCTTCGGGATCAAGCGGAGGCAAATCTCGGGACGGTGGACCAGCAGGTCTTGGCCCCCCAACTCCTGGCGGAGGAGGTTTTACGGGCTTAAGGTTAGCTGGATTAGGGGGAACTGGCCTATTAGGTCTTGGGGGAATTACCACAGGTGCAGCGGGTGCAGCAGGTGCCACGGGCGCAGCAGGTGTTGCAGGCGCAATATTCACAGGTGGATGTTTCCAAGGCAGATTCTTCTTTTTCTCTGGAGCTGGTGGCAACGGTTCTGGCCTTTGGGGCGTGTCGGGGACAGCAGCCCCCTTTGCACGGATTGGCACAGGAACGGAACTAGCTCTTTTGCGAGACTTAGATGAAATCTTATTTGAAATTGGTACTTCCCTTCCCCTTGTTCTGGCAGCAACTGCGGGCGCAGTTTCGGCTGAGGGTGCTCTTGACCTGGATCGCGCAACGGGAGAGCCGGCTGGCTCTGATGCAGTCTCTGTCGCGACACGGGCTGTGTCAGCGACCCCAGTTCCAGCACTTTGCAAAGACTGCCTCCAGGGATAAGCTGAACTACTAGAACCGCTTAATGGGGGAACAGTCAAAGATGGTACTGTTGGGGCTGCAGGTGGTGGTGCAGCAGAAACTGGATCTTTTCTGGGCTGTGCCGGCTTATCACGTTGGATTCGGGAGGTTCTTATGTTAGGACGCTGTCTCTTTGGTGGAGACTCAATTGGACGGGCAGGGGTGCGCTCAGCGAAGCCAGCGTCGAAAGGTTCTTGCTGGCCGACAAATGCCTGACCTGATGAAACAAACCTGGCGGTTCGAGTCTCAGCAGTTTCAGAGCCCTCAGATTCTGTACCGGGGTTATTGGTGTCAAGATTATAAACACTATTGGGGTCTAAGTTACTTGAACCAAGAACAGTCCGATGGGATCTAAGTGCAGGATCACGCCACAACGAGTCGGGAAGCTCGTGTGGGTTGACCCCAAGCTCTGGTGCCACGGCGTGAGGCACAATGAACGGCAAAGTCTGCGGCGCGTACGCGATCGGAGGATCAGCGACCCTAGCCCAGGTGCCAGCGGAGTCAATTCTAATTTCGGGGTAACCGTGCACTTGGGGTCTTAAAGCAAGAGGTCTCCTAGAGACACCGGTTATGGTTCGGGCTCTAAAAAGTTCTTGATTAAGTTCAATGCGTTCACGGGTTTCCCTTGGGACTAGATTGACAGGCAATGGCGGATTGGACCTAGTTCTTTTAGGCCTACGACGGCGCGTGGAAACCTCACGGCCGTGCTCTGTTGGTGCAAAGTCAGGGAATTCGGGTTCAGCTTCGGCCTCAACCTCAACTTCAACCACTTCGTCCTCCTCCAAAGCTTCCTCTTCCTCTTCCTCCTCCACCCACTGCTCCTCTTCAGGCGGTAGATCGTTGGGACCCTCCGGAGCAGCCTCTTCTCGCGCCTCTGCTGGCTGGGAACTGCGGGCAGCGAGCTCCTGTGCAGTCGGCGGCGGATGAGATGGTGGCGGTGGTAAAGGTGGTTGTTTATGAAGGGTCGGACCAGGGGGAATGTTATTAGGTGGAGGTGGCAAACCTTGAATTCTATCTGCAAGGGTTGTGGCACTAGAATCAGGAGCTTTAGGCCTAGCTTTAGCTGGTGGCTTAGCAGGGCTAGCAGCTGGGACTGGTGCTACGTCGCGCCCAAAGGCAGCGACCCCTTGAGAATCTGACTTTGGGGCTTGTGGGACCGGATGGACAGAGACAGTAACCCTTGGACGTGGTGGCACTGCTGGCTCAGGTGGCCTTCTCAAAGAAGGTTGCCAGTTCGGCGGTGGGTGCCCAGGCTCCTTGGGTCCTTGCTGGACCGGAGTTGGATCTGTGCCTCCACTTGCCGCGCCAGCAACGGGTGTTGCGGCAGCAGGCCTTACCACTTTTGGACGGGGTTGCTGCTGTGGGCCTACGTATCTATAATACCTATCCCACTCTTCTGGGCGCGGGTGCTCTGCCCCTAAGATGCGTTGATTGATGATCCTTTTAGGGGGTAGTTCACCAGAGTTTATCACTTGTTCACCGTGTGAAATACCTCTGCGCCTGTCCAAACCGTAGATGTGTGCCCACTCTTTGTATGGGATGAGGATTTGATAGGCCAAAGCTAAACACTGTGATGTTGGGAACTCCTCAACAAGTCTTGAATGAAGAGCTATCAACCAGCGAGTGCTTTCGTCGGCGTATTCGTAAGAAATCTTTCTTAACCAAAAGCCACCTACGATATCCCCTCCGGAGTTATGGTAAAGCCAATTTTGGTATGCCTCGAAGTCGCTCCACCAAGCTCGCTTTGCTTCTTGCCACCTGGTTGTGGTACCACCCCTGCTGGATCGAACCCTTGGTCGATGGGCTGTTGATGAACTAGCGGGGGAATGTCCTACTTGGATAGGATCGGCACCTGGGTCAACAAGATTAGGGCTAGTTGGTGGTGGGACTATTTGATCGGGGCAACGGGCAACTAGTGTTGGCTTCTGTCGCGACACCGGATGTGTCAGCGACCGCAGGCTCAGGCACGGATGCAGATGGTTCGGATGCAACGGATGCCTCTCCTACTGGACCTGCCTCGTCACCTAAACCCAAAAGATCGGATGTCTCAACCTGCTGTTCGGCTTCTTCAATCTCGGCGTCTACGTGCTCTGAAGGTGATGGTTGAGGATAGATTGAAAGTCTTCTTCCTTAGCTTGATCAAGGTCCGTGAAAGCTGCTTCTGCCGGATTGTCCGCGTCTGGAGGAGCTTCCAAAAATGTTTGATCTGAAGTTGACTGCTCAAAATCACCCTCTGTCGCGACGGGCTCGTCAGCGACCACCTCCGGAACACCAATTGCAGAAAGGACCGCGTTGAGCGACTCGGCCTCTTGAACCTCTTGTTTGACCTGGGTCAGTCCAAGTTCTCCAGAAGGCACGGGCGCAGTGGACCCCTCAGAAAGATCGGCCCAGTTTCTGGGCTCCTCCGCTACCGGGTCAACAGTCGGTGGAAGATTCTCTTCAACACCTTCTGCTTCACCAGCCGCTTCGGATCCGTCCACTGGTGTTTCCGTCGCGACGTAATCGTCAGCGACTTCGTCCGACCCTTCTGCAGGCATGCAACAGCGAAAGACAGTGAGCGAAGCGAAACCAGGGGCCTAAACCAGTTGTGGTAGGAATAGAAACCCCAAAAGGCAAAACAACCAAGAAAACAAGCCTTACGGCTGATAACCAGACAAAAGGGGGGTCGAACCAAAGATGTTCCTACCACAACCCTTTACCATAAACAAAACAAGTAGAACCGCAAGCACACTTTTGTGCACTTGAGCCATAGGGTCGGTAGCATACTTAATTATACCCCTTTACCCAGGTGGTTGTTAGGGTGAAGGGGAAAGTATCTAGCTCTACCTAGGGCTACTCTCCTTATCTAACATGATTGGAATAGCTAATTGGTGTGTTGGACTCATAGCTAAGGCATAACTACCTACACTGGACCTACTACCTATGCTATACATGGTGGGGCTCAGGGGTCGGTATATTTCAACTAATATCATGAAGATCATGTAATAGGTCATGGAATATCATATCATATCGCATGATCCAATGGTCATGTCATGGAATATCATGTGATTTTTATGTGATATAGGATTCCAAGCCCTTGGATCATGTATTCATGATTTTGCCATCTATCAGTCTATCACCCAAAAATGGTTTGGACGGTTCCGTTTGGTGAGAAATGCGTTGTTGGATAGGTAAGAAGGGATTGGGTGAGTGAGGAATGAAGTAACTGAGACATGGCCACTCATCGGAGGAAGTACTGGTTGAATGAACTTGGTTAATGTATATCTGGTTGGAGTGAGTTGCATGAGTCGGATGATCCAGTTGTCAACTTGTTGTAGGGCCGTCTGTGCCGAAAATTGGTGGTGAAGCGGGGGGTTCGAGAACCAATTGGAAAGAAGAACGTTGCAATCCATCAGCCAAACAGTCCCAATCACCAAAAGGGGGCTACTGCTCTGGCATAAAACATGGATCCAAATGGGTTCATAACTTAACGCTACACTAGCTATTTTAAACAGCAAATCATCAGTTTCCCCCAAAACACTTGGATGACCCTTCGGATTTGATCCTATCCACCCATGAAACCACAATTTAGTCAGTTAGTATTAATTAGTACAGATCTGTTTGGGACCATAGGGTGCTGTGTTTGATATTACTAGGATGGAATTAGTGGGTCCTCCATTTTCTGGAAACAACCCAGCCCTTCAATCTCCGCGCCTGATCGCCCGGTGCCAAGATGGGGCCCAAAGGCGGTGTTGTAGGGGGAGACGCCACCGGAGTGGGCGATGGCGTGGGAAAATCCTCAGTGGCACCATCTTGGAACCCTTCAAGGTGCCCAACATTCTTTGAGAACACCTGGATATATTATGATGAAGCTGTTGGCGAGGGCAAAACATATAGACAAAATAATTAAGTTTTGCACCCGGAAGAAACCAGCGCACTCACAAAATCAAAGCGGATCATGACAAATGACAGCGGACATCGGGGTTTGTCAATGACCGAAACTGACCAGTCTCAGAGTCCAAGATCTGCGTTTCCCATTTTTCTAAGGTGAGTCCCTTTGCAACGAAAATTATAATCAATCAAATATCATCAAATATCAAGCCGAATCAAGTCAAACCAGAATGGAATTGGAATCAACTCAAATCATGTGGCTACATTTGTCAGGTGCCAGGAGCCCCCCGGTGTATATACATGTTACATGTGGCTATAGTTGGCAAAACACAAAGGTACGAACCAAATTCTGCCCCGAAAAGCAGGTTCTACGACCACTCACCGAGAAACAGGTTCCTCAGGTGGACTCTGAGGAGAAGCACCTGGGAACACTGGGGAGAAAGGCTATATGCCAAAGAGCTGCCAAGTTGTAACCAAAGAAATTCAATAGAAAAATATGTGTGTTGTAATGTATTGTATATAATATAAAATAATAGAAATGATTATGTAAAATATTGTAAACAATTGCATTTTAACACATTTTGACCATTGAATAGGCATATTTGACATACCATTTCTTAGATCGATGGATTCTTTCTGGCCTTCCTCTCCTTCTGCAGTCGTCTCCGAGGCTGGTGGTTCTGTGCGTCCTGGAGACTCCTGAAGCACCGCATCAGAGAACAGATCCAGGAAACGCTTTGATGTCAAAATTATATTTATTTTTGCACTTGGAACTGATGCCTTGGAAACGTGGATCTTACTTGCAATATATGTTCCACTGCTCAATATTGGTGTGTGAAAATGGTTGCTTCTGGGAGAACCTTGTGGCAGCTTCTAAACCAAAAAACAAAGAATCACAAGACTTGATCCACTGACTACATCTGCCCCACCCGTGGCAACAGTGACTGTCCTGCATCAGTTGTGCCATTGGTGTTGTGGGCTTCGGAGCCTGCCATGCAAATCTAGAGACAAAGCTCACATCAACTTCCGGTCAGGTAGTGCCGTAGCATAGGGCATGTTCTTTTTGAGCACTTGGTCATGAACTGAAGATAACTGAAGGACACCCCTATCAGAATTCCATGATTACTACTAGCGAAGGATCCTGAGGTGAGGGAAAAGTAAATGAAAAGCAAATGAAAATGAACAGAAACATCTGCTTCCGGCTACCCTCTTCCCAGCAAATTCTCAGCCCCTTCTTCCAAGGTGTGCCTCCACCCTGAATCTCTGCAAACTTAAAAGAAGAGATGCCGCAAGGATGGCCTGTTACAAACAAATCCAAATGTGATGTCAGGGGATGGTAGGGGCAGCTGTCCCAGGAAATAGGCGGGAAAAAAAAATACACCCACTTCATACCCTGAGCTAATTTGATCCAAGTTGTGGGGTTGTAAGTTCTGGAATTGAGCGATGCCATGGCAAACTGAGACAACATGCACACTGTCAACTTGCAAGATCATCGCCGGTCCAATGCCAATAGCACTGCCCAAAAATCCACTTGTCCCGACCAGCACCGCACAGTATCTGCGCAGCCTCCGGCTGGGCTTGTAGAAGCTCTTCAGAGGTCTCTGTCTCGGGAAAACCGAGGATCTCCAAATGGAAGACCTCCATGTGATACCTCGGTTGCTAGTCTTCAAACAGTGGAGAGAGGGGTTTGGCAGCTGGGCAGTTAGCATTTGGAAACGGCCTTCAAATTTTTGCCTTGGCATGTTCTTGTATGCTTCCAATGTAAGCCTTTGTGACCCAATCATAGTGACCAAAAGGGTCCAGCAACAAAATTCAGATCTGGATCGCCTTGTGGAGACCTATTCCTGATGATTTTTCCCTGTTATCATTCCCTTGCTTGGCAAAATCAATGTCACCAATTGCAGTATGAAAACCCCCTTTTCACTGCCTTGTCCCAATCTTCCTATCCATCCATACAAGTGATTCCCAGTAAAATCCCTACGTATGTTTGTTGGTTCAAATCCGATAAAATCACTAACTACAATCCTATGAATATCGCAATTATATGCAATTATCCCATTATTGTTGGTTATTCATCCTACTAAGTCCTATTAAATCCTAATATACCCCGTTATTGTTGCTTATTCCATCTCAGAAACTTGGTTCAGCCACAGGTCTAAGATGAACACCTTGCCAGGTGCGATCCAAGTGACGGTGCGGGCGCCGGCGCACGGCGCACCTGTCCCAGTTTGCCGCGCAGAAAGGGCGGCAGAAGCAGCTCGTGCGCCTTCAACTGGATGGCAGGCTTATCACACAGTCTACCCCTATGAATATCCGTTATTATGGTACATTAATGGGTCTTAATGGACATGTGACATGAAGTTCAATGATTGGATCAATGAATGTAGATGATGGACATGACAGAACCATTCACTGGAAAAGTTTGAAATGATAGTACCAGGAGGTTGATGAAGAACCATGTGGTTTCAGAAAGGATTGGGCTTGAAAGGGACGATGTATTCACAATAAGTTTTTTCTTCCACCACGAAAGGATACCAACTGATCCAAAATCTGGGTGTTCCACAGCATGGAATAAACCCAGGCCTCTGCCGACCTTTCCGTTGGCATTTCAGATCCTGAGCAGCTGCTCAATGGTTCGGGATTCATTGCCTCCAACTTTGCCGTACTTGTGCCGATGGAAGGTGTCCCTCTATGTACTTGACAATCTTGCCATTGACAATATATATATATATAATATACAATATATTAATTAGGGGGATCAAGCAGTGGAGTAAGCACCCAACTACTGAGGAAACAAACGGCAAAAAGAATGAAGGCCTAGAATCTAGAAAGTAGCAGCCGGAAGAAACATACGCCGCAAAGCCGCAAAAGCAAATGAAATCACAAGTTCTCGATGAATGAGTTGAAAGTTGGCAAAATAATGCAAAAGAGATCCGCAGAAAAAAACACCATGAGTTTCTGATTCCAAATGCAATGCGCCCCAAATAGGTCAGTTGGGCCACCAATGCAGGCATACCCGATGGAGATCTTACAAAGTCATCATCAACCAAAGTTGCATCTTATGATGTGTTCATATCTGTTCGTTGTAGATAACCTCCACGGTTAGTGTTTTTTCAAACAGATTATCACATGCAACCACAACAGTCACGTGTTGGAATGGCGTCACCCTGCGGCCAATAAATCAATAAATCCAAAGATCCTTCGATGGCAGCCGCCAAGTCATGAACATCCACCGCTTGGCGGGCGATGTGCGCGTCGAATTCCAGCAGGCACCTCGGATAGGCAACAGGTTCCAACGACCAATGGACCGTGGGACTTGAATTGCATGAAGGTGACCTACAACATCTTGGTAAAAACACATGAAAACTATCAATCTTGGGCATTACCATCATCAATCACAAGACATCATAAGACTCACATGTAAACAAAACTATCAATTCCCATCCTCAGCCCCGGAGTCACTGCCAGGCAGGATCCAAATTCAAGAACCAAGGCGCGGTACACAGCCTTGAGGCAGCAGCTCCAAGCCCTGCCAAGGCTCTTGGTTGGCCACCTCAATCATCGTGGCATTTTGGCTGTCGCTGCCCAGCTGATTGTGGCATAACATCTCTCTATATATCTTCGTCACGCGGGCCAAAGGTGAAACGACCCTAAGTAGTGGCAAATGACTTTGCTGAAATTGTCATGTTTACTTGGTGGTGCTTCTTTGGCACCACAGTATTCAAGACACATTAAGCTCCACTCATCTGTCTACTGCAGGTCAGAGGCCGGACCAAAGCCATTGCCACTGCTGTCTTCAAGGAACATCCGTTGAATCGATGCGATGTCTGCACGAAGCAGCTGTATCCGACTTTGAGTTGAGGCAATTTTGTGCTCCAGTTGCATCGTCACAAGTTGTGACTTCAGGGTTTCTGATCGTTCACAGCCCCCATGAGAGTTTTGAAGGCTTGTTTGAAGTACCTTGATCTGTCTTGCCCGCTCGCACCCAGCTGCATCCAAACGAGCATAGCGCTTTTGATTTCCCTTGTTGGAAAATCCAGTCTTTCGCAATTCCGCGTGAGAAGCACGAAACAACATCGATGCTAGAACATTTGAGGCAGTCACTCTCTTGACAAGCAACCCATGGACCAAAAGCTGTTGAAGAATGCGGGTGACTGCAATGAAACCACTAGCCATGATGTACTTGCAACTCACGCCGTGTGGACCTGAAACCTGATGCGAACCTGTTTCAGATTGTAAGAATGACTTGATGGAGAGCAAAACAGCTGGATCCTTTTGAGACAATTCCAGCTTAACCGACTTGCTTATTGCACAGACTTTTATGCAACCTTCTGCATCAAAAAATCCAGCAACGTATGACCATGACAGCCTTGCAGTTTTCGGCGGACATAAAGGACGCTTCTTTAGCTCTGCAAGTCTTGAGCTGCAATGAATTCTTTCCAATGTGTTACTGGGCCACGTTGCGGCAATACTGAGCTGCTCCTTTTTAACAACACAATGCTCCTGCAGGAGCTGTGCTGCCAAACCAGATTTTTTGCCATGAATTTGCCATTGTAGGCATGGCCGTTTGCAACCTTTGCCATGTGATAGCACGCGGACAGTGCCCCCAAATACACGCAAGAAGGCCAACAAGACTTCTTGCCCGCAAACGCTCTGACCAACTGACAAAGTGCAACCGGACAAACTCGTATGTGCACCTACATAGCCATCCCCATCAAAGAAGCCTGCGAGATACTCCAAGCCTGCTTCGGGAAGAAGCTGACTAAATGCCGACATATCCACTCTCCTCGATGACAACGGGAGCTCGTAATAAACACTCCCAAGCTCCAAATGCCTCAGCCTCGGCCACCTTAGGCCTTTAACATATTTCTGCAAGCGTTGGCTAATGGTCACCAACTTTTCCAGGTATTGCGGTTCAAGGTGTGTTCCCCGCGTCTGGCTGGTGGGAAGCAATGCGGCTGACGTCGCCAGGCGAAGTGAGTGGCGAGAGCTGCAACTGAAGCTGCGCTTGCGCAGTAAACATAACATGGAAAGCCCTAGAGAAGTCAGAGAGGGAGACAACGGCAAAAGCTATCAACACATACTGGAGGCTGAATGGCTCAACATGAGCAAACAACAACATGTCTTGACGGGGTCTGAATGGCCATAGACCAATGTTGGGGTGAAAGCTGACTGGGTTTCCACACGCTCTGCACGGCATCAAAGCACAAGAACTGGTCGTCCTGTGCACCTCAAGAGTTTGGACCGGCGTCCTTTCCGCCTGGTGATTCAAAGACTTCAGAAGGCAGCCATGGTAAAACAAACATCTGGCAAGTAGTAAAACAAACAACTTGCAAGTATAGGAGGATAGTAGTAGGGGTAAGTGGGCGTGGAGGAAAGTGTATGCTGAAACATGTTCAATGCTGCTCATACCAAACATTACCAAACTCATGTAAAATACAATCTTAAATGTTGTTTGAAGTAAAGCATCTGCAGTGCTGCAGTCAAACGTCAAACATGCAAGACTCAACAGGACAACTCCATATCTACTTGGCGGTGCTCCTAAGATCCTGGGTCAATCTCAAGTGACCCCGCCAATGCCATATCTGCCGAGACACTTTCTAGACGCTGCCAGAGCTGCTGTGGTACCCAACACAGCCGGTAGCAATGGGAGAGTTCCTGATACCGCGGCAGCAGGATGTCTGGAGCTGGCACAATCAGAAAACTTTGAAGAAATGGTTGCCAGAAAGATCCGTGAATTTTAGGGGCTAAGCTTCCTGATCAACTTCGTGATGTGCATGCAATGTAGGAAAAAAACATGAAAGCTGTCTAGTGTTGGCCTATCATTTAGGGTAGATTTGTAGCTCCATATTGGCAAAAGAGAAGCACTAGAGCTCCTTCAGCCAAACAAGTTTGAATAGGTACAAGGAAACCTCCACAAGCAACCTACCTTGAGGAATGTAAAGGAAAAGCAGGGGAGGTTGCAGGAAACCTATTCTGAGCCAAGCAGCTTGACTCTGTCGCAGTCTGAGGCTGGTCAGGCCAGCCATGACATCGCCAAGGAACACCTTAAGCAAACGGGCTGGAGGCTACGTACAGTAGCTGAAGCATTAACAACTATTAACAACCAATATATCAGAGAATGAACTGATTGCAAAGTCGCAATTGAGAAGTGCAAACCATCACCATGCTCACATACCTCTTCAGCAACACTGCAAGAAGCTACCACATACTTTCGTCTTCCCCGGCCTCCAACAGTTTGTAATGCAGCAGCATGCACAAAAACATAAACATTATAAGTATAACTGACCACTGATCATCAGAATCTGGTCTCAAATCTTCTGAAAACCTACATTCCTAGACTGGACCTTCGGACAGGATCTTACACCACCAATCGCTGGAAAGTTGCCTCCCAAAGATGCTCGGTACTTATGGGCGCTTTCGTCCCTGCTCCTGCGCATCACCAACTAAAGAAACACCAACTGGTGGCTGAGAACTTGAGGATAAAAAGTGGAAAGTCATTTGGGACCATTTCGACCTTAAAAAAGCAATCCAACACCTGGCAGCTCAAGTAGCAACATGTAACGACCCAACTCGCTGGGTGGACGATGTCTGTACATGTCATGTGTTGTGGTCCTGGCTCACGTGCTTCAGGATGCCTCCGCGACATAACATGACACGCTGTCAATGCCACCAAACACAAGTGTTTCAGTGAAAGCACCCATCAACTTGAATTTCATGCTGACAAGACAGTTGTTGCAGTTGGACCCCAGGTTCATGTCAACATTGTTCAGCACTATGCGTTTCCCATTGGCCCAATGCCCCTTCTGCTGGGTTAGAAAACACATCACCCCCTGCCTGGATGCCAAGAAACGGTTCATGGCTGCAAACCAGGTGTCCTCCTGACGGGCTTCCAGGTACACGTGGGGATGTGAAATGATGTGGATACCAGGTGGGAATGGGGTGGGAAAACATGTTAACTTTGAAAAAACATGTGTTTCAGGCATAAGTAACTGTAAAATAGAATCTATATATGTAATTATATTCAATCATTTTCGAACTCGTATTACTTCAGCCGGATGATGCCTTTTTCACCAAAAATTGCTCAACTCTCCCAAAGTCTGCCCATCAGTCCTGGGCATGTGGTAGCAAGGCCATCGGAGCAGAGGGTCCTCAGCAACCATGGATGGCTGTTCTCTGGCAAGAAGGCCTCCATATGCCAAACAAACCTTTGGGGTCATGCGGAATCTTAAACCCTTGGCCATGGCATCTACAACTGCTGATAATATGCACCTACATCGAATGGATTGGTTTAAGGAAAAATCGACAGGAAGCTATAGTTTTTCCTATTAAATATGGGGTTTTCCTGTAAATTTCCCAGAAACATCCTTAAATCAATCCATTGATACATGAGAGGGATCTCTACCCTGCACATCCCTGGACCCTCCTAAGTGGCCAAGGAGCTTGGCCCAACGCATAGCATCACCGCCGACAGCTCATCGATAGTCAAACCTCAAAATCACCAGGGGCAAAACAAATGATTACGGGGGGCTTAAAGCCAACACAAATGAAGGATCATGAACTTCAAGAACTGGCAGAACATGGCACAATATTATCCAACAAACAGTGCCTTGGGCCGACGTGCAGAATGCAATCATACTCTTCAAACCCAATGAAGTTGTTTATGTTGTTTGTGTCTGAGGCGGGGCATGCCATCCAAGCAAACGACGACAAACGACAAATATCCATTGCAATTAATCCCCGCAAACCGCCCAAAACTCCCCAAAACAGCACCCACAATGTTCCACCAGCTCAGGTCCTCAACAATAGCATGCTGTCGACCCCAAACAAACTTGAAGCAAGCAATGATGAACATATAATCAATAAACAAGAACGATGATTAACAGGAATGATGGCCGGCCATGATCCCACCGCAATTTGTGATCACACCCTGCTTCCTAATTTACTTAGGCATCAATAGCCATCAGAAACCATCAATCCCAACCAGTGACCACACCAGAAAGCCGCCCCGTTGCAGGTCAGGTCACTGCCATAGCAGCCGGCCTCTTTCAGCCGCTGCGCTGCCTTCAGGGTCTTCTGGAGCTGTGCGTCCAAGGCGTTCTTCGCCTCCGCACGTCCTCGGCTCGGAGATCAGTGACTCAGTGCCCCAGGGGTTAAATCAATGTGATTCGATGTTGTGACCAACATGCACCCTCTGGTACTTTGACATAGCTTTGGACACTGGATGACAATGGCCCATTTATAGATTCTAGATGATTTACCTTGAACAAATGGGATTTTGCAAAGCTATGCTAAAATACTTGACAGGTGACAAATACAGTCACAAGTGCGATTTTGATGAGCATACATCTTTCTGCACGGATCAGTGTGGAAGACACATGCATCTAGCACATGCAGCAAAACTGCCCATCATCGCCGCGTCACGGCTCACTTAGAACATGATTCCACTAAATACACCTTGACATACCTCTACCACATTCTATTGAACCAACAAGTTCTTGATCAATTTCCTGCAGATCTGACATCCCCAGAACCTTTCCTAAAGCAACCACCACCAGGCCACAGCTGCTGCCCAGGGTCTCATCAACTCTTCGGCCACGCCATGGAGTCCCGTGGCAAAGGGCTGCCGCGCGGTGCGCGGATAGAGCCCGAGGCCTGGGAGAAACCAACGGCACTCAACAGCATTCGCCACGACCGAGGGGTGGTTTGTACTGGCAAAAAAAATAAGAACCGAAGTCCTTATTGAAAGATTATGAAAGATTGATGATGATTGATGCACATCTAGATTTACAGTAATTTACATAGATGCTGCAGTGCTTAGGATGGTGTACGGGGCAAGATCCTCTGAGTTCAAGGGGATGGGAGTACAAGGAGGAAGCTGCTAAATGGGCACAATACGGGACCCAATGCATCCCTGGCATCTGAAAAATACATATAAGTCATTGAGTCATGATAGTCATAAGTCGCGATACATCCTCCATTCCTTGATATATTGCAGCCATACATGCTGTGGAACGAGTCGTGTGCGCCAAAATGTTCAAAGCAACCCGCCGTTTTTGTTTCCTGCATGTTAGACATGCTTTGTCAAGCTTAGCATGTAGGCGGACTCTTGCTGTGCAAAGTTTCTGCCGGGGATAAAACAGGGTTGTGCTTAGGTGGTATGCCACCAAAGCTGTGAGGAACACAGCCGACCCACATCCCAGTCAGACTTCTGAAAGTCAACCCACGCCCATCTTTCATGTGCAAAGACTTTGGCACCTGAAATCAGGGTTATGTTTCTCATCGAGGTGTCGGTGGTTGAACCAACAACCAACTTCTACATTGTTTCAAACCTGGACCATATGACTGCGTTTCAGTCAAGGCTTCTCACGACTTTTCCTCCATCAGCCAGCCTCCGTCGGAGGTCAGAGCGCAACAAACGACAATGAGAAATCAACTTTTGCAAGGCATGCTCTTCCTGAAGCTGAGCAATCTCTGAAACCAAACTGGAGCGCCTCTCTGAGGCTGTTGTCACAAGCAGTTGCGTTTGTAAGGCCTTAATACGGTGGGCTCGGATGCTGCCCTCATGGTCCAAACGCCGGTACCGACCTTGCCTGCCTCCAAGTGAAGACACAGCATCACGAATCTGCATGTGATTCCTTTGGGTCAAAGTAAGGGCCAACTCTGCTTGCCTCCTCTTTACGCTCAACCCCTGAGCCAGCAAACTCTGAAGAGTTTGATTACAAGTTTCACGGTGCCTGCACCAAAGAACAGATGCTCGACTGCCATGATGAAGGCGCCAACGCGTCAACCCATTTTGATGGAGAAACCCGAACAAACTTTTCAGCACATGATTGTTCACTTGTCCAACTTGGAGCCGTAAGCCGGCCCAAGCAGCCTCTACTTGCACACACCCTTCAGCATCAAAAAAACCCGCAAAATATGACCAAGAACATGGCATGCTGGTGAGTATGTGATCCCTGTGCTTCAGCATCTTTAATTTTTGAGCCACTCCATTCAAAGATGAAGGCCTGCAATCCTGATTCTCTGCTGCAATTCGCAATTGAGCCTGCTTCATAGCCGGCACACCGGCCATCAACTGCGCTGCTTGCTTCATCTTTGCACCTGCAATCTGCCATCTCAAGCATGCTTCACAAAATCCCGTAGCCGTGTAACCAGCGTAAATGCCACCACCAAAGGCAGCCCTGAAACGCAGCAGAACTTTTGCTGATGTAACTCGCTGTCCCAGTTGGAGGCTCATTGTCCCCGTGTTGCCGTTGAGAGTCACACACCCGTCTCCATCAAAAAATCCGACCAAGTATTCAAGTTCATCTTTTCTCGGCGGGTCCTTTGGTGGATCCACTGATGACAGCGGGAGAGGAAACCTTTCCCCATCGACGGCAAAACTCTCCAGCTTGGGAAATTCAAGTCGTTTCATTACAGCAGTCAGTCGATCGCGACGTCTCTGCCACTTGGCAATCAATGTTGAGAACAACATCTGGCAGCTACTGCTCCCGAGTTTCCCTCTAATCCTCGCTGAATGAGGACAAAGCAACATGATGGTTTGATGGCAGGACCGCTGAAACACTGGGTCTGCCAGGCTTGAGCATGAACTGAAATCACCACAAGCGCTATGTTCAGCCCCACCACTGTCTCAGGCAGCTTGCTCTGCATCCAATCTAGAAATTCGGAAGCTGCTACTGTCCCCACCATCCATGTCACCACAAGCACTATGTCCTAATTTAGGCCCCCAAAAATGTCTTGTTTCTTTGGGCTGACCAGTTGAAGTGATGACCTCATTAGAGCTGCGTCGCTGCACACCCAGCTCTCCAACTTGCTCCCTTCACTCGGCTGCTCCTGGGCTTCCCAACGTTGAAGAGACAAAAAGGCGGGCTCTCCAAGGACACACCTTAAAGCCACACTGGGCACGGTAAGGTGGGTCAGCATGAGCGCCTGTCCCAAGCCGGGTAAGAAGGCCCGCCAATCTGCCAACCAATCAGTACCAATCACATTTTGACGTGCTAACGTGTTTGCATTTGTTGGCAAATGGCCTTTCAAACTTCTGAAAACCGATGCTCGTGAGATAATTTGATAAGAAAAAATGGGAATCTCAAGGCTTTCAAGAAGACCTATACCGTACTGACCGTACTCCATCCATAAACCACTGTCTTAGAGCATTAGTTTGAAGAGCCGTACCCACCAAGCAGGCTTCCTGCACCACCTCACGCTGGCACACACAGACAGCTTCCCACCACCAGATCTATCTGAGAAAGCCCCACCATCCATCGGCTGCGCCATCATCATCGCTCTGATCCCCAAGTCCTTAGCATATCATTTGTATGCCGTGGAATCACTGTCTTACACTCCAAACATACTCCAAACGTAGGCCGAACACCACGACAACACATTTCACTTCATCTAAAAAACTCAGAGCAGAAAAATCCGAACAATTTCAACTACACTGCTGCCCTTCCATTGAAGCGGGCAGTAATTACCATGCGCTTCAATATGCCTCGGTGAGTGTGTTGGAAAAGCATCAGTAACCGTCGAACTGCAGCAAATTTCTCTATAGGTGCTATCAGTGCAGGCTGTATCTCAAAGTTTGAACCCATTACTATACATTTACTGCCGCACAAGCTTTACACATTCTTCCCTGATATTTGTGTACAGGCGCCTTATAAAAAATGGACCCCCTCCATGCCACCGAAGGTACGCTCCACGCGCAGCTGCAGGGGCGCGCTCATGCGCAGCTCCATGGCTCCGTTTCAGGCCATCTGTGCTTGGCAGCTGGTGGCAGGCTGGGGTTGAAATGCTGCTGGGTTGGGGGTGGATCGCTGTATTTGAAGTCACCCTGGACAAAGGGCAAACTGCGGTCTGAGTATAACAACCAAGATCCTTGGAAAGGCTAGCTATGTGCCAAATGAAGCAAAATAACATATCATCCAGAATGTTTTGACAAAACAAATCCGATCCGGAACCCAGTTCATTGTGGGGCTTTGGGCAGGAAGAGTCTACTCTACTCTAAACACTACTAGTTTGCAAGTCATCTGCTTGGCTGGAGTTGAGGCTCAATACAGCAGATACATCTTGAACCAAAATTCATCGGAAGCTTGAGCTATGATACATGAACAAAAGCAGAATAATTTTGCATCCAAGTCATCATGGGTCCAGTCCGATCCTGTCAATCGCTTTCTCGTGTCTCTGGAATTTTCATATGGAAAATCGCTAAGCTTTCAGGCCCAGTCAAACTTGAACAGCAGTAGGACAATGAGATTGCATCCTTTTTGTTGGGTGCTCTTCAAAACTGCAATGAATCTACTGAAACCAACTGAAACTGAGCCGGTTAGGTTTGAGCAAAATCAACACACCCTGCGGCAACCCGAGGTGGTCACATCTTTTCGTTGGCTCTCGGCACGTTGGCAGGACATCTTGCTGCAACATTTCTCTCGGCCACAAAGAGCACCAAGGGTTGGATAATTGGCCAATATCAATCAAGATATGCAATGCCAACCAAATCAAAAGGCTTCACATTGGGATCATAATCATTACACTACTACCGCCTCGGTCAAGATTGCTATGAAACTTGAAGCTTGAAACGGTGATTCTGGTTTAAATCTGATAAGTCCATGCAGCTTTACAGTTTGGCCCTTGGGTTTCATACCAAACGCATTAAAAAAAACACCGCAATTCAGCCTATTATTCCTCCCTAGATGCTGGCTTTGGGTGTGCACGGCCAACCTTCAAATCTGTCACCAACACAGCCACCATGGCAGTTCCCGTCCAGCCCTATGGGAAGATGGTGCCCTTTCATCATCCTACCAGCACCATCCCAGTGTCTTCTGGGCATGCTGTCCATGACCCTCGACACCAGTTGGCGAGGTGAGGGTTGAAGCAAGGGGACACCACTGGCGGGCCAATCCGTGATCTGCAGTCAGTACTGACTCATGCAAGGTATCATCAGTTACCATCCGGTAATTTCACAGAGCTAGGGCACATTGCACATCTATGGACGATTTACCTATTAAACATGGTGCTTCTTCATAGCAAACTGCAAACTGTTCAACTAACAAAGGATACATGAGAACATTGCAATCCACGTAGTCATCTTGCCTGAATGTGGCAGGTCAACCTGATGGGAATTGCCAAAGAAGTGGCTGATGTTCTTTTCAAAGTTACATGCAGAAGCCTAAAACTACCAAGCCATGCTGACGAAAGTTGTCAGCAGCGTCATCAACCTACAAGCATTAAGAAGCTGATTGTAGCAGCCAAGGGGGGCCTGAAGAAAATCCATGGTAAAAACGATTCGAAGACCTAACATCACACATATGTTTCACTCTCAAACCAATATTGAAATAACAATGCACTTTAAGGAGAAGTCGACTTCTACCATGTTATAATGTGCAATGCCTTCACCCATCTGTTGTTCAAGCTGGTTTCAGGAGCCCTTGGCCGCTTTCCAATTTGCGGATTTTTGTCTAACAAACGCGCTGCTTCTTGACCATAGAGTTGGCCTCAGTAAGAGTGGCGGCGGCAATGATGGCACTTCGTTGGTCTGTGCTGCCTACTGGGCAGTTGCGATAGTTCCAGTATGGTAGGATTGGGGGTCGTACCTTCTACGGGTGCTTTCCAGGGTAAAGTAACAACACCAGCCCATACTGTTGGTTGCAGGAGTTTCTTTCAAACAATGAGGAGTTAAATTGGAGCATGTTGCTAGGTATCTCTCTGCCGGTAAGTGTTCAAGGGCAGTCTGCTACTACCCAGTCTTATGGGTGTGATTTTTTCCACCCAAATCTTAAACAATTGTTCAGTAAGGCAAACTAACCCCTTGCACTGAGGCACGCACAATGCGCAGCAGTCGTCGCCTAGGAAGAGCACAGCGCACCGCTTTTGATGAACCCTCTACCTCCCACTCTTGCCCTTGAAAACCATGCTGGCAGTCCACGTGTAATCCAAAGTCAGTTTTGGAGCCAGAAGATGCATCAAATCATCCAAAACCTCTCAACAATATAAATTGGATAAAATTATATAAAATTAGATAAAATTAGCATATCCCCACCATCTATGTCCATTTCCGGTTGGCTCCATCCCTTGGTGCAAGCCGGGTTCCCCAGCCATGGCCGTCCTGCCAGCCGCTGCACCTGTTTTTTTGGGGGCACAGTGAAAGCAGCATCTTTCAAACCAAAGGCCATAGCCATATCACATCTAAATCAGTTGTTTTCATCATATGAATCTTCCAAAATGCAATCCCAAACATGTTTTTCTTTAGATAAATCATCTATATATATATATAGTTAACAGTCATATATAACATGTCTTCTATAAAAGGTGAAACAAACATCTCACCAGATTCTGCACATCCACGCTGTTGCCACCTGCTTTCCCTTGGGTCGGCTCCACGCGCGAGGGAAGGACGTGAGCCGACGCCGCCTGGGGCAGCTGCTGGGAACATCTGGGGGATCTAAGGAGGGACAAGTTTGTTATCCAAATTTCAATAAGGATCCCTACAAATCAAGTGTATTTGATATCTATTTTTTGATCTAATCAGATTTGATATAATTTGATCCAATCATCGGGATATATCATGATTCTTGGGGGGATCTATACAATTTTCGAGAATCTCTAGGGTATCTCTGGGATATTCCTTCTTTCTGGGGGAAAAAACCAAGTGCCAAAACCAAGATGGAATATGGCATCTCAAATTCAAAATCTTCTGGGATCTCTGGGACATCGGGTTATTTTTCTCATCACATTTCCTGGGAAACAGTGATCAAACATTTAGCAAAAAAGAAGCAGTCACTCTGAGTGCCCAAAACGAAGGGAAAAAGGCGATCAAAATAAGTACTACTACCGGAGACCAGTGAGTAACATTCTAGTGTGTTGGGGAGAAGAATATAGATAACCTACATTAATGATGATCCATTCAATAATGATTTTCAACCTCACATATGTATATATATATACACCATCTGGTTATGACTAACATAGCCATGGAAAATCACCATTTTTACTAGGTAAACCATCTATTTCTATGGGCCATGTTCATCCATCTATACCATGGCTATGTTAAATAACCAGCTGTTTCTCCGTCCACGCCTCCGAGGTGTTGATGTCAAGCCCTGGCACCAGGGCGTTTACGCATTGACTTCCAGGGATGATCCAACGGAAGATCCACAGCAGTTTCGATGATCTAAATAGCCTTATAAATCATCGAGTGGATCATAGTGGATCTATTCCATGAATGATCAAGTACTTTCAATATGTTTCAATCATCTATAACTATAGGTAGATGATCCAATCATCGATTCTATGTCTATTTGGAAATCATCTGATTTATAGACTTGCAAATGATCATGGAAATCTATCTATTAAATTCTATTAAATCATCTAGATGATGCTCTATTGGATGTGGTGTCACAGCGGAAAAAACTCAAAGTTCAATAGCTTGGGGGTTAGTAAAACTAACATAAACTAACTATAATATGTCAAACTGGTGTCGTTTGCTGAAAAAAAAGCAGTTGCATCCAGTTAGCGATGGATGATGCAGCATCACACATTCCGACTTCTTTAGTCAAGCAACCATAGGGCTCCCCAAACTGATAGAACAATCAAAGAGAAGCCGCCTTCCACACGTACTATATAATGTTGATGAAACCTATTGGGAACCCCACTGTTCCATAAACCTCCCATACTACTCCCATAAGAATCCAGCAGCATGGAAGTCCCCACATGGGATGCCTCAGTCGTCACCACATCCTGCATCACTGGACGTTCCACGGCCAAACCCACCTGCAAAGCTTTCGAGGGTGCCAGGCGATATCACAAGAGGCTGGGATGTTGGCAACGGAACCCCAAGTTAGTATAGAGATGTATAGAGAAAATCACCACATGTTGCGAGCATCTAGATGTGCATGATGCAGGTATAATTACAGTATGCCATATGAACGTGAAGAAGCGACCCTTTGATGCATCCACTACATTGCCTAGGAGGCCTAGCAAGAACCAAACATCAGTAGTTTGTCCAGAAACATTTTGAACATTTAAAAATTGTCTCGCACATGAACCAAACCTGTACTTTATCCGAACATATCCGCACCATCCAAAATGAAATAGGCAGCGGCATGCAGCGGCACCTGCGGTTTTTTTTCTTCAATCTATGACTGTCGACGGCAATCAGCCCAACAGTATAGGCAATGCAATTTGCATGAATGTCTCCAAATGGCCTCCTTTCCCCTTCGCTTCAATCAAAATGGAGCATGCAATTTTGTAACACCCAAATTCCGGCACAATCTCAAGTCACTTGTGCGCCTAACAACATCCAACTCCATTACAGCAACCCACAACAAGACACATAAGTCATTTATCAATATTTATCATCGTCAATATTTTAGTTGGATGCAACTTTTCTAGCTTTTTGGGGGGTTGCTGTGCTTCCGATTGAGGGCACCAAGGAATGCAAATTGCATGCCACAAGTTTGTCGCAGGTGATCATCTATCAGATGAGGAGTTTCGAGTGCCACTGGGAGATTAACGGTGGCAACGAAAACAAAGGCTTTGTTGTTGATTTTGGGGTTATTTGCAATGATTCACAAAATACAGGAGATTTGTATGTTAATGTTACAGTTGTCTATATTTATATGTTATTTACAATATAGAATATAGACGATTTGGTTAACGTTCCCTTCAACCAGGGGTACCTGTGTGCCAACCACAAAGGTCCACCATGCCACTCAACCGTTACAGTGCTAAGCCCATGCACAAATGCCCTAAAGTTGATGAACAGAATGTGGACCGTGGACAATGTGGCACCCACCAACATGACAATTTGTTGGGATGAAAAACAACAAGTTTCGGGCCATCCACCAGCGACCTCCCTCCCTATCTAGGAAGTATCGGTTATCTATGGTTATCTTGTTTTCGTTCCCTTGTGCTTGTGAGTAATTATAGTTAAATTGTGGGTTCTGCACAGAACAATGCAATTTTAAATGGTTTCAGTCCAGATTGAAAATATTGATTGGTTCTGCACACTCACAATGAATTCCAAGCTCATAGATTGCGAAAATTCCCAAGATAGAAAGGGTAGTACAACCCCCAAACTAGTCACCAACCAACAGGGGTTCTCTGTTCATTTCATCATGCTTCAGAAGCCCAGTGCAGCACGCTTCATTAGCCAGCTCGGAGCTCTTCATCTCTTCGAAAGGCGAAAGGATCCAAAACGCTTAAAATGATTCAACCGTTACCTGAAGAAGTTAAGGATAATCTTGGACATTCCTTGAGGGGAAACAAGATATTGTCATTTAATGCCATTTAATGTCATTTACATGTCTATCAGAATGCTGTATTTCTCCGTTTGTTATGGCGTAAACACGGATGCATGAACTGCATAAACAACAAAACGAGGTTTGCGTGGCAAACAGCAACTGACAAAGCCTCTCAAACCGAGAATCATGATCCCCTAATATTCGCAAACAAATGGCCAATCCATTCGCCCGAGTTTGGAGGACTTTTAAACACTGCGCAAATTCTGGTACTGGACTTTGCAGCAGCCTACCACAACAAATCAAACAATAACTGCCACAATGCAAAGGAACCAACCATAATTTGAAAACCCTTTGAGTGCATCCATTTGACTTCCCTTGGTTGCACCTATTTGGTATGGTTTCCGCAAATATTCCGTAAGATTCTATAAGTATAATCATGTATAATCCATAGCCTTTTCTTTGGATCCTTCAGCTGCGAAGCCGCAGCCTATGACATGTACAAAGATCTTCCCAGCTGTGCTGGGTCGTATTTCACTCGTTGGGCCGCTGCACGAGCACCTTTCGTGTCTCGAGCAGCGGCGTGTTGGGCGCAGTGGGAGATAGCCTCAAAAGGACGACGGGGCTGGGACCGTGAACAAGGGAAGGTAGGCCAAGGTGTTGGCAAAGTCTACCACTTCCAAGACACGTGCAGTAGATTATCGGCAGAATCATGCACTTGCCCCTGTGGCCCCAAAACACCCTAAGCATCAGCAGAGTTCTTCAACAGAAATGGGCAACTGCTCGCCCCTCTGCGCCAGAAGTTTGAGCTCCCGCACGCAGAGGAGAATCCCACCAGCGGGCCCTCCACCCTGGCCAAACAGCTCTCGAGGCATTGTTTTTTTGGGCCTTTCTGGGCGGTCTTCTTGAAGAAACCTCTGATTGGGGGATTGGGGAGAAACTAATCGCTGAGTTTGCATCCACCTACCAACCAAACAGCTGATAAATAGTGGTTCCCTAGATTTTTTCACATGTCCACAATTTAACCTGGAAAAATGGTCAGAAACTTCAATAATCATGTTGGGACTTTTGGCCACGGAAGCACAGTGTACAGCCTAAATTGCCAGAGCCATCTGCCCCTTTGCATGCCTCGTTACAGGTACTTTGCTCGGCGGCCTCGGCCATGAACTTTTCAACTGCGAGGAACACGTGACATTGCTAATCTTAGATGCCTGCAAACACTGCAAGTTTGAGCTGGCCAACATGTCCACATGTAGAGCAACATTTTCACATCACAAACTACCCACAATAATTAAATGAACAAATGAAGCAGGGCAGTGATTTCTCTTGGAGAGACCAAAGACAAACAAACGCGTGTTTGGGCCATCGGCTAATGCCACTTACATCAATTTACCGCACACATGTGTTGAAACAACAAGGGGCTCGCCCTTTCTTGCTAGCACTGTAACAAGTCGGGAAAAAAAACATTTGTAAAAACACGTCGTGTCACAAACATTCACAGCATCCAACGCAGAATCAACAGCGGATTCCATCCATCTCAGGCTGAAGCATGCTTCCCGTAGATTTGATGGGGAGGTCAGGCCTGCCAAAGGCCAATGATTGAGCCATTGCCAATTGTGGCAACTGAAAATCACAGGTGAAACTACAAGAAACATGCCAACTGCTGGAAACAAACATGACAACTTGATATGGTGACATAATCAACCAAAGTCAACCCATCCGTTTTGAGCACGATATATTTTTAAATATTTTTAATGTAACGCTTGAAGTCACTTCAAGTTGTGTCTGAAGAAACTGTTTGTTCCAAAAAATGGTGCGATACCTCAACTTATCCCCATCAAATAGGATGATGGTGATAAGAACCACCCATTGATTTGAGATTTGTGTATCAATGGGCATGTTTGTGGCAAAAAAAATGTATTTGATGCATGAAACACCCATTTGTTGGGCATACCGTACCCATCCATACCCCATTTTCAAACGGTCTCCGTGGTGCACCGGCTGCCTCGTCATCGGCTTCGTTCCTCTGCTCCTGCTTGGTCAGAATCACCCCAAGGAACAAATGGAAAGTGACATGTAATTACACGTGTATATACATACACACACATGTATATATATAATATTATATATATATATATATTATATATAATATATATTCTTATATATTATATTTGAAACAGCTATGATCCGCTACCCATACTTCTTTCAAGGATTTCAGTTGGTTCAAAGATTACATGCGTAGGGCGAAGCTTGGCAGACACATCGCGTAACAGCACAGCTGGGTGCCCCGGACATCAGCGCCGGGTCGGATCTCAAAGACATTGAATGCTCCGGCCTGCCGGCGATTTCCGTATTGCCAGAAGGGTGCAGCTAGCGAATCATGTATTTTTACGGTGGTCAAATTAAAGAAGGTGCAGGACTGGCCCGTGATTCATCATTATATATATATATATATATATATTAATATCATTATTTTTTTCAGTGATCCTTGATGATTTTTCATCATCAGCTCAATCGAAACAATCTAACACTGACATCCAACTTTCAACCTAATCCCATGTTCTAACCTCCACATTACACCATGGTTTTCCCTATAAGTGTTGCATTGTATATCAGTCGTAGGGGCCAGGCGCACCTCTTGGAGAGTTGAGCTTCCAGGCTCTGACACCTTTGCTTCAGCTGCCGCACCATCTCCTCGCAGCCGTTGGATGACAATGACCCGGAAAGAATGCCGAAGGCTCAAGAAACCAGGGGAAACCAATGGATGGGATGTAGTTGGAACAAGACATGAACCATAAACCTTTCTCTTATTATATAAACATCCTGGAAACATGGGAATTCCAAACACTGGCAAGATAGAATATGTAGAAGAGAACGGCAGTGGCAAAATGCCTTATAGTAATTATATAATTATTCATTCACTGATTCATATAAAATGGCACCACTCCTGCGATGATAATTGCTGAACTACCACTACTACCCTGAGAAAAAGTAGTGATTTGGCAGCAAAAGCATTCACATGCTGTGCTTCGTTGAAATGCTTTTATTCGGTTCATAGAATGTCGCCTGATTTTACTGTCAAACATAGCAATGAGCGGCAGCTCCTCAGCTTGAAGCTGTCGTGCCTCCGCCGCTTGGAAGTTCGCAGCCGTGGTGGCCAGGACCTCCTGGGTGGCAGCAGTGGCAGTATTGCAGGCGGTCCCGACGTTTCGGAGCTACTTGGGGTTCAAGCGTAGGGCAATACATGGCAATACCCATGTCACACAGCAACTAGAATTAGACTACAGTAATCATTTGATAACTTTAAGATGAATCAATCAAACGATACCTGCAATTGCCTGTTTGAGGCACAGTGGAGCTGACCAACAGAAAAATATTCTTGGATTACAGATGATTACAGCAATCCATTGGAAGGCTAAAAAGAACTAGCAGCTCAACAATGTGGCCAAGCCTAAAGGAGACAGTGATGAATGTTAATCTCGAATTGGAGTGGGGCATGCATCCTGACGCTTGGTGCACAGTAAAGGTCCAGGAACATGACTTCTGGTGCACCTCTTCCTGCACATGGCTTCTCTCAAAGGGTCTCTGTCACTCAGTGGAGCTGGAAACTGGGCTTGGGGTAGCTGCATGGTTTTATTTGCCGCAACCGAACCTATGCGAACTATTCAGACTTCATGAGGTGGCAGGATTGTGGCACCTTCACGCAGCGATTTCCGAACCTGACTCCGCAACTTGTTGCATCGAGACATCACCTTGCATAAGGCCCGTTCTTCTTCAAGTTTTTGCAGTTCAGCTTCAGCAACCTCCAGCGAAGCTGTGTTGTGGTCTTCCCTTCGGCTGCGTTCCCGCAGGCGTCGAATCTTGTCTTGTTGTCTTTGTATCTCTTTGGCTTTCCCTATCCCTGCCTCGTCAAGCCTCTGATAGAAACGCTGTCGCCCATTGAGCTGCGAAACCAAGTCTCGAATTTCATAATGGTTGGTAGCTGTCAGCGTTAGGCTTGCTTCTGCCTGTGACCTCTTCAGCGTGAGTCCGTTTACCAGCAGCCTGCCCAAGCAAGATTTTGCAGTCGGAAGGTGTTCACATGTCAGAAACGAATGTCCTTGATGATTCCGATAGAGTTTCCACTGTTGAAAGCCTTCCTGATGCAAGAATGAGAGCAAGCACTGCAGTACATGAGGGTTGGTTTGCCCAACAGACAAGATGATTGAAGGCCTGTCTGGCCTCACAGCAATGCAACCTTCTGCGTCAAAGAAGCCAGCAAAGTATGACCAAGTGCACTTTAGCGCACCTTGGGGCGGCTCATAGGTATGTGCTTTCAAGAGTGCCAATTTGCCAGCCACGTTGAGCCGGCTATCTACGTCAACGATCCCTCGAACTGCCTGAGCCGCAATGTTGAGTTGCGCCTTCTTCATAGATGGCAAGCGGGCGAGAATGGATGCGGCATGCTGCGCTGCCGGTCCCTGCGCCCGCCAAAGCAAGGATGCAGAACGGAAACCAGTGGCGTCAGAGTGCCGATAGATACATCCACCCACCGCATCTCGAAAACGGATCAAAATGTCAGCCCTTTCTAGGGCCTGGGTAACACTGAGCATCATTCTACCCTTAGTTTTTTGCATGGAAACACAGCCGTCTCCATCAAAGTTCCCGCAAAGATACTCAAGCTCTTCTTGGGAAAGCTGCCCTTTCGGCATAGCCACTGACACAGGAAGTTGATATACCCGGCCCTTGGCTTCAAAACTCTCGACTCTTGGACACCTCACCCTTCTCAGCAAGCTCTCCAAGCGATCGCTGCGTCTCTGCCACTTCTTCAAGCTCATAGTGCAGAAAGAAGCATGCAGTGCCCCTGACGGATTCCCACTGAAACACATGGTAACATTCAAAGGACATCTGGCAAAAATCAGCCTGTACGGCAACTTCCATGCCATGGCTGGGAAGAACTTGGGATGAGAGTCAACGAAGGTTGCAATCTTTGGCCACCACGCGATATTCCCAACTTCTTGATGCAGGGAAGTGGGTGGGAATAGGCGATAAAACATGATCAAACACTGCTGGGTGAAAGGATCACCAAAGCACCACCCTTCACACCACGTAGAAATAATTATTTCGTTCTCAAAAAAACCATTTCCAACAGCAACCACCCAACCAATCCAAAAACTTCTCAACATACAGCAGCAGGCCAAGAACTGAACGAACCAGCTACAAATTCAACTGCCATCACATTCATATGGATTCAAAATAGGGAATGCTCACATCTTCCCTCATGCAATGGCCATTAATTGTGGGCAGGCTCGATTTTCAAACAAACCCATACATCCACATCTCAAATGCCCGACTAGATATCCCGTAAAAATCATCAAAACTACCTTTAAACATGATCAAATCTCTGATAGTCCTTGATGCCCCCATCATTATGACCCAAAGCCATTTATTCTTAAACGATCAATCCATATAAAATCCTTAAAAAAAACACATAACACTTGGTGTCAAAACCCCCAACTTCCCCCATGTTTTATTTCCGGCCATCAATTGGTGGTACATCCCACACCCGGCCATCCCGCTCCTCTGCAGAGGTGGCTCGCTGTTCTACCTCCGCCGTGGCCGCGGCCATGGGACGCAACTTCTCGAGCTCCTGGGGAGGGGGGTTGGAGGGTACCATATCTGGTTGGTGGTGCAATTTCACCATCTTGAAAAATGCTGGACTTCGTCAGGTTGGGAAGGATGACATCCCATATATGAAATGGAAAATAATCCACATGTTTGAAACCACCAACCAGATATATGTTCAAACAAAAACCCATCTGTATAAGTACAAGAACTGGAAAATCCAACCACCTATTCCAATTTATTCCAATGGTAGTCTGATTTGCCATTTTCAATTACTGATATGATGTTAGGGTGTATCAAATTGGTATAGCTTATTATTGGAATATTGTGATTGGACTAGCACATTGCATCAGAGTATATCAACATCATGCACAACTTCCAAACAACTTCAATGCTCGCAGAACGGACAAAGTTCGACAACAAAAACATCACTGACCCAGCAGAATGTCTGCACAAAGTGCCCTCAGAAACAATCAAGAACCTTCCAACATCATAGCTTCACCTAACCCCCAAGCTGCTGTTTGTCTCCTCCTTCATGGCATCTTTCTCCATGTCCTGCTGGTGCAGCTTGGCTTCCAGCTGCACAACGCGTTTGGACAGGACGTCCTGCAGAGATTGCGACTTCTTAGCCTCGGTGTGGAGGGGGTGAGGGTGTTGGAAACAACGCTTGAAGGGATGGGAAAAAAAACAAATGGAGAAACATCAGTGAAATCTCAAACTGTTGATACATTGTTACATGGTCCAATGATGGCTCAGGGCTGTTGGGCTGTTGGGATCTATATAATATCTACAATGCCAAAATATGAATGGCCAAGTCAGGATCCTTGCCGTTTGGCCCTCCATCCTGTAGGCCCCTCTGGTGCTGGTGCTCCGTTCAGGCGCCCCGGCGGCTTCCTGTTGAGCCTTGGCGCTCTGCAACTGTTCCTGCAGAGACGCCAACTCCTGTGCCATCGCATCTGGCGCCCATGACCAATTCTGTTTACCAAGCATGTACAGGATGGGGCCCCCAAGATAGCTAAGTTGGTTTATAAGTGGCTTAACAATGGTTTATGGTAAATATAACTATATAGTTAATTGCGATTATAATGGTTTTTAAACCAACTTATAACTGGGGGGCACCATCCTGTAGTCAATGGGAATTTCAGGACCCTAACATAGAGGTACTGCACCATGTTGAGCCAGATGTTTGGGGGCATATCCCCTTACATAGCCCTTACGTGGGCCTTATACATGGTAGGTAACTCCAATTTAATCTAAACTGTACCAACATGTGGCAACCATTCTTGTCCATGTAAGATTTTGCTAAGAGCAGCAACCAAATCATTTGGTGAGCACATAGATTCTGCAAACCATGTAAAGTAACCCTAGCCCTAACCAATCTATGCCAACCATTCACCATGAATCCAAATAGTATATTACTAATCCATAACTTTCAGTTTCCTGATCATCCACAATCATCAATAATCCATTATTAAACCCACAGCATCTTAGCAACCGCTCCTCGCCATGCGCCGCTTTGCATTGCGACAACTCCTCGGTGAGCCCCTCGATTTCTGTATCGTAGATGGCACGCAAGGAGCTGATATCCGCCAGAGCGCGCTGGTAGTCGTCCGCCAATTCCTGCATTTGCCTCGGGAGAAGGGGGGAAACAATGGAAAACTGTGGAGATTGTGGTGAAAATTGATGGAATGGTTGATTAATTATGGCATGTTTATACTTTCAGTATTTTATCTTAGTTGATCATGATGATGCCTCTATAGTGGATATTATGCTCATCTGTGACTATCTTTACTTGGTAGTCACCAATTCCCCCCATAACGTGTGTAGTTCTGGAGCTTACTGTCTAGAGTCGTTGTACGTCCTGGCATGTTGATGGCATGTTTATAAGAAGCTTGATCTTCGTTGATCTTGTTTGCCTATCGGTATTTGCAGTCACCAACTACACCAAAACGGGTGGTTTTGGAGCTCCAAAACACGGATGTGACGACTCGTGGGCTGATGACAACAAACCACTCATGCTTCAGCACCTTTTACTATACCTCTGTCTTCATCCTTCAAGCAACAGGGGTGCCAGCTTAAACCTATTACAACTTACAAATTATAACATCTTATAACATGTTATAACCATGATTTGGGGGCGATGAGATGAACACCCGTTTTGCTACTTTTTTGGCGTGACAAACCCGGGTCCGCACACGGCTCCAGCGTCGGACGCCAAGGGGCTGCTCCGCTTCGGTATTGCTGGCTCCTGCCGAGCCTTCCTGGGATTCTTCGGCAACGGCTGATGCTCATCCCTGTGACCCAAAATGTATGACCCATATAGAAAGTTATAAATGCATTCATATTTAAAATTGAACACTGTTAAACCTATAGAACTTATAAAGTCAAATTGTCACAGCTATTGTGACTCACTTCCACCTATCTTCCAACCATCACATGGCCTAAATACGAAATGTCGGTCACGGTTGGAAAGCTGCAGAAAATGACAAACGCCTTGGGGGAACTCATGCGACCGAGGGCTCAATCACCATCAACATGTTGCAGGAAACGTCTCACTGTTTCATCTCATTGGCAACCCCCCACACCAAAAAAAAATGAATAGCTAGATAAATAGCTAGTAATGTCAATAGGAAACCATATAGGAAACCTCAAACTTCCCCGTTTTTTCATAACCCAGATGCTCCATGTATGTAATATTTACCTATACATTTACCCCAAAAATTGCCCAAATCTAAGCAAATATTCCAGACATGGAGCATCTGGGTAATGAACCGTCCACTTTCCATCTTTCCTAACAAATCAGCCAGGAACACCCCCGACCCCCGAGGCTCATTGCGGAGCTGCGCCAACTCCTCACGGAGCAAAGTGATTTCCTCCTCAGCCGCTGAGGTGTTCAGCAACTCGGAGCCTCGGTGGGGGAAGAAAGTTGGGGTTATAACTCATTAATGAGGAACAGGAGTGGCTGAGGTTAAGAATATTAACCCATTCTTAATTGAGGTTAATATTCTTGATGAGGATATCTGGTATCTTTTTGGTGAATGATTACTTGCACATTATTGAAATACAAAAGTATGGGGTCACTGAGGTTATGACTTTTTTTGGGGGGGGTCACACATGATGTCTAGGGTGCTTGCGGTTCATTCTGAGCCAAATGACTCTTGCATAATCTTACATACAATATGCAAATCAATGATTCACAACCTGTGCAGGGCAATACTAAACAACCGTACATAATTTGCACATAAAATCATATAAACCGCGGGCGTCTTCCGCAGTAAAAACAACATAATGCCGCAACTGTCGCACGCCATGAAACATTTATGAATGTTATCTGCCATGGCCGCCCCATTGTCTCCAAACTGCGGGATTTTACCAAACATGGAGATTCCAGCACTAGACTACACACTCCTCAAAAAAAACAACATCAAATTATGCTTATTGTGACACCTTCATGTCATTCCCGACAACACAACAAAAGTACAAATAAACATTCGTATACAAACATGCAATTGTACATTCCTGTTGCTGCATGGTTTCTTACATAATCAAAGGCATGTTTTCATATTGGATCTAGTATGAAACCATCGATTAGTATGGTCTAACTGTAATTGTAACCAACAGTAACTGTTTACAAATCTATATAGTATATTGATCTAGCAGTAACAGCGTCTGGATCAGCCAAGCAACGGAGAGTCGAAGCCTCCTGCAACGCTTCTTGTAGGGCCGCCTGGTCGGATGGGCGCCATGGTGATCGGCCTTAAACTTGTAGAAGTGAACATGATGGGTTGACCCAATGCAGTTGAAATGTATGTTATATAAGACTATAAGAAATATACAAGATATATTTCAGATATATCTAAAATCTTCTCAAGATACAATTTCATAGAAACACATAGTTCTCAGATATTTTTCAAAAAAATCTCAAGATGTTTCATGGGAAAAAAAAACATATCATTACTTCATTGATAGATTCCATAGTTACATGAACTATTACAATAAAACATATCGATTACCATGTTCTCAAGATTCCATAGTAGACGTTCATTACACATCCACATATCCAACCTCATGGCTCCACAGGGCCGTGGCAGCTTCCGACAACTTGGCTTTGCCTCGCAGCCGTTTTCCCATGGGAAAAGAGTCATGGAAAAAGTCATGGCTTTTTAATGGGGCTTCCCCGAGGTTTATGAGCTTCTCATACTCAAAAGTCATGGTTTAATGGAGGTTTATATGGGTTTGCATGGGTTTATATTGTGAATGGATATACGTTCAATGGGGCTTTCCAAGTTGGAGAAGATCAAAAGTCGGCTCATACTCAAAATGCCAAGATGGGCAACATCATAGGTATTGGCAGCATCTAGAAACTTAAATTTAGAGCTTCATCAAACCCAAATCTGCATCCACATGCACTGCTGAAATATATACTGGGCAGCACATTTAGATTGGAGACCGCAACAATTAGGTCCAGAAAATTATTGCCCTGTTCGATATAGCCTTTGGATGCCTTCGGAGGATTACCCTTAGATTTATGGTGATTTTTGTTTCTCAATTTCATGCAAACAAATAGTTACAGCCCATTAAACCAACCATTTCTTCCAAGGTCTACCGAGTCAGCGGCCGTTTCCGCCCAAACTTCCGCATCCAAAGTGACATTCCGCGTTCTCCGCTTCGAGGTCAGCGTTCCTCCTCTGCATGCCGTCGTCCTTGCAGCGTGGTGATCTTTGATGCCGGAGACCGTTGAAGAACTTGGAGGATGGGAATAGGAAACGGCTAGGGAAGTGACATGTTGATATCATCACTTTAAAAAAAAAAACAAAAATCAACAACATATATGATTCTCAACTTCAACTATCCTAAGACCCTCGGGCAGCAGTATCACTCCCAAAACCCCTGCCCCCAATGTGTCCTGTCCACCCTCCACATTCATCCTCCGCATCTCCTACGAGTTCAAATGCATGCTGTTTGATCCCTCAAGCCAAATCAGGTGCGATATCTAGTGGAAGTTTTCCACCTGCCATACATTGTTTTTGGGGGATTGGATCAATTTTTGGATCTTCCAACATCTTCTCAATGGGAATTTCAGGATCCTAAAATGGAGGTACCTACCATATACAAGGCCTATATAAGGGGATAACCCACATCTATTTCGGGATATCACAGGGTATCCCCTCAGCTGGAAACCCGCAGTGACCAGCTCCTCCACTTCTCTCCGGTGATTCTCCATGAGTTCCATCTTCTCCTCAGCTGATCTACAAGACGGTTTGAGTGGAGCCACGAAACTCATCTATATTATATAAATAGATCCCATTGGTATATGCATGTATATACTGTATGTATATATATTTATATCTATATATATATATCATATTTTGTTTATATATATATATATGATCATAGTGTATATATATATATAGAGGGAGATAGAGAGAGTTGACCTGATGCTTCTAGCAAATAATCAAGTTGCTTATAGATAATCATCTGCCTCGGCATTTAGCTAGTTGCTTTGGGATATATAATTGTCTATAGGTCATCATTGTAAACTGCAAGATCTTCTTACCAAACAACCCCAAGAATATCACATCCAAGAATATATAGCAAGTAATACCTGGTTGGTGGTTTCAACCCCTCTGAAAAATATTAGTCACTTGGGGTTATTATTCCCAATATATGGAAAAATTAAATTCATGTTCCAAACCACCAATCAGATATTGTGAATAACCCCCATCATATCACATCCAAGAGGACCTAATATTTGTCAACCAGCGTTGCTCACCATGTCTCCATTTCGGTGGCTTGCCGCGCATCCAAGGACTCCCTTAGCTCCCTCTGCAGTTCTTGGACCTTGGTTGAACCGCAAGTTGTACCCAAACAGTTTCCCTATCTTTTGACTTAAGGACTAAATGACTCAAAGGGGACAAAAGACAGTTTTCAAATTTAAACATGCACCAGATTTAAAAAATGACATGTGACATGAATTGGTGTCTTAAAGTTGGGCCATGTGCCATGTGTTTTCCAATATGTTTCCCGATAACGAACCATTTTGGAGCATTCCCGGCAGTCCCACATGGAGAAACATGGGCAAACCCATCGATTGGCACCTGCAAGAGGATGTTGTCCATAGCCGCCTCGTGGTGTTGCCTCTGATGCTGCAATTCTTTTTCCACCTGTCAGCAGCTCTCAGCAAGGAGAGGACATCAGATGCAGGTCACGAGGGGGATATCTAAATGCATCTTACATATACGTATTCAAATATAGTTTCAGAATGTTTCAGAGTAACTTTCCGTACTTCTGTGGTAATATCTTCAGGTGCCAGTTGCAGTTTCCAGTAGTGCCCCGGTTCCCATGCTTCGAAACTGAAACTGGCACCCTGAAAAAAAAAACAAAGGCCACCAGCATATTGGAAAATGATGGCCACAATCGGTTACAATTTCTCATTTTAGGCTCCAGTTGTTGGTTTGAAGGTCATCAAAGTCACCTCTGCACAAACCTTGAGGGGATCACCCTGCTATCCTCCCACATCACTTGGAACCATCATCCTGGGTGATACAAATATCTTTGAGACACAGCATGAAACCGGCTGTTGATTTTTTACAACTATATTGCTTCTGGCTCGATCTCAAAATGTTGTTGATCATAGCTTGGGCTACACCCTATTAGGAAAAAAAATGTTTATAGCACTCGCGGTGGGAACTCCTTCCTGAAAGAAACCCGGAGAAAGGTGGTATAATCATCCGTCAATCGTAATCCGCGAGAAGGCACCTCCCCACACAAAAAACTATCCATCCGTCTATCTATTGATATATATATATATATATATCTATTGACATATAGATACATGTACAATATATATATATATATATGTACACCTATTGATGTGTATATATAAATATAATTATAGATATACAGTTTATTTACTATACATTCCCAAGTTCATCAAAAGTTGCCCCAGCCATCCATTTCCAACACGTCCGTCCGTTCCGCCTTGCTGCGGTGCTGTGCCAGCAACAGCTGCGCCAACTCGTTGCTGTGCAGCTCGTCCTCCGCCACCTGGCGGCGCAACGGCAGCTCCTGGCGGATCGCAATGGAGGGCATAGAGATAGCTATAGTAGGGCTATTATAGTTATAACTAATAGTCATATAAATAGTTATAACCCTTTACAGTTATTATAGAGATAACCCTATTTATAGTTATAGGACTATATAGAACTAATATAAATAGAGTTATAAGTGTATAGGGTTATAGTGATAACTGTATAGAACTATATATATATACTTATAGTCACAGTTAATGGTATAACTTTCCTTGCAGAACTATAACATAGTGATTGATATAGACATAGTGACATAGTTAATTTAGTTCTTGAGTTCTAGTTCCACAATGTAGTTCTAGTTCTAGTTTCAGTGTGCAACTAGCGACAGGTATGGTTCGAGAATATGAAACTGGATGGAAACAGGGATGAAAGGGCATGTTTTGAGCTCTCATTCTGGATCTGACGTGATATGATCAGTGTCTACAGGATGGGGCCCCCCAGTTATAAGTTGGTTTATAAACCATGAAATAATCCCCATTAACTATAGATATATTTACCATAAACCATAGTTTTTTCGCCACTTATAAACCAGCCTCCAAAAGGACCAATGACCGCATGACCGCTGTCCTGTTGCGAGGCGGCCTTGCTGGCAAAGGCTTCCGAGAAGTGTTGCTTGGCCAACTCCTTGGTAGGAAAAGCTATGCAAAAACAAACAGCGAAGCAAGCAGATTTCTAATCAATCCCTACAATGTGAGGCCCCCCAGTGATGTTTGTTGGTTTAGATTCGCCCCAGAACTAGTTCGTTATAAGTACCATAAACCATAGTTATTGGAGTTATAAACCAACTTAGCTATCTTGGGGGCCTCACATTGTATAACTGTATAACTAGCCATGGAATATCCATGGGTTATTGTGTTAAATGGTGTTAAGAACCAATTTTTTGGTTGATTGGGGGAATAATTTCTGGTAAAGACTAACAGTGTGCTATTGAAGCCATGGTCCATTTAGTTCGTTGATTTACCTATCAAAGATGGTGATTTTCCATAGCTGTGTTAGTTTACCAGAGGATAAGTAATCAATGCCTCGTTGGGTACAACATGATACATCTAAATACCTTGGTTACGGGGTGGAATAGATCCTATTGTGGTCTTCCACAGTATCAAACCAGTGCTATCAAACTCATTTGGATTTGTCTGAGCATCGGGGATACCTTAGGAGTGCCATTTACATAAGGAGGAACATGCTGATACACCATGATAAACCATGCAAAACTGTCATAAACCATGATGAAACCATGAACAACTATCATTAAAAATCATAAGCAATGGGAAAAAAACATCATCAACCATGAACAACATTAAAAAACCATAAACGATGATAAAAACATCAACCTTTATTCCATTTTTAGATATGCCCAGCTCGCTAAAAAACGAGTCTCTGCTTCTTTTTGCGCTTCCTCCTCGGGAGTGCATCGAGCATTGAGATGTGCCTGGCGTCCAACGGATCCAGGATCCACGAAGAACATTATCTTCAATGTGTCAAGTTACATATAACTATATTGGGAGCATTATGTAACTATATATATATAACTATATACATATATACGTATGTAGAGTGTTTCAAAAACAAACGTTTTTCTGGCACCTTTGTTGATTTTGGACATGGCCCTGCACCGTTGATTTTTTTCCCCATTAAGGTCCTATATAGTTCCCTTCCTGCTGAGGTCCATCGTTCCCCGCCTTGAAACTCTCCATGAAGTTCTCCTTGGCACGGCGAACTTCCAGCAGCAGCTCCTCGGAGGCCTGGCGTGGACTCGTGGACCGGAGACGTCCGAAGAGACGAATTTGGCCATCGCAAAGTGGTGGTTTCAATGGAACATCCCCTAGAAATAATGGGAATCATAGGAAAATGTGGGGAAATAGTGATATTGTTCTCTGGTTGGTGGTGACTTAACCATCTTGAAAATATGAGTTCGTCAATGGGAAGGATCTTCCTATATTATGGAAAATAAAAAAGTAGTTTTGAAACCACCAACAATTTCTAAAAAAACAACATCTCAGTATCTCAATATCTCAATATCAGGTTGAGATATTATCACTATCGACAATTTCAACATATTTCAACAATTTCTTGATGTGGAGTGTGTGTGTGGTTTTATAAGCGTACAAAACTGGGTAATGATGTAGCTTTCCGAAAATCTGAGATGACACTTCTCATTACATCTCCAACCCCAAAACTGGATTTTTATGATTGATTATATATTGTATTATTGCAACACATCTCATGACTCTGCACGTTGGAACGCACGTCGTGCCTCTTCCATCGCTTGGATCTCAGGCTCAATCACCTCACAGGAGCGATTTCAGCAAGCACTGGATAGTGTCCTGACACTACCCTCTGGTAAACATACAAAAAGCTATTGAAAATGGTGATTTATAGTGGATTTACCCATTAACAATAGTGATTTTCCATAGTTATGTAAACGTTTACCAGAGGGTAGACTCCTTCACTCACATCACTCAATCCGAGTTGGTTTTAACAATGTTTTGCCACCATCCAACCCCGGAAAAACACACACACATATATATATATGAATATATATATATAGTTTCCAATCAAAAAAGCAAAATCCATGTCACCAACATTCACATGTCATCAATAAACATATCAATATACTTTGATGAACTTCTAAAAACCTGCATTTTTCCAACCCATTTCCACCCCCATCCCCCCTTTGGTTTCCCCCTTTGGTCCCACGGCGCCTCCTCTCGCGGCGGTGGAAACACCGACTCCACGAAGAGCACCGGCTCCTCCGGCAGCTCCACCGGCGAGGGCGGCGGCGAAGGCGGCGGCAGCTGCACCTCGCTGTGCTCCGAGGCGCCTACACAACGGGTGGCACGGTGGAAGTGGATTTCAAGGGAGAAACTCCATAGAAAGCACCATGGTTTGGATGAGTGGATCCTAGAAAATCTACTTTAATCTAGTTTTTTTGAAATAAGCTGCCATAAATTTCGTAGTATCATCCAATTTTGGGAATGGGGTCATGAGGGCCTTGTATAAGGATGTAGGTAATACAAAACAGGTAGGGGGATCCACCTCTCACCCAGCAAAAAAAACACAGATTTAGGGTGTACCATGGTGTACCCATATCATTGCATACCCACATCCCTCAAAACTAAAACGCTAACCAAAAGCTGCCATTTCCAAGAGGAACATGATCTTTCGCATCCCGCTTATGTGGTTCCCTGTTTGTTTTCAGGACAAACATGTTGTAGGGGGGACATGTGGCATAACCCACAAGAACAAGGAAACAACTAATTAAGTGACAAATATATTTACATAGGGATGAACACAATTAATTCATGAGAGTGCCCCCTCTACGAGGGATGTAAGCAATGTAGACAATGCACATGGGCAGAAACCTGCTTTGCGCCCGATAAGAAACGGGTTGACATAGGTTCAGCAACTTCTTTTAGGCACACAGTTGGAACATAGAGATACACTGGATGACACAGTATGACCTATTTCCTGTGATAATTCAGGGATATTGGTGTAAAAGTTGTCCAACAATGCAAAGCAAGCTCAAAACAAGTCTAAGCCCGTGTTTCATAGTGTTTCTACATTTAATGAGCCATCATATCTGTTTCTTCCCCGTTACCCTCATCTCTTGCAGCAGATTTCACCAAAACATCACCGTATCCGCCCAGCCATGATCCTATCGCGCCTGACTGTGTCATCTTAGCAGTGAATTCATTCAGCATGAGCTCGGCACCCTTGAGGCAACCTCAGTGTTTTCCTCTATGTCCCGCCTTTTCAAGGGAGACCCTGCGGATATTTACCTTTCAAAAAACATATATTTGACCAACAAAAATGTGCATTTAACAATTAAAGAACGGGTTTAACATGGTTTAACCAAAGAAAAAATGGATTTGGGTTTGTCAAAAGAAACGGGGAAGGCTCGCCAAATGGCACTTACATATTGGGGGAAAGAAGCTTTGAAACCATGGGATTGATTTTGGAGGCGCACCCAATGTTCAAACAAATCCATGATGCCTTTATTGGTTGAAAAAATTAGCAACAAGCCGATCATTTGTTCATTTTGTGCCAACCAAACATGTTTTCAAAAAACATGATCCCTCACATTTCGCAAATGCGTTTGTCAAATGTTCATGACACATATCGATGGGTGCATCAGGTTTCTCAGGTGAGTCCACCATCAGACAGCCCATCCCCAGGGATCCAAGGGGCAAACAAAGGTCTGCCCCAGGACATCCAACAACAAATTCCCTGCGAAGATCAAGCTGTGCGGTTCCAAGTCCTAGTGCAAAAAGAGCCAAGGGCCAGGGTGGTGGGGGTCAGCCTGGAAAAATCAGATGATCATCTTGTAGAATAGAATCAATAGAATATTGAAGCTGAAATCAGGTGATCAGGACTGCAGAATAGATCAGAATAGATCAGAATGGATCAGAGTGATGCAGCCATGGCATGGCCAGATGCTTCCGCAAACCATCCCCATCTGCGTCCAACCAATCCCCGTGGATCCTGTGCGGCATCTTTCTGCAGCACGTGAAGATCCACCTCGTACCAACTCATGTAGCCACGCCATTGCCAGCCAGTCTCCGGCAAGCGACCACGAGGACCTGCCAAGGTAAAGAGCTTGGATGCCCCATGGATGGTGTCACCAAATCTGTTTGGAAGGTTGATGAGCTGAGGATAGTCTGGGAAAGTACTCAGCCGTGGAGGGGATGTTTCGGGAAACTTGGGGGAAGGCTTGGAAAGGGGGAGGGACGTCATGTCTTCATGATGCTTCTGCCCCTTTGATCACCCCACCTGGACACCAAAGGAGACAACTCTCCCCGAAGGATTCTTCCTCAGCAATCCACCATCCAGTTTGTCCGTTGTTGCCCACCCCGCCATCGTCGAAGAAGATGGACATTCCTTGGGCGAAAGATGTGAAAGTCTGCAGTGGTGCAAGACATCTTCCAACCATAGTGACCCAATTATACAAGTTTACAACCAAGGCAAACGCATCATCTTGAGAACAGGGGTTAGCACATACGGCACATACGAGCAGGATGTTCTTGGAAACATGTGTTGGGGCATGGGAGGGCCGCCCAAGCAGTCTGCCATGATGCTTGATATACTTTGCCCAGCCCCCACCCACCAAAAGGTTCCATTGACACACCAATTGAACCTTCCAAGTACATAAACACCAATTCTAGAAACATAGTTTGGAATCGGTGGGTATTTACTTGGAAGGTTCGAGACTTAGAGTGATTATAGTCAAACTATGAAATCTATGAAGGTTTCGCTGAGTCATTTGCCCCACAGGAGGAAGCCGTTCCCACCGCAGTTCACCCGAGCTTCGGCCATTCTTCTGCTGAAACTGTCGCAGTAGCCCATGCCGGCCAACAGCCTCGCAGAAGACCATGAGAATGATGGTGAAGTGGTGGTGTTGTTGCGTGGGTGGTTATGATGATGATGATGATGATGATGATGATGATGGTGATGATGATGATGATGATTAATATTATTATTATGATGATTATGATAATTATGATGATAAGTTTGATGGTGATAAGTTTGATGATGATGATAAGTTTGATGATGATAAGTTTGATGATGATGATAAGTTTGATGATGATAAGTTTGATGATGAGGATTGTGATGGTGATGATGGTGATGATGATGATGATGATGATTGTGATGTTGAAGCTGCAAATGATGCTGATGCTGGTCGTAAAAAAAAAAAAAAACATAGTGCTCGATGTCTACAACATTATTTTTGGCTGTCCATGCGACAGCTGCAAGTGCATGTCTTTAGAAGGCCTGCGCATACTGGGCAGATTGGCGGGCACGCTCGCTGATCAGAACTGGGTCCACAGAGACATACTCACCTCATGTTTGAATACAGAGTTGTTTCGTTGGGATAAAACGGGCCTGGCTCAAGTCAAGTTCAAGCAGCGTGACTTCTTATCGCCTACCATGAGCCACTATGGAGAATGTTGCAACAAGAAAACTGGACCATCAGCTGGTCGCAGAAAATAAGATTTAGATGAAAATTGCTCCAACATTATTGAAAAGAGCACATGGATTTCAATTCCAAGGCTTCCAAGCTGCCCAAAACCACAGAGGAAGCCGCAGGCAATGAGTAGATTTCAGGTTGAGGCCGTTGACTCAGAACTACCTCCTGCAACAGCTTTGAGTGACAAAAAATGGGGTGATTGATCGTATCTTGTCATGTTTTTGGCATCTAATCATTTAATCAACATAAATCAGCCAATTCATCAGCCAATCAGCCAACCCAAATCAAATTGCACTATATTTACTATATGCAAAGGTTCAAACACTTAAAATCAGCCTGGCCTTGAAACTGGAACCCACCCCTCACCGAGCTGCATCCCGTCCTGCATTGCAATGTGACCCACCAGGACGCCAAACTCAGCCCTGATGGATTCGGAAGACGAAAAGGCTGCGCAACGCGCAGCCGGGGCTATCTTTGAGCCCGGGGATTCTCTATACGCTGAGCCTGGAAGCGAGGGCAAATGCAGCAGAGAAACATCCGAAATGTCAGCAGCATGACCCAAATCCAGGTTTGGTTCTTTTTCACCATGCCAGTGCAAGCACAGAGCTACAATTATTCAAGGTTGTCTGTCTCATGCTGTCTCTCCAAAAATTGGCATCTCAAGGGAGATTTTCTCCCCATAGTTTCTCCAAAACTCCTATTGGTTTATTCCTGCAGTCCCTTATGCTGATCAAACGCAAACAATACAGGTATGAGCCATGGCTTGCGGCTAAGGAATCACCTGCGGAAATATAAGCAACCTACAGGGGTTCCCCGAGCCTTCAAAACGACATGACCCACATCCCATTTTATCCTTTCACCAATCCTTCACCAATCCTCCAGCAAATGGCAACTACATTTGGACCTCCTCTGCCAGTGGAACTCCCATGTCTTCATCGTCTGATGGCCTACCGTCCCAGTAGGTTTGAGGCTGCGAGCGCAGTTTCATGGTTGGACAGAGATAGGAAGCTTGGTCTTCCGCCACAGCAACAACCTTTACCTTTCATGATAAATAGACTGCCATGGGGAACGGACCAATTTGCAGCAGAATTCATCAAATAGGCGCCATTAAATCAGAATGTCTTGAACCAAACGGATGTATATGTGATATAATTAGCTTCACAAACCGACAAACGGTACACAAAATCACTGCAGAATAATGTACATGAACGCCATGTGATCCAATTTGTTTCTACCACACTCCACCCAAACTTGCACTTCAAGCCTTGCAGTTCCAACAGCTTTGGGCACAAGAACCACTTCAGTACCTGTGGCAACGGTAAAAACAATCATCTGTCCACATATGACTTCAGGTGGTGATGGGATGTAAAGTAAACCCCACAAGAAAGCTTCCAATCATGTTCCAATTATCTAAATGAATCAAATTAACATGCTCGTTTGGACTCCCCAGTGCCAAGCTTCAGAATAATGTTTTGACTGAAGCCTGTAGCAGAGACAACACTGAGTCATGTGTAGCTGCCACCAGCTGCCTGCTTCTGGCTCAATGGCAGCAGCTGTAGGCGTCAGCCTCGGTTAAGGAAAATCCAACGCATCCTAGCGACGAGAGGTCTACCAAACTTCGTTGGAATAAGGTTTATCTCGAATTTTAAACATACAGTTTCAATATGATAGGCAAGCGTCACCCATTGGCACCCATGCTCTAACATTCAAGACTCACTGGGGGTGGCTTGTGACTTGACAATTCCCTATAGAGGTCAATAAGTGCCATTGCCTGGAGGGTTAGTATCCGGAGAAGAGAACAATATCCGTACATATCCGTACTCTTTAATTAGTGCTATTACCTTGAGCGTTTAACACTCGTAAAAACATATTCGGAATTATCCCCTAGATTCCAATATACCGTATCTCTCTCGACTCTATATTATATATATATAGTGCTATTATATTACTTACTGGACCCTCTTTTGTGGAGACAGGGCCCTAGGCTGAGCCGCCAACACAACTGCAGCAGCAGAGACCGCCTCACAGATCTCGCCGGAGAGTGCGTAGACCTCAAGCGGCACCAAAAAACCACGCCCTAGTCCGAAACACGTCGAACAAGTTGGGTATACCCCAGTTGCTTCGAACAAAAGCATCTTAGATGGACCTGAAACCTGAAGGGTTGTTGAATGATGAGACGCACAGCACATGAGAATACATGTCATAAAAGCCTACTTTCCTGACAGCCTCAGTTTTGAGAATTTTGAGACCCCAACCATCCCATTCCAAACTGCCCATGGCTCCCGCTGATCTCAAAGATCCAAGGCATCGACCCTTCCCAGCAGGGCAGTGGCACACAAGGCCAGGGGCACGAAGAAACCCAACCTGGCCGGGCCATGGTGGCCATCGCGTTGAACAAAAGGAGCAACATGGAATAACATGGACATACAGCATATGAATATAAATATATTATACATATTATGATACTTGGAACATGAATGTAATATGATATAATGATATACATATGATACTTGGAACATTAAGACGACTATTGGTTTCTCATCAAGTAACATCCAAGTAACATCCAACACGAGTGTTTTCTCATCCAAGTACATTGACGCAATAGTGTGCAAGTGGAAAGAAAGCTGGGTGGTACCTAGATGAGAATAGTCAGGTCAAAGAACATGTATGAAAAGGCGGGAGATAAGCTGAAAAATGCTGTGCATTGCCACAATGGGATCTTCAACGAAGCCAAGGAGACGAAAGAAAACCAAATGATTTGTCTAAGACAAAGAGCATCAAAACGTTAAAATAAATAATTAACATTAATTAACCAAGCCCAAATCAAAATTATCGCAATTGAATGCGGTTGAATTAAGCTCATTCCAATCTAATTACAAACGACATCTCCTGCAAAGGCAAACAACAAACCGAAGAAGCCTCACCATCGGATGGAATGCAGCGCAGGCCACCTGGGCAGCTTCAGGCTGTAAACCAAACCATTGTTCTGGTGACAATCCTAGTTCATCTTTTGAAAAGGAACGAAAGGAACATGCAAATGCCACATGTTTCTCTCTCTTTATCTCTTTCTCTCTTTCCAGCACCATCAAACCATCAGCCAGTGCCATATCATAAGCAGTTCTCCGCACCAACGCCTTGGTCAGCTCTTGCAAACTCTGCGCGTGACCCTGCAAGACCTTCGGGGGCTACCAAGTCATGGCAATGGTGCATCCCTACCCAACCACGGGGCCTCCACAGGTTTGTCGTTCAACGCGGAGACAGGGAAACAATTATCCCATAGGATCCTATGCTATATATATGGTAACATTTACCATCAATATACCCCAGTCATATTAGCATATATACCAGCACCATGGATCCTATGGGTATGAACCCTTCATAGACTTTTCCCACCAACGGCCCAACTAGGAGCAAACATCCACAGCGCAAGTGATTTGCATCTGCCAAGGCCTCCAAGGATTGGAGGAGTTGAACCGATTCCTGCGATCCGGACATATCTGAGGATGGGCACTGAGCAATCTGGTGTGGGTAGTGTGGATCCAAATGAATGGATATTGAATGATATTGAATGGATATATTCCCCACTCAACACTTCACATACTTCACCAAGACACGAATCCCCATCCAACACTACGATAATCATCACTTCTACATTTAACAGCGACTGGATGGAGATATAGTCTGGTGCTCGGGGCATCCGCCCCAGCACACCAGTGCCGCGGAGGAGATTGGTAACCGGTTTGATCTACAGTAAATCTAGTGACAAACATCGAGGGAGAATGGACACTCAAGCAAAAACATGAACATGAAACATGAGTCAAACATGCTAATTACATCTAATTACTACTTAACATGTATTAACACTTGACACAAACCAACAACATCTAAACAAATATCCTGAACATGGAACGAGCATTTTCACATGTTCTGCTGAAACATTGCTTTTTGTTTGTCTCCGCTGTAGGTCTGCAGGCTGCAGCAACTCCTTCCGAACTTGAAACAAAATAGCCTCCTTCTGACAAATTTTGGCAAATGTCAGCTTTCAGTGTCCGAATTTGACATAGCAATTTACCTTTGGCGTGTTTCTGCTGAAGTTTCTTGATCTTTTCTTTCAAACGTTCAGCCTCTTTTGGGCATGAACTTCTTCTCAGCCTTTTCTGAAGTCTCTGGATGGCTTGAGCTCTCAGGACTCCTTGACCGTCGAGACGTTCGAAGCGACTTTGTTGCCCACTCAAGCCGGACACAGCTTCCCTCAAGGCCAAGTTGGTGTCGCAACTGGGTTTGGTTTCAAGGACACAGTCAGCCTGCGGTTTCTTGAGGCTCAACCCGTGGTCCACCAAGTGCCGCAGCGTTAGCAAACAAGTCCCCCTATGTTCGCACACAAGGACCCATGAAGGACTGGAGTTGTCTCCGTGTAATTTCCAGCGATCCAAATGACTCTGGTGCAAGAATTTCAACAGGTACTCCAGAATGTAGCGGTTGTTTTGCCTGACGATTAGTCTCAGCGCAAAGAGTTGCGTTATAACAATGCAGCCTTCCGCATCAAAAAATCCACTAAAATATTGCCAAGAGCCACAAAACTGCATTGGAATATGAGTTGGTTTCTTTAAAGTCTTCAGCTTGGCTCGAACAGTGCCCAGCTGCAAACCTGAAACTCTACTTGACGCAATCTTGAGCTCAGCCTGCTTCAAGCAGGCAACCGTGGCCATCAAACTGGCTGCTCGCCTTGAAGCATTACCACAAATATACCACTCCAAAACAGCTCGACAACAGCCGTGCCGGTTCTCTGAAAGGCGAACGCCCCCACCAAATGCCTCACGAAAACGAAGGAGAACTCTCGCAGAGTCTATGCTTTGGCTGACTGAAAGCACAACCGATCTACCTGCCATCGTCACACAGCCATCTCCATCAAAGAAACCTGCCAAGTACTCCAGCTCTTCCCGCGAGGGCTCACCAGGAGGTGGCCCAATAGTTTTAAGTGGAAGGGGATAGATCTGGCCATCAACGGTGAATGTTTTTGGCGGCGGAAATTTCATGCTTTTCAAGCAACATTTCAACTGATCCCGGCGCTGCTGCAACTTGACAATTTCCGAATCCGTTGCAGCGAAACATCTTTTGGGTGGGGAGCTCCAAGGGCCAACTGTGGCCAATTGCAGGCAACAAAAAGCAGCAATGAACAAGCCGACATAGCCACCTGAATGCTTTGATCTCATGGATTTCTGAGAAATGACACGCAAACGACGATGTAGGAAGTTGATGTTCAAAGCACTGGTTTCTTTGAACCAAAGCGTGCTGAGATCATCTGAGATATATTTCCCAACTGTTTTGCGAACTATTTGGTAGGCTTTCAATCTCACTCGTTCCCCTCATGATGGACAGTGTGGCGCATCCCAGAAATTGAAAATCTCTGGCCGACTTTACTTTGATAAAACTAGGCAAGCGGCTGATACGGCGCCCTTGGAAGGGTTGCCAATTTTGAGATGTGCCATTTACGATCCCTTGGAAGGGTTGCAAATTTCAAAAATGAGGCTTGCGGAAATGGGGGTATAGGATTTGATTTTTTTGAGTTTTTAACATGCTGCACATGCTGTCGGATGATCATCAGGAGGGGTGGGGGTGGGGGGTGGGGGGGGTGTATTAACGTTCTTGACGAGCACTTCCTTTACGTTACGGAAGATGCACACGTTGCGCATGCTGTCGTATGATCATCAGGGGGGTGGGGGGGGCGTATTAACGTCCCTGACGAGCACTTCCTTTACGTTACGGAAGATGCAAGCGTTGCACATGCTGTCAGTTGTGTCAAAGATTGTCCCCACAAAAGGTTCAAGTTGGCCCAAGTCAACCACAAACAAAATATCTTTACTAAGACTAAGACTTATCATTTTCGAGGTCGTTTGTGGGATAAATCCTATAGAACCATTGTTGCTGGTACTCAACAAATGGATGGAACATGGAAACACTTGAAAAAATGGCGACCTCCGTCGATGCTCCACAAAAAAAAATGCACAAAAAAAGGTACACTTGGGCCTACAGCTGGACATGGCGTCACAACGCTGCCTTGTTGCAGACTGTGGCTTCTGCGTTGCCACAAGCGCTCTGGCACCGCTAGCGTCGAGAAGAGGAAAAAACTGGAAGAGTGAATGTCGCCCTGATATGATTCGGATGATTGAAAATCATAAATTTCTAATGTTTTTTTTTGGACCCTTGAAGAGCAAAATCGAGTCACCGCGCAGGCGAAACGCAAATTTTCACTCTTGAGTCACACGCCTGCCAATCGAAATGAATGTCCATGTTGCAAACAATTTTTGACGACTCCTGCAAATACCAGCATTTTGTCTCTTAGCCTCAAAAATCAGAATTTCAAATTTCGTCACCCTTACAAGGGCGCCGAGTCAACCGGTTGCCTTGTTTAAGGTGACTTGTTGTTTTTCTACAGGATGGGGCCCCATAGTTAGCTAAGTTGGTTTTGAACAATAATAACAATAGTATTTGGATGGGGTTATAAACTATCTTATAGCTGAGGGGCACCATCCTGTATATTTGGAAACACACCAGAGCTGGGGAATTGATTTAAGGGAATAATATCTATGAATCATGAATATACTTTGACTATCTTGTGGAACTGGAGGAAACACATTTTTTTGATTTTCCCTAGGGAAACCAATGATAACAGATATACATGTACAGAAGTAATGAAACATGTTTTCATATGTTTTAATATTCATTCAAAAACCAACTCAATTTTCTGGTGTTAAATTGCTATAAAATAATTTAAGGGATGTAAACGCGTGCGGGCATTTTGTTTACAATTGCTAGAGTATTGTTGGATACGTGAAAACTCTCGTACCGTAGGGATCGAGGGAATTTTTTGGGGGGGATCGGCGGGGGAGTGCCTTGGAGCAATCTCTGCCCGAACTGCCCAAAGCGCTTCCACGTCCAAAGAGGTTCTTATCTGTCTCTGCCTGTGCTTGTGCGGCGAGTGCGCAGGAGAAAGACAAATGTTTGAAAGAGCAGTGGCTGGAGGAAAAAGGCCTCACCTACATCACAAAAAACTATCGACTATGCCCCATGGACGGTGTTGAGGCAGAGACCCAGGAGACTGTTGCGGAGTCTTGAGCGAAGAGGTCGATCCAGCCCCCCAGCTCCGACTGGCCCCGATCCTGATCGATGCCTTACTACGGGATTTTCAGGGCCTACAGGACTCGGAGATTTCCGAGGAATCCGACGATGATATGGGGATGAGGTCGCCTACCACGAACTCATCGGCGTGGCGCGTCTGACACCCCAAAATAACTAGACAGGGTAGACGAGTTAAGGACTTTTCCTTTTGTTTTTTTTCTTTTGGTTTTGGTCATTTTTGGCTCACCATATTTGTTTGGACAAACCCGTTTTTCCACCACACTCACATATAAATTCAAATCATAATCAGCACCCAACAATTTATAACTTTTATATCATGAAGGCAAAGGTGCCGATTGAACATTCCAACCGTGAATGAAAACGAGTCATCTTCACAGGCTGATTCCAGGCTCTTGACCACAAAAATGAGTTGGAAACCATGTTTTTCTTCTGTTGCTGATCTAGTTGATCTGGTTGACCTGGTTTTGATCTGGTTAATCTGGTTGATCTGGTTGGTGATTTCATGGCCTATCTCAAGAGGATGATCTTGGCTCAGCTGATGACAGCCATGGTTTTCAGTGACCACATGAATTCCAGTATTATACAGGGTGCCCCAGGTCGATAGCTCAGTTGGTGGGTTTAGAATTATCTAAGTTCAATATAGGTGTAACTGCGTTTTGAAAGAATCGAAACAAGTCAGGTACGTACGATGCTTGGTGCGACGGTGCGATGGTGCGGTGCAATGGTGCAATGGTACGGTGCGATGGTACGGTGCGATGGTGCGATGGTACGGTGCGATGGTGCGATGGTACGGTGCGATGGTGCGATGGTACGGTGCGATGGTGTGATGGTATGGTACGATGGTGCGATGGTACGGTACGATGGTATGCGATTGTTTGCGATGGTACGCAACTGCATGCACCATGAGGTTGAGGTGGTGTGATGGTGTGGCTGCACTGGTCGATGGTGCCTGTCATGTTTTGCGATAGTATACTGATGAACCATGGGATGTTATACTGGTGTGGCACCATGGTAAGTTGTAATACAGGTTCATGTGTGCAAAGTCACAACCATCTACCTGTAATAGTTATATTTTTCATAATTTTTCTAAGTTGCACAACGTCCAAAACCAAGTAAGAGAATGGTTAAACGAAAAGGTCCAAAAATCAGATTTTATAAATTCCTTATTATTTGTTTCGGTATGTTTCGGAGTCACACGCGTGAAACCAGTATAGCTTGATTTTTCTGAGAAACATTTAAACTCTCAAGTTTGCAGAGTTGATGTTCATTTGATGTCCATGATTTTTTTGGCATCGGCAAAAGCAGACATGCAAATGTATTCCAAGCAAACTTAACTGTAACTTTGGTGGATTTGTTTGGTATTGGATGGACAGCAAAAAAAATGAACACCTCATAGGCTTTGACAACAGGAGCACGATTTCGCAGACAAGGAGTCCAGTGTGCTTTATTGTATTATAGATGTATTATATATATATATACTGTATATGAGGGTTGCTTTCGTGTCAATATTGTTACCCTGAAGCACATGACCTATGCACGTTCCTCCTTGTTTCTTTCTGGTTGCAAGGTTTTGGCAAACATTGGGTTCAACAATTTGAAATCAAGTAAGAAAACTATAGAAAACTATATAATACAATTTGCTCCAAAGAAACCAAAATCTCTCGGGGCATTTTTGTTTCAGGGCAGGTTTTTTAAATCGCGGCCAAACCTTTTCCTTGAGATGCTCTTCCCAGTGTTCCAAGGGGATATCAGCAGTGAAGTTGGCCTTCCTATGGGGGCAACTTGTGAGATTATTGGTGTGTTTCAAAAGGAGTCCAACTGTTTTGAAACGAAGAAGAAAGCTCTGACCAACAGTACCCCAAACCACAAAACAATGCAAACAAACATACCCTTACACAAAACCATGCAGTTGAAGGCAATGGGCACCACAAGAGAAAACCGATTCGGGGCAGAGGGTTGACGGTGCGATCCAATCTTAGTATTGCATCAGCAGTGATATATAGTTTAGCCAAGGGTCGATTAATAGTATGGTGACATGTTGTGCGAAGAACATCCCACTTTCATGTCAAAGACTTCAATGACACATTAGGACATACTTTTCACTATACCGGCGCGCAAGTCTAAGCGTCAAACAAGAGTGAGGCAGGCTGAAATATACCATTGCAGGGGTGAAACCATGGGTTACTGTACCAACCATCAACCATTGAATATGTTTGTTCTGCTTCCGGCCTGGTTTCTTGATGACCCCAGCTCTGGCCGTTGGCTGCACATGACACATGAAAACACAAGCAGGCAAGCAGAATCTCCTACACTCAGCCATTCGCAAATTACCCGTACCACGGCATCGCGCCGCAACACTACATATCCATACATATCGTACTACGCCATTGTACCATTGTACTGTCTAACGTACCATCGTACCGTACCATCGTACTGTACCATCGTACTGTACCCACTTTCACTTGTACGTACTTGTAGGGTGTTGGCCGTACCAATTCATTTTAAGTATTGGGTACAGTCAACATCCTACAAGTGGGTACAAGTGAAACCAGGTACGGTACGGTGGTACGGTGGTACGGTGGTACGGTGGTACGGTGGTACGGTGACACGTTACGATGACTGTTGCCCAGGCGCCAGCCGTGGAGCAAACCTCCTGAAGGGGAAACAACATCAAATTGTGGATATGTGACCTTTGACCAACATTTATCACCATCAACATCACCACAATCATCACCATCATCATTCATCATCACATTTTCTTGTGTAATATCATCTCCTCCCTCCTGCTTTCTTTCGGGCCACACCGGCCACACTGTTGTCTACTTTGCTTAGATTGCCAAAAACGATGAATTCTGCGTGGACTAAGTGAGCAACACACCCACAGAGCACAATATGAGCAGTTCATCGAGACAAACAAAAAGTAACCATGGCGGAATGAACATTTTTTTTATGCAGAGACAGAGAATTTCGTGGTAATACTTGCCAAAAAAAACAATGTTTCCGTACCAACTTCATGTACCTTGCAAGGTTTCATCAAGATTGACTTTGCAAACTAATTTAGTGTACCGTGCAAGCTAAGCCAATTTGATTTGCAATTGACACAATCTGATTCTTTTGCTAGCATTGCAGGCTGAACTAATTTCTCTAACAAATATTGATTTTATTATAGTTTGCTTGAATGCTGGCCATTACAAAATACAGATGAACATGAACTGCTTGACTTCACCCCTCAGCTTTGTTCAATGTAGCCTTTCCGCTGTTGGATCAAACCTCCAACTCATTATACACAACCACAAAACACACAAACTGTTCATGACATGTAGCTGTGCAGATCTGTGTAGCCCATTTCAACACCAAAACCCTGTGTAGAATGGGTTGGTAGGAAAAATCAACTCAATTGAACAAGCATACCACGAAAGACAGGCCGCCTTAGTATCAAATCAAAGCCGACTCAAAAAACATCTCAATGCCGCTGACTTAGTTGGACATTGCACATCCCTATTCCGGCCGTACCGTTAAAGGCAGCCTCGTTCCATTCGGTACTGGTTTAAGCCTTAAATTCACGTCATGTTGCAAGGCACAAAACATGCTATCAAGTCCTTTACAAAAAAATATTCGAGCAAAGCTGTCAGAAAAGACCTTCAATCAATTGCTGGAAATAGTTGTGTGATTTGTGAGTATCCTTATCGGAAATTTAGCAATTCAGTCAAACAACCGTTAGCTCCAGAAATATTGTTAAGAAATATTGTTAGCTTCAACATCCCATATATTACATATTTAAAACATATGTTAGATTTTTTAAACATGTTAAAACTAGTTTGATTGTCAATCACTTAATAAATTTACCAGGTTACCAATTTAAAAATATCATATGGTTTAGTCTATGTCATAGAATATGTAGAATACATGTTTTTTTTTAAAAAAAAAATCAGCGTTTGTATATCAAATTTCATCATTTTTGTACTAGTAGTTACTAGATTAAATTGTATGTGTGTGTAGTAAATATAATATACATATATGTGTATGCGCCGTTATTGATAAACATATAGTCACTGAAATGCTTTCTCGACGTCGACAATGTATGGTTTATTTTGGGATTGTTTTCACAATTATAATATTCAAGATTTAACAATCATCAAAGTATCGTACCACTGTACCATACATCATCTACTGTACAATCGTACCATGGTACCATACATATACTATATCATTGTACCAACGTACCGTACCACCGTACCTATCGTACCCGGGGTATACCGTACCAGGATTTAAGTATCTATAATCACACCTATCTTGAACCTAGATAAGTTTAGAACTCTAATAACTAGGACGTATGGTAGACATATCGAACTAGTGAGTGGGATTATAAAGCAAATTATAACTGGGGGGGCACCACCTTGTATCCACCAGCGTACTTGCACTATGTCAATGGCGATGCAACAGGAACCGATTGATTGGAGGTACCTACCATTTATAAGGCCGAATTTTAGGCCTATGTGAATTTTACACAAAATATGGCCTCATATGGTACAGTGCCTCCATTTTATATAGGATTCTGAAATTACCAGTGACTATGCAATAGGTTTACAGTAGTATGAAGCAGCAAATAGAATGATGATGTGGTAAGCCCCATGCTGAACCATCATGTTTGGCTGTCCCTGAAGAGAACAGATGCGAAAACTGGCATGGCTGGCTTTACCAGACTTATTGTCATGGAAATCTATTGGTACCCCCAATAAGCCCGCACGCAGTAAGAGTTGATGGAGATGGACAGTCCCTAAACTCAGGCCTTATTCGGTGGGGGTTGCCTTTGGGGGGTACCCTGCGACTTGTGATATCTTGATATTTAACAGTACTAACGTGCGACACATGGACGGTTTCACCCATCTCCGGCTGTTAGGTCTTGAAGTCAAAGAATTTGTTAGTCAGCACTTCAGCTCCCAGACTGTCACTTGGCCTGGACTTGAACCCCCTAAGGCGCCCCTGACGTTAGTGAGATTGGTGGGTCAGGAGAAGAATAGCGGCCATGGAAGGTATGGGAGATACTAGAACCGATCATAGGGGGTAGTGACTCGGTAGTGAGGAATATAAATCAGGCAAAAGCGGCAACAGACACCAATGTCAGAAGTGGAATATCAGTAGCAACAAGGGGGGGATTGAACCCAAATGGAGATCGTCTACTAAGAATGCGAACATAAAACAACTCACATAAAGGCCACTGGGTGTATCAAACAAAGGCCAAATGCGACAAGTAGTATTAAGTAGTGCTGGTTGACCAATGTTTTCTACAGAAATGTCCAAGCGTCGTCAATGATTTAATGGATATTAATGGAGATGTATTACAAACAGTGATGGAACATGATGGAACCATGGCACTGATGCCCTGGCGACTACAGAATTTTCCACCGTCCACGAAGCCCATCATGGTTTCAGGGTCGACTTGGATCATGATATATATATATATATACATATATATAAATAAATATATATATATATATATATATCGCCCATAGATAAAATATAGTTCGGGATCCACCGTAAATCCGTAAATATAATCACCATTTGGTTATTAACATAGCCATGGAAAATCACCATTTTCAATAAGTAAACCTCTATACATGGGCCATTTCCCATGGCTATGTTAAATAAACAGAGGGTATGTGTGGTGTTTTTGAAAAAACAAACATCCAATTTTCAGAGTTATCATAGAAAAAAACATTACACCAGAGCCATGGCTCCAGTATGGTATGCCATGTTCGAAAAGCTGACTGAGTGGCTTTGAAGTGCGAATCAATCTAGAATAAAGTCCACTTGAAGCAATCACACTCAGCAACAACATTTTTTGAAGATGATCAGGTTTACTGGAAACTTAAACAATGCATCGTTGTAAATTTAATTGCCGTTCCCTAAGCTAGTCCATTGAATAGCCACGTCTTTGTTTGAGCTGAAATGGTTACAATGTGCCCCCCTGGTTGTGTTTGTTTGTATCTAAACCCACCAAACTATAGTTACACCATAAACCAGGTTGCAAGACTAGTCGTAAACCAGTTGGCCTATCATAAATCACCGATAATTTACCTCTAAATCACCCCAAAATCACCTGTAAATCGCCTGTGAATCTATATAAATCACATAGTCAAGCGTAAATCACCCATATTCCCATTGATTTTTGATGTTTCATGTTCGTTATTTTCCCATATTCCTATCAAATCCCCATGGGTATACCATCAGTTCCCATTGGTTTTAGTTTATTTTCGTTACGCTTGAGACCCCAGGCCAATGGCTCAGCCCATCAGGCGCTGGGATTTGAATAGATTGAGTACAGGATGGGGCCCCCCAGTTATAAGTTGGTTTTTAACCCCCATTAAGTATAGTTCTCTATACGTAGTTATATCTGCCATAAACCATACTTAAGCCACTTATATCTCAACTTAGTAGCTTTAAATGCGATTTGAATGGATTCCAAGCACAGATTTAAGAAGCAAACATCGCATTTAAACCATTTTAAACCCACAAAAATGGATTTAAATGGATTTCAATCAGCAACACTTGAGATTAGAAAAAATGGAAGATGGATTTAACCACCCAACATGTGGACCATCACAATTGGTGATGTTGCAGCCAACAAATTGTGGTTTAGCCAGCAAGACTTGGGGTTAAACGGACACAAAAAGTGGGATTGAAGCAGTGAGTAGTGGAAATATATTGGTATTGTGGAGCTGAATGAATGTGCGATAGAAGCAACAAAAACCGGGAACGTACCATGAAACTCAGGATACCCTGGGGCACTGTTATTCAAAATATTTACCCTCCTGTACACGTGTACATAGCTGTGTAAAACCCACCGTCCAAGCAGATTGTCCGAACGGGAAGCCATTGATTTTCCATATCTATGTTTGTTTCCATCAGAGTCATCCCTGGAATTGATGTCTTTTAGGGAAATCGACTGGGGCCAGTTTGGTAGTTCGATGCGGGTTGCCGGACTGTCCCTTCTAACAAACCAGTGGAAAAGGATTTCAGACTATGTCTCAACATGATTTGTTTAATACTCATATCCCCCGTCCAACTCACATAGACTCTATAGACCCTGCCTTTACAGGGGAGTTGAAAGACTCCAAAAATGGTGATTCTCAGGATCAAACTGGCCAAAAATGGGGGAGAACGGCATGCAAGACGATGACAACATGGAAAAAGTGATGATGAACCACTGGATATTGTGGTCTTTTCAGATACCCTCTGGTAATTTAACATACTTATGGAAAATGGCTCATGAACAGTTGATTTACCTATTCCAAATTGTGATTTTCCATAGCCATGTTTGCTTGCCAAAGGGTATTTTCAGACAAACCCAAATGAAGGTTTCCAATCCATGTGGGTACCCCCAGTCATCCATTTTAGATTGGGATTTTCCATTAGCCATCTAGCCATTGGGGTAGCCCCATGACTATGGAAACCTCAAATAATAGCATTTCATTTCACAATTCCAGTCTGATTTTCTATTCCATATATGTAAATCTATGTATGTACTGGTTGGTGGTTTGGAACATTTTGTTTTTTCCATATATTGGGAATGTCATAATCCCAACTGACTTTCATATTTTTCAGAGGGGTAGGTATACCACCAACCAGATATATATGGTAAATACACTAAACAAAAATCGTTGGGTCCATTGGTACCTGTACTTTTTTGGCCCATGGCAGCCATGGCCAGGGAAGATATCGTGGAGCAAGCTCCCATGCCGGCGGCCGAGGCAATTTTGTCGGTGTTTTTTTGCGCAGAAGAAGTGGCCGGAATTAACAAATTGAGATTTAGCCAACAAAAACACGCAGACTTATACATTTTCTACATGTGATTTTTGTTGATAGGTGAGGTTGTTCATTTCCTTGTAGCAAATCTAAACTGGGATTTATGCGTGAAAGTGAGATGACTTGGTTTAGTACCTGCTAGCAATGACCTAGGAAAATCATGGAAATCTCGGAAATTGATTGTGGAGATTGAAAATTAGTTGATATATGTGAGGTAGTCGGACTTCGTGCTTAGACATAGGACCAAGAGACCAGTTTGAGGGGATCTAGAGAACCTTCTCCTGTCCCAGAAAGGTACCACGCAGGTTGAGTGAAGTTTCAGACAACAGGGGTTTATAACTACGTAAAGCAGGATCTATGGTTACTATAAATTATGGGGTTTATAGTTTGTGGCTATTAAAAATTTATAGCAATATATGCTAATATAACTGTAATCAGATATATAATATTAAATTAATATATGTTAGTATAATTTTAGTCCATTGGAGGTCTTGTTCAGCACACATTAATAACAATTCCCATATCCAGCTTTCCAAAAAAAATGATGATCCTGGAATAAAGTGCACCGTACTGCACCCCAAGATGGGGCACGTAGTTGTTGAATCTTTAAGTGACTTATGACAGCTTATATCCATATTATATATATATTGAAAATAAAATACATTAATCACATAATATAATTTAATATAATATAATATAATATAATATAATATAATATTTTTTAGTGTAATATAATATAATATAATATAGTAAGTATCTCAGTAGGATATATTCAGTTATATGTTTATGTTTGCGATGCTGTAGCATGAGGCACCAAGGCAGTGACCACTGCCCCAGCCCTGCAGGAACTGCAGAAAACTCACGCGAAACTCCCCAAGCTGTCGTCGACGAAAAGAAGCAATAGAGGTGCCCGAGATGGGCACCTGCGAAGCCCTGAAAAAATCGAAGTTCACGTCTCAAAAAATGGTGATTTCATGGTAACTTTACTGGGGTTTCATGGTGACTTAATGGGACATATATGGAAATATCATCTACTTGGGCAGGAAAGAGGTGAGTTTTTCTATGGCACTCCATCGCAATTCTCTCCCCCATGTTTGGAAGTGCACGTCCAAGTAGGAGATAGCATCAACATGCAATTGAGTCAACCTTAAGCATTGGGCAGACCGAACGCTTGGCGCACGCGTTCAAGCAGCTCGGGATGTCCCGCGAAGCTGGCGGCTTTGGAGAGCCGCTTCGCAAGCGGCTCTATGACATCCTTTTGGGGGCACCAGGGCCTGGCACGGCACACAGCGCAGATTTGGCGACTCTCCATTATGCTCGAGAATGCGAAGGACATCCCCGACGCGATTGACGCCATTGGCAAGGTGACAATCTAGGGATTTTCGCATTTTATGTGAAATTACTGTTGTTCTACTTGGACATCTAACTTATCATCAAACATAAAGAAACCAAATGACACTATATCTTCGATCTTGTTTTCCCATGTTGATATCCTTTACATTGATTGAATCCTGTCTCTTGATTGAATGCAACGTTTTGGTGACATGTTCGCTTCTGTTGGGGGATTCCATTGTTTTCTTGGGAGGGATAAATTGTTCCCAAGAAAACTCTGACTGAATACTCGTATTCGCGCCTTAACCAAACAATACCAAACATATAGATATATATATATATATGTATGATCTTTGAAGCATTGTTGACAATTTTTATGATTGTGTTTTTGTCCAGGATATGTCTCCACTCTACCAGTGCTTGTAAGTCAAGTCACCCTCCAACTGATGCCGCGATGCCGCTGAATGTGGAAAGTCACCATGTTTAATCGGTAAATCATCAAACATCATCAGAAAGTGGACCATTTACCATAGCTAGGCTATAGCATATGATGCTATATGTGAAATCACCAGAGGGTAATTCGTAAATTTTGCCCAAACGTCCTCATGCTCGGGCTATCTATGGACAATGGGTCGCCACATGGACCAAGTCGTGGGCCTGGTCTTTTGGGGACCCGGGTCGCTACAAAGAAAAGGCTGCACGTCAAAGGATAATCATATAGATAAGTTAAGATAATTTTATCTTCAATTTCACTATGGTTAATTTATGGTAGATTATAGACTTTATAGTTATTGGGAAGTGATGTTCTTTTAAAACAAGGTTCACATCAATCGGGGCCTTTTTTGTCCACATTGGTCAAGGCTTGGGCTGTCGATCTCCATTTTTCCATTCACATCCATCTGCAAATGAAAACGCACACCCAGTGAAATGGTGGTTGGTTCATGTTCACCCATCTACCCTCTGGCAATGACTAACATAGCTATTGAAAATGGTGATTTATAGTGGATTTACCCATTAATAATTAAAAAGGTGATTTTCCATTGTTTTTTGTATGTTTACCAGAGGGCAACTATGGATTTATACTATCTGCAATAAACAACACTAAAGCTACTTCTCCTGGAGGTGCCACACATTGTACTAACTTCAATTGGATCAGCACTAGCTGCACTTCCCATGTTGGTTAAATCATGTTAAATCCTTACCATTAGCATTAGTTCAAAGCATTCAAATGTGTCTTGCGTAGATCCCACTCTTCTTAAGATCACCATTTCTGCTGGTCCAAAACCTTCAAACAATCCAAAGTCTACTGCTTCAATTGTTAAAAGATGTCAAACGTCCTAGAGTTCTGGCTCCAATTTCCCACCTTTTCGCCGTCCGCAGACAGCATCGGACCGCTGCCGCCCAACTGGCGTCCTTCCTCCAAGGGGCAGACGGTGTCGCGGGCAGCCGCGGCAGCTCCTTGGGACGAGTTTGTTGCTGTACTTTTTAACTTACTGGTGCTTAGTAGGGAATGGATGGGAATGGGGGTTGCTGGGATCATTATTGATAGTTCTTGATAGCTATTGTGGATCATTCCCTCGTTCCCTACGTTTAGCACAAGTAAGTCAATTGTTCCCCATATATGTTCCCTATATTTTCCCTCCTATAGTTTTCCCTATATTCTAGGCCAATCTTAGATGGGTAAAAGCTAATCCTTTATATAGTCTTTTGGTATCAAGGGGATTACTAACCAGCTAAGAATTTATTTTTTTGTGCAGGGTAAATCTAAGATTGGCCATGTTTACAGCAACAGAGAACTGTTCGAAACCCAAGGAATATACGGGTCTGTTTGAATTAATGGGGTATATATCCAGAAAATAAGGTCATTTTCTATAGGGAAAATGATGATTGACCAGAGGAATTAGGGATACCCTGTCTTCAGACAAACCCATATTGGTGATTTACAGGTGATTTATGTAGGCTAAGTTTAACTATGGTTATGGAGGATCTATTATGATATATTTATGTGCTATTCATGGGGCGAGTTTATAAACCTGTGCATGTCACCGGGGGAGCCTCACCGTTTAACAGGGTTTGGTAAATGCCCTGTTTTCAGGATTTTGAATATCAGTTTCACTCGTCGTTGGAGATTCTATCGCCGTTGGGTGATGTTGAATTACCACTGTTTATTCCCAAAAAGATAAGCGGGTATTTCCAGGATGGTTCACATGAAGGTTTTATGGAGTTGTGTCAGGGAGATATTCTACTGATATATCAATTGGGAATGGGAGGGATGTGTGGGGAGACTTGCTTGGGGTATAGATAGATTAGATAGATTAGATAGATTAGATAGATTATATATTATAAATATATATATAAGATAGATTTTACAGATTAGATGTATATACATTAAGAGATTAGAGAGACCATAGATTATATATAGCTTATATTTATTAGATAGATAGGTAGATAGATAGATAGATGGATAGATGGATAGATGGATAGATGGATAGATGGATAGATGGATAGATGGATAGATGGATAGATGGATAGATAGATAGATAGATAGATAGGTGGATAGATGGATAGATAGATGGATAGATAGATAGATGCATAGATAGATAGATGGATAGATAGATAGATGGATAGATAGATAGATAGATATATAGATAGATAGATAGATAGATAGATGCATAGATAGATACATGCATAGATAGATACATAGATAGATAGATAGATAGATGGATAGATAGATAGATAGGTAGACAGATAGAAAGATAGATCGATTGACAGATTGATAGGTTGATAGATAGATAGATCGATAGATAGATCGATAGATAGATAGACAGATAGATGGATAGATAGATGGATAGATAGACAGACAGACAGCTCTACCTAGATATGGGTGAAACTTGTTGATCGACATGGGGGATATACTCACGCGCCTTACGAGCGGCGACGGATACAGGAAGAGCCGTAGCCTTGCGCACACCAGACGTTTGTGGACATTGGGAATGCCACGGTTAGGGATTATTAGGGAAATAGATGGAAATTGTACGAGAAGCAAAGTAGTCAACCGGTCGATTTACCAGATATCATCCGAAATAGGAGTATACTAGAAAAAATCGCCTAATTTTGGACATTTCATGGGTGACTGCCCTCTGGTAAACTAACAATAACTGTGGAAAAACGCCATTTCTTGGTTCCTTAAATCATCTCTAAATGGGCCATTGGCTTCAGTAGCGAACTGTTCAATTACCAGAGGGTATGGTTCTTTAAATGCCACACATTATGGTAATCAACATTTCTGTAATGACACAATTAACCATTAACCATTATTAACTGGTTGGTGCTTTGGAACATGAATTTTATTTTTCCAATTCAGTTAGGAATGTCATTATCCCAACTGACGAAGTCATATTTTTAAGGGGGTTGGTCAACCACCAATCTGATATAGTTGATAACATATATTTAAGTAACATTTCACAACATATATAATTATATACACCATAGATGACATGTAACATAATGCTTCACAGCTAATTAACCATTAATTAACCATTATCAACCATTATTAACCATGATTAACCAATCATCAACTCATTCTTGGACAAAAAAACACTGCCAACTGCCAACTCGAAGGCCGAAATGTGTTCAGTGCGATGCGGAACGCACGGTGTATCAATTCATTTCATGCTACTTACTGTCCTATATTTTTATATATATATATATCAACTGGTTGGGATAAATATCATCTGGTTGGTGGTTTGGAACATGGCTTTTATTTTCCATTTCATATGGGATGTCATCCTTCCCATTGACGAACTCATATTTTTCAAGATGGTTGAAACCACCAACCAGTATATACAATATATATCTATATATATATATTTATATGGGATCCGGGCAAAAATCCCTACTAAGGAAAAGTGAATCAAGTTGCGAAATTAATTTCAGGCAATAGGTTTTTAGTCTTCATTATGCAGCGGGCCCCCAACAAAACATTGCATTTCTGCAGCTTGGCGCTAGGTTCGTGTTAGCAGTGCGCGAGCATTTTTTGGTTTCAACACTCCCAGGAAGTAGTTCACTTCTACATTTGGCTTGGCATTGGAAGGAAGTTTCTTCCTCTTAGATTGTATTACCCATAGGATCTATGTATGGTATATATGCTAACATTGGGATACATTGGGGGTATATTGATGGTAAATGTTACCATATATAGCATACATGGATCCTATGGGTTATATAGTATTGTGTGGAATTGGCATGGTATTGAGATGATGTGACAGTTTGTTGTTTGCCACCAAGGACCGGAATGCTTTGCATTGGTATGGACGTGTTGAGTTTCGCAAAGTTCAGCCACTGCATTTTTGTGAGAACCCCAGTACTTGTTAAACATATTTCCAAAAGTAGTGCAGTCATCCGCGCTAGCCTGGCGCTAGCGCCGCGCTAGATCCGCGCTAGCGAACATGTGGCAATACCAGCCCTGGCCCAGAAGTTAAACATTTGTTGTGGCACTTCTTTAGGATCGAAACATGGGCGGGGTTGACGTCAAATGGAAGTACCAAAGATTTTGGGAAGTACCAAAGAGTAGGGCGTGCTTTAAAGTAAAACGTGCCAGAAGCACATACCGAAGGCGATATCTGCAGGACATGGCACAAGAATCAGACAGTAGCACGCCATCCTCCTCATCCGAGAGTGGTTGAAAGTGCCGCGCTCTAGCGACGTTCGCAACGAAATGCAACAATGATTCTCTTCCCCTTGATTCCCTGTGATTTAGAAGACATATCAAGATACATGACGCAGAAGTAAAGTTATGTAGGGGCCCCCAGCTATTCACGACTTTTGCACACTTCTGGGAAAAGACATTTTGACCAGCCACCATATACGAATATATAGATATATTAATTAATCATTATTACATATTATGTAGTACTATATCTATAGTATATATCTATATACATCAATAATTATATATATATATTTACATAGTAGTGTATATGCATATATAATTATATATACACATTAGTGTGTGTGTATATATATATATATTTATTTAGATATAGGCCACATATGATCAATCATGATCAGCCATGATTCCCGTATATTAGCCATTGGTAACCACTATGAAACTCAACTGCAACCCATTCTCATTATCAATCGTTAGCATTATCAAAGGGGACGAAATAACATCAACCGGTACCAAATCATTTAACCATTATTTCACCACTATATGACTATACATATATATATATATATACACATCAACCACCACAAAACTCAGCTGCAACCCCCCAATTGTTTCCCATATTTTCCCTATCGTTTCCCTATAGTTTTCCTTATTTTCTAAGCCAATCTCAGATGGGTAGAACCCCCCCAAAACACGCCGACAAAAATCGCCAGCGTTTTGTTCAGCTAGGCTTTCTGGGGCATCACCCTGGAGGACGGCGGCTCTGACCTTGGAGATGAAGAGGCCCGCCATGCCACGCCGCCTTGGGGCGCTAGTGGCGGCCGATGGGATTGTTTTTTTCATGTTCTCTTTGTGGGAAAATATCGGAAAATATATGGAAAACGATGGGAACATATGGGAAAATGATGGAAAATGGTGGTTTCAGTATAGGAATATGAATGGCCTATACGTGACAATCCCTACTTTGGATCCCTATTTACCCATCCCTTTTTAAAAGATGGTACGGGGTGTTTCATACATTATATAAATAGGGATCCATCGTCGAAAACGTTGGTTGAGTAATGGTGCTCCTTGGAAGGGTCTTAACACATCCATACAAGGTATCAAGGTGGTGCCCAAAGTTGAACTCTGTTGGCTTAAATCCAACATAAACGATAGGTAGGGTAGGTAATTATATCTATAGTTCACAGTGGGTGTCAAAACCAATTGATAACCCAGGGGGCACCACCTCTTAGATTCTTTTTGTTTTCTCCGAAATTGCTATGCCCTCTGCTTTGCAGCTGTTGCAAGAATGGAGGGCACAAAGGTGCCGTTCCACACGCTGCAAGCGGCTCGCAAGGTGCCAGGCGGAAAGATGGCAAGTGGGCGAGCCGTCGGGCTGACTCACTGTCTTTCTGCAGCTGGCGATGTTCGAAGTCTGCAAATCACATCACAAATCACTATGCACACCATGGAGAACTTCGACGCTTTGCTTGCGAACGCTTAGGAGATCTTAGAAGTGCATAGAAGTACAGCACGGTCTGCCAACACAGTACTTGGCCATTTTCGGTATAGAGCGCTGGCGCGGCTACTCATTATGATGTCCGCATCAAACTAAAGGAGCGGCAACGCGACTCCATCGGCAGCGCTGCCGTGAGGGCTGGAATGGCCAAAAAAGTACAGCACTGTACGCCTGTCACCTTTGAGACTCTGTGGTCTGATTGCAACGATAGGAAATCACATGAAATCACTATCAAATGATTAATTAAGAGTCATAACCAACTAACATAACCAACTAAGAGTCATGAAATCACCAACTAATTTCCAACGGTTAAAACATAGGGGAAACCAAGTAACATAACTCCATCAACACTGGTATAACCAGAAAATTATCGAGAATTGCAGCCCTGATTTTTTGAGCCAATGCCGACCTTGAAATGTTGGCTCAATTATTCCAAATTGCTAGGCAAATCTTAGATGGGTAGAAACTAGTCCTTTAGTCTTTTGGCATAAAAGTTATCTACCAACCGGCTAAGAATTTATTTTTGTTGCAGGGTATCTAAGATTGGCCATGATCGATCCTGAATTCCCCAATGAACTGTGGGAAGCGGTTCATCTTCCAATCCTGCCATCCATGGTGTAACGGAGATGACCATCAACACGCCCCCACTTCCATGAACCAACGTTTTTTGTAGTGGGATATCTTGGGATATCTTGGTGATTTAATGGTGATTAATGGTGATTTAATGGTGATGAATGGTGATTTAGTGGTGGTTGATGGTGATTTACCCTCTGGTAAACTAACATAGCTGTTGAACATCAGCTTTTTCCGTGGGTAAATCAACTACAAATGGCCATTTTCAATAGCTACGTAACATTTGTTTCATATCAGGATTGATCAGTGAACCCCCTATGGAAACTCCCAATCAGATACTTGACCAACAAGAAAGGGTTAGAAAGATAGGTAACAACCGGCAACGCATAGCCAACTCAATCAAAACCATATAAACACAATTCTTGGGTCTCTCCCGTTGGTGGAACACCCCCGAAATGTTCATTGATTAGTAACCATAGTTTAACCAACATATTTGCGGGATAACCCATGAACTGGGGACTTACGCTTACAATCTGGGTTCTTGCCCAGTTGCTTTTGTTTGTCAAAAGTTGGATCGGTTCACCCATTCTTTTCTGACACACCTTACCCCCTTCGGGAAGGGATGATGTGCTGCGAAACAGCTTCACCCCATTGGGGGATAGTCATCTCCCTATCAATGAGGATTGGCATACCATGATATACCCGTCGTATTGGAAATTGGAAGATAAACCAGCCCTAAATCCACTCATCTGCCTGTTTATCTATTTATCTATATTTCTATTTATCTACCTATCGATCTATCTATCGATCGATCTATCTATCTATTTACCTATCTATCTATCTATCTATCTATCTATCTATCTGTCTATCTATCTATCTATCTATCTATCTATCTATCTATCCATATATCTATCTATCTATCTATCTGTCTGTCTGTCTATCTATCTATCTATCTATCTACCTATCTATCTATCTATCTATCTAACTATCTTTATATCTATCTAACTATCGACTTATCTATCTATCTATCTAACTATCTATCTATGTGTTTGTCTATCTATCTATGTTTTGTTCCATATATATATATATATGTCCATTGTTTTTTTAAATCTATATAGTTAAATCTGATCTTATCTTATTTTATCTTCCCTTATCCTATCGATCTACCTATCTATCTATCTATCTATTTATCTTTCTTTCTATCTACCTATCTTTCTGTTTCTATCTATACCTAGACCTATCTATATCTATCTAAAAGTATTTTTATCTATGTATACCTATCTGTATCTGTCTTTATCTACCTCTACCTTTCTATCTTTCTATCTATCTTTCTACCTAACTATCTATCTATCTATTTCTAGCTGTCCACCTTTTTGCATCTTCTATATCTATCTCTATCTATATCTATCTATATGTATACCTATCTATATCTATCTTTCCATACCCATCTATATCTATCTATATCTATCTATATTTATCTAGCTCTTTCTATCTTTTTCTATCTCTTTCTATCTATATATCCATCTATTTATCTCTTTTTTGATTATCTATATCTACCTATTTTTATCTTTCTTTTTCTACCTATATCTACTTATGTCTTTCTATACCTATCTATATCTCTCTATATCTTGATCTATCTATATCCATCTACTTCTATCTAAATCTACCTATATCTAAATCTATTTCTATATCTATCTATCTGTCTACGTACCTATCTATATCTATCTATTCACCTATTTGCATCCTCTATATCTTCGTATAACTATATCTATCTGTATTTGTCTATCTGTATCTTTCTATCTGATTCTAAATCTGTCTATCTTTCTATCTTTCTATCTTTCTATCTTTCTATCTTTCTATCTGTCTATATCTATCTATATCTATCTATATCTATCTATATCTATCTATATCTATCTATATCTATCTATATCTATCTATCTATCTATTTATCAATCTTTCTATCTATCTATCTATCTATCTCTATCTATATCTATCTATATCTGTCTAAATCTACAGTATCTATATTTCTCTATGTCTATCTAAATCTACCTATATCTATCTATATAATTTATCTGATCTATCTTTCTATCTCTATCTATCTATCTATCGATCTATCTATCTATCTACCTATCTATCTATCTATCTACCTGTCTATCTATCTATCTATCTGTCTATCTATCTATCTATCTGTCTATCTATCTATCTACCTATCTCTATCTCCATCTCTATCTCTATTTCTATCTCCATCTCTCTCTCTCTCTCTATCTCTTTCTTTATCTGTTTATCTGTCTCTATATCTATCTATCTATGTTTCTATCTATGTATCTATGTTTCTATGTTTCTATGTTCCTATGTATCTATGTATCTATCTACCATCTATCGATCGATCGATCCATCCGTCCATCCTTCCATCATTATGTTTGCGGACATTTGTTTCTTTAGGGAATATCGACAGTGAATACGAAATAAGGACTTCAATCCTTTGTAAGGCTTTGAACATGAGTTCAGGAAAAAATATACCATAGTAAACCCAGTTATCAACAAACTTACTTATCACAAATCACATGATGTTAGGAAAGCGATCGTAAACCATTCCCAAATTTACATTTTTTTGCCATTTTTATGGGTGCTATAAATCATATGGATGATTTACTAACATTACATGAATGACGAAGCATCCCCCAGCGGCCCTCCTCTCTGCCAGGACTTCCAAGGATCGACCGGTTTCCACCGTCGCTCCTCCCAAAAAGCGCAGACGGAGTTCCCCCTTGCGGCGCTGCACGTGGCATGGTCGTTGGGGCTGGGCTGCTTTGGGTTTGCATCGATCGCACTTAAAAGATGTGGTATACCCCTGATTAAATATGGAATATCCATGAATATCCCCACTTATATTATGGGATTATATGGGTTGTATATTAGTATATGGATTATAAACCATGACTCCAATCCGTGGGCCCCCACGTCCAAGTGGTGGGATGGTTTTTTGCGATTATGTTGAAAGGTAGTGCCCAAAAATATTACCTAAGTTGGTTTATAGCTGCAATAACAAATTTTGACCCAACTTTCCAGAGGTTAGCTTGTTCGACCAAGGGCCGTTTGACCTTTCCATGGCGTATTTTCAAGAATCATTGACCTGTGGGACTACTTGTTCCATACGGGCTTCCAAAGCGGCTGTAGATGAGATGGTGGGAAGCCGTGTTGTCCTGACTTCTTTGCGTGGTTGGAAGCTTCTGGTGGACCCCTCATGGTTCCTGTGTCGGGTGATGGACTTCACTTTTCCTTGCTGAACTTTATTGTCTCTGCGATTGATGGTCCGCTTGTGTTGCTTGACTTACTGGTGTCTTCCACAGTCCTTGGTCACTTTGGTGACGCCACTTTTCACAATGTGGTTGAACTGTGCTGTGGTTTGGATGGCATTAGCACTGGGGAGCTCCACATTGTAGAATTGATGGTAGGATGGTTACGTAGGAACTGAAGTTAGGATTGGTGGCTAGAATCTTATTTTATCCCTGATCATTAATTTGTATACATCCTGGGTGATTCAGCGAAAATTCGACGTCGACTGGATGGTGCACCAGCAAAAAAAGGCTATGAACCAAGAACAAATTTGTTGGTACTTGGACCCCCAATTGATACGCTCTGGGTAGTTTCTAGCAGTTTGCTATGCAAAATCACCATGTTTCATAGGTAAATAAACTACACATGGTCCATTTTCCATAGCCATGTTAGTTTACTGGGGTACTTCTGATCCTTCCGTCCTGCGTTTCCCAATTTAGTCCTGGGTCAGTCAGCAAGAAGCATCCGACACCTTGATGGAATGTGGTGGGGGTGCCATGTAGGCTTGGGGGGTTACAAAATCGATCAAAATCGGGCCCCCGTTTACGATAGCTAAGTTGGTGCAAGTAACTCCAATCAGTATGGTTTATGATACTTATAATAACGAGGTTAGTAATGGCAACTTAAAGCTGAGGGGGCCCACAATGTAGGAAGAAGTACTCACCCTTTTTACTGATTGGATTGGTTTGATGTTATACAATGCCATATATCGCCTCCACCCACAAACACTGACTCGTGAAGTTCATGAAGATTCAAAGGACACCCCTAAACTTGAACTTGGTGGCTTGATTTTGACGGTCATGTTCTCCATACTTTCGTACCTTTCCAGAATTGTTTGAACGGAAACTTCACAGGAAAACTCTGTAGTTGGTGGGTAGAGCAAGGGTTTCAACTGTAAGCAATCCTGGAACATGATCCCTTTCTGTTGCATCATTGTTTTTAAGAAAAACCTATCCAAGTCTTAAATTAGATTATGTCCATGTGTATTCCGACAAGGTGTCGCCACCCAGCTATAGTATAGGTTGGTTTATAGATGTTTAGAGACCCATCCAACTATACTTCTGTCCACCACAATCTAGGCAAGTAAAACAATTTACCTATTGTTCGGGGGCCCCAAAAAATGGTTGATCATCATTTTATTATGAAAAGCAAGTTGGCCAACATCCTTTATATCCCATAGATCGATATAACCTTGTCGATTACATTAAAATGACATAGACCTTGTCATGAGTTGGGGCTGGAAGATGAATTTTCTACTAAAAATTGGCTAACCCATTCAGGTTCGAACATGGTAGAACCGTTAATTAGGGGGAGGTTTTTGTTGAATACCTATTATTTATGCTTCTTGTAGCATTGTAGCTATGAATTAGATTTGTCCCAAAATAAAGCACTTATAAATCTAATAAATCACTTATTTTTCGATATATTGGGAATAATCAGCCCAACTGACTATTGTTTTTCAGAGGGGTTGAAACCACCAACCAGTCACCATTTACATCACCATTTTCGCTGGTGAAAAACCTACAGGTGGTCCTTTCAGTTGTTGGCTTATGCCGACCCCTGACCCCATAGTACTTCGACATATCCCATGTTCTAAAAGTATCCCATGTTCGAAGCATAGTGGAATTCGAGTTATTGGTATCCGTGCCATCACGAATCAACATAAACCAACAGAAGTCTCCATTTAAGTCAGTGAATCCCCCTTTGTTGATTGTTAAATCATGTTAAATACCTTTAGTTAACTAACGGTTGGGGGCACCATTGGATACAATCAACAGATACAGCGCATATAGATTTATCATTCTGTAATTAGTTAGTACCTATTGTTTAATCAACTGGTAATTATAGGTAACTACCTAATCATCTATAAATCACATAGATCTCCATTTTACAGTAATTTTAGTATATTTTAGTATGTATGTATTTATAGGTAAACTTAGGTAATTGATGGTACTTAGAGGTGAAATTCGGTGAACTTATAGGTAAGATTAGGCAAAATTATAGGTAAGATTCGGTAAATTTATAGGTGAAATAAGGAAATTCTAGGTAACAATAGACAATTATAGAAGCATATAGTACCCAATATTATTTTTTGTTGTTTAAAGATCACTGAGGCGGCGACCTCTGTGCCCTTGTCCGATCTCAAGGAGGCCACGACTCGGTTCGCCGGTGGCTTCAGTAGGGGTTTCAATGGATTTGAACATTATTTTAACCCATGGTTTTAGCCCATGTACCTATCTATCATTATTGTAATGGATTAAGGGTCATTTTCTGACATGTTATGTTTGTTTTAGTGGATTTGAACATTATTTTTTGATGGGTTTTACTAATGTTTTTTCACATGAATTTGGTATATTTACAAAAAGCTGTGGTTCTCCCATGGCTTCTCCGTGACATGACTTTCATGGTGGATCTGTCCATCTTGTTGAAACCGCCAATCTCTTCACTCTGGATTGGTCTTTGGGTTACCCTCTGGCAATTTTAAATAGCTATGTTAATTTACCAGAGGGTAAAACACAGGAAACCATGGGTTTTATCAACAAAAAATGGGTTTCCTGTAAAGCTTCCCTTCAACATATCCTGTGAACTAACAACGTATCTTAATGGACGTACAGTCTGAGGGAATGGTCATGATGTTGAGTGTCAAGTAGCTTCTCAGTAGGTGTTTGCTTACATTGGGTCTGGGTGCCAGTATTGAGCCAACTATGGATGGTACTTTGTTCAAAGAAGTACTGTACAGTTGTAGCACAAAAGACACTAGAAATACTATCAGTTTGCTTTTCTGGGTTCGGGCGTTGGCAGAAAAAGTCCCCCCGTTCACAGAATTTATTTTTTTGGCTTGATGACTCTTAAGCTCCCTCCCCCTACTTCATGTTCCAATCCTGTGGAGTCCCAATTTGTTGAAACCTTCACACGCTATTTCGTTCCTATGATTTGTTTAAGCTGCCCTATTGCGGCTTTCTGTCATTGGTTTGCCGGGGTTAACCGGATATCCACAAATGCCCAGGATCGATGTTTGGCTCCAGTTTGCCATTGCTGGGGAGGTTCCCAAAAGTTGAATAAATGAAAAATCCGATCGTACATTGTAGCCTCCCCATCTTGGAGGACTGGTGCTTTGTTCATCATGAGTTGACACTATCAATATGCCAGCGATTTAGCACTTGTCCAGAGAGGAAACATGCATAATCTGCGATTCCGGCAGAATAGTCAATTCTTAAAACCACTTCACAGCAACACAAGAATCTCAAAACTAGTGGGAAATTGAACATATCAACTAAATGGAGGTCTATCAGCGGCAACACCAACACCCAGCAAATCACTATTCCAGTATAGTATTTCATTGTATTTCATTACACTATTCCAGTCTGATATTCTATTCCATATATATACAACTTATATCCCATTTTTTGATCACTAGTATAAATCCCAGTTAAGTTGTAATCCGCATATATGGAGGTTTCCATATATACCCTCTAGTAAACTAACATAACTATGGAAAATCACCATTTTTTATTGGACAACTCACTATAAATGGCAATTTTCAATAGCTATGTTTGTTTACCAGAGGGAAATAAACCCCAGTTGTATCCAGGCTTGCGGCATCTTCGGCCGCTTCGTGCGCAGCGACTCCGAGGACGACCCTCGCGACGCTTTTTTCGCGGATCGCGCGGCTTCCGCGCAACGCGGAATGCGCGCGCGATGGATTGAAATGGCGGATTTTCCCAGAAAAATGGTGGTTTGAACCAAGAACAATAATGATTTTAGCCATAAGAAAGGGGGAATTGATCCATACATATGTGAGTTGCCCATAAAATTGGGATAGAAGCAACAAAACAAATGAATTCAATCCGCAAAAATGATTGGCGATGTCACTGATGGAACCAGCTACTGTCAGTAGGATGCTGTGCACATTCGCTAAATAGGTTACTGCTTTACAATATAGGTATACCCTTCGTAACGTATTAACACAATGTGTATATATATAGTATTAATAGTCACATAGATAGATAGGTAGATAGATAGATAGATAAATAGATAGATAGATAGATATAGATAGGTATAGATAGATACAGCTAGAGAGATATATTAGATAAATTATATAGATATATATAGGTAGATTTAGATAGACATAGACAGATATAGATACTGTAGATTTAGACAGATATAGATAGATATAGATAGAGATACATAGATAGATAGATAGATCGATAGATCGATAGATATAGATAGATAGATCGATAGATCGATAGATCGATAGATCGATAGATAGAGATAGACAGATAGATAGATAGATAGATATAGATAGATATGGATAGATATAGATAGATATAGATAGATATAGATAGATACAGATAGATATAGATAGATATAGATAGATATAGATAGATATAGATAGATCGAGATAGATATAGATAGATCTAGATAGATATGGATAGATATAGATAGAGATGAATAGATATGGATAGAGATAGATAGATATGGATAGATATAGATAGATATAGATAGAGATAAATAGAGATGGATAGAGATAGATCGATATAGATTGAGATAGATTGAGGTATATATATATATAGAGATAGAACTAGATACATATATACAGAAACAGATAGATAGTTATATATATAATATAGAGATATAACAGCTAGATAATATATATATAGATAAATCGATAGACATAGATAGGCATAGATAGACATAGATAGTCAGAAATAGATAGACATAGATAGATGTAAATAGACATAAGTATAATTAGATGGATGGATGGATGGATGGATGGATTGATTGATTAAGTTTGAATTGACGAGTTTAGGTTTGGTTGGAATAGATAGATAGATAAATAGATAGATCGATAGATAGATCGATAGATAGATAGATAGATTGATAAATAGATAGATAGATAGATAAATAGAAAACATAGATAAATAGATAGATGGATGGATTAGAAATGGTTCAATGACGTTAGATTAGATTAGATAGATGGGTAGATAAATAGGTAGATAGAAACACGTACTAAGCACCAGGGGAAAAATATATGTGCAACTGGAAATTATAGAGATCAATGTGTTTCATCTTCTGTCGAATTCCTTCCTATTTTTGTTAAGTAAACGCAGACCCCAACTTTGTTTCTTCACATTTTCGTGCAGCACGTCTCTGCACTCGACTCTTTGGGGCGTTATGTTCTGTTCTGGACATTAGATTGGCCATGGTCGACTTCAGCGTCGAAAGGGGCAAGTTGAAGTTTGCTGTCTCCGCAAATGTACTTCGTTCCGCTCTAGCCACAAAAAGGCCGAAACTCGTCTGTTTTCATGCATGCTCGGACGGTTTTACTACTACTACTACTGCTGCTACTACTACTACTACTCCTACTACTCCTACTACTACTACTACTACTACTACAATGTCCTCGGATGTGTTGTTTTTGGGTCCGGTAGCAGACATCCGGTGAACATGCTGTAGTCCCTGACGAAGAGCAGGCGAAGCACGCAGAGCATGTAGCTCACTTGGAGCCATCAAATCTGCCCAGTTGATCTCCGAAGATGTGCCAATTCAAGACCTAGCCAGTTCCCAGCAATTTGAAAGTGCCATGACTTCAGATATCCCCATGTTAGTTTACTAAAGGTCCGTGACTTGAACATTGTTGGAATGACTTACGGCCAACTATTAAGGCACTCCTTGGCACTAAGTGAAGGGTTTAATGGGAAAATCACCGAACTAAGTTGGGAATTGTCCAGCCATGGTTTGTTACGGTTCACCATCTGATCAGTTCAACAGATGGCAAGCCTGCCCCGGCGGCTTTGATGGAACTTTCCTGCACCTGTGATCTCCATGTGAACCTTATCGTTTTATCATTTTATCCCACCAGATTCTGCTCCAGATCTCTACATGTGATTTAAGGATATTCAACTTTGAACAGGTCGAATGATATATGATCTTACATGTTAAATCATGTTAATATAAAATATCATAGTTACCTTTAACATAGCCATGGAAAATGGTCCATTTCTAGATGGTTTACCTATTAAAAATGGTGATTTTCATTGATTTTCCATGGCTATGTTAAATAACCAGATGGTAACTTCTATAAACATCCCCAGATCTTATATGTTTGCTCTAAAGTCTGGATCCCGCAAAGCTCGCAGCCAGGACATCACTGAAGCACACCTGGACATGAAGGATTTTGAGCAGGGAGACTCGGGAAGGGAGGATGCTGGGTAGTAGACCTTACTCGTCTCATTTTACGAGAGGTCGTCTCGCAACCGTCTTGCCTATGAGAAGTGTAGACACCTCATCCCAGATTAGTCATATATGTTTTGGGGCATGTTGAGTTTTTGATGCAAATCACAGTGGCACGATGCTTTGGACTGGGACTGGGATTCATTTGGGGAATCCTTATTCCTGCAGGGTCGTTTGTGTAGATTGCCCACTATCATCAGACAAAAAGATCGCTAAACGCAAAATAATTTGAATCCTTTTAATGGCGCAAGAAGGAGGAACGCTTTATACAGATGGGGCAAAGGGCTTCGAACTGAAATTACCCCTTACTGCGATGATGTGGCTTGTAGTCAAGTGCCATGGCAGGATGTTTCCCGCATGTTTTTTTTCCATCCTGAAGGTCAAAGTTCGCGCCGTAATGCCTCACATCCGCGGGAAGTTTTGTTATACATCATCCTTCCTGAAGGCTTGAGGTCTATGACCCAAAACACATTGGCACGATGGTCTTGGCTAGGAAGCGTGTCCCATTCTCGCAGTACCTCACTCCATTGTTCAAACGACTTTTATTGGGAGAGAAAATTGTGTGTTGCGGGCATTCAATAGAATAGAGTAGAGTGGGTAGAGAAGGGTAGATCAGAGGAGAGAGGCGAGAGGAGCAGAGCAAAGAAGAGTAGAATAGAGTAGAGGTGGGTAGAGAAGAGTAGAGTAAAGCAGACTAGGGTAAAGTAGAGAATCTACAGCAGAGGGGAGGAGAGGAGAGGAGAGGAGAGGAGAGGAGAGGAGAGTAGTCTCGTTTTGTCTCCCAGAGGTCTCGTTTTAGGTCTCGGTTTTTTTTCCCCCACATCCTGACACAAACACAAGCCACATTTGACCAATTTGGATCAGCGGTATACCCTATTTGAGGCTTCCATTTTCTGCAGATTTAGCGTGTACGCTTAGTATGTTTCAGTCGGAATTTACAGTGCAATGTAATATAAGGTCGCTAGGCTAGTGTATGTAACCCCTTCTGAATAAGCACAAAGGATTTGATTGTCTAACCTGTTGTGCCAATGGCCGGTTGATCAATAAATGCTGATTTTGAGAGCGTATATTTGACATAATGCAAAGGCACGATGAGATTCTAGACCGATATCACAAAGTTTGATTAAACTTTCGGGCATGTTGTGCCATGGTGATTTGCCAATGGTGGGGTGGCTTCTGGATTTCGTGGGGTTACTTTATTTTTCGCGTTGTGCCTTGCAGTACTATAGATCTTTTAAAAAAAATCCACCAGAATTCCAAAGTTAGCCTAAAATTGTTGATCAACCTATATGGACAAGATCACATGTGCAAAAATCTGTGAAAGTTCCCATTTTTTTTGGCAAATCTTGCCCTCAGGTCATTACTCTGCCACGTGACTGGCGTTCAAGATGCTCCTGGGCAATCGCAGTGGTGGGGCAGCCACAAAGATGTGGATTTGATGAGTCTTTTACCAGCAAAAGTGGTGAATTCAATTGAATTCATGAGATTTGATTGGATGTATACTTGATTTATAGGTGATTTATAGGTGATTTACTGTATGTAAAATTAAGTTGGGAAATGTTGATTTAGAGGTGATTGGATGAATAATTCCACACAATGTTTGACAAACATGGTGAATTGTTCATGGGATTCAATGAAATTGTGCCACGGGATTGGGCTTGGTAGATCGAGCTCGTTAGCGGGATGAACAGAAACCAAGTAACACAACTGGGGGGGTACCACCTTGTAAATACAATGTTTTTCAAATATAGTACCGAGATGTACCGAGGAAACGGTGGACGCGTTCTTAATGATTCTGAATACTGCTATTTGTTGTTTGTATCATGCTATTCATTGAAATACACCCAATAGTTTTTTTTCATGTGTTTTTGGTATTGTCGAATCTGAGAGGGTGTGAATCTACACTTTTGTTGACAACATTTGGCTTTGGATGCTCAATTCACTGTATTGTCACCACAACGTTCTTTGTTCAAACTGCATGGATTCATATCAAATTTGGGTTTTTTTCTTCAAATTATATGTTTTGTTATTCAATGAGTTGGCACTTTGCCGTTCCCGGTATTTGTTGGTTGATTTTGGGGGAGCAAAAACCTTTTGGGGAGTCATTTTTTTTCGGTGTGATTATCCCATGGGCTGACTATGGCCTTCATGGGATTTTTCTCTGGGATTTAGAACTATAGCAAGAACCTCATTAGTTGGGATCCAACCCGGATTACGACTATATACTATGGTTATATTAATGACCACTTATCCCTATGAACATATCCTCTATAGAATGAGAGGGGGTAATGGTCTGCTATATTTCCTTTTTATAGGCTTCCAGCTGCTTTCTTCAGGTTTTTGTTGGGCCGCTGTGTGCCAGGTTGTTATTCTCCGAAACCATTGATCATTTGATCAAACATGTCTCAAGGAGGTGCCCTCCAAAAGGGCGCCCGACCCAATGCCATGTGAAGACTCGGGCAAGATGAGCCAACCCATATCCTGTTTGGAGGAATGACCATGAGATATGGCTTTGCACTTGCATGCCTCGGACCTCAACCGACAAGTTTTTTCTTCATTTGCTTGGATCTGCTTGGAAGGCAACGAGGGGCCGCTGACAAGAAGGCAGTTAGGTAGAACAAAACTGAACAAAACGAAGAAATCAAGCAAAGTGATGAGAAAATAATCTGAATCAAACTGAGCTGCTATGAAATCTGCTGGGGTCATTTTATAGGGATATCAGCGGATAACTAACACCTAAGTATTTTGGGTCAATGCCGATGCCCCTCAATTTATTTATCGGCAGCGTCTAGTCCCCGGAGGACAGTTTGCATGGGGATCGCTGAGTTCACTAAAAGTTCATCATTTTTGTTGGTTCAATCATAAAAATCCTCATTTTGTTGCCCAAATACTGCTTGTTGCTTTTTTGTTTCAATTGGTTTTCCATATTTTCCCTATAGCTTCCATATATTTTCCCTATATTCTGGGCCAATCTTAGATGGCTGGTTTAATCCTCTAGTCTTTTGGTATCAACGGGATTATCTACGAACCAGCTAAGCATTGAATGTTTGTGCAGGGTATCTAAGATTGGCACTGTTATATATGTCACTATATGTCCATGTTATTTATGATGCTAACTGATTGATGATTATAAATGATGTCCTACTATATCGTCAATTAGTTTCAGTTCTGGCCCTTAACTACTTAAGATATGTTAAGATTCTTTTCCCCTGGTTTTCCATATTTTACCTTTTTTCTTATAATTTCCATATATTGTCCATGTTCCCTATATATTTCCCGGGTTTTTCCATATTTTCCCACGGGTTCCCCAGGCATTTTTTCTGGTGTCCGCCGTTCAGGCGTCGGAGCTGGCGCCGGAGTTTCTGAAGTCGGCCTTTCACACGGCAGATCGAAATTACACAGGCGACGGGATGTTCCAATGTGGGACCCCATGCGGGTTCCATACTGTGGATGGGCCAGCGAAATCCTGGAAAAATGTAGATAAGTGGTAAATATCCCATTATTTATAGTAGGGACATAGATGTTCACACATTGCTTATCATCATTTTCAAAGAATCCCAAGTAGGATTACAAAAAGCCCACTTATTGAAAGCCTATAAATGATGCAATAAACCATCTATCAACTGGTGCAGGATTTCGCAACCATCCACAGTATGTTCGTATAATTTCTAGGTCCCATAAATCAAGATGTTTCTTAGGTTAAAACTAGATTTCTTAGGTTTGTTGGTTTATTGCCATGAAGGGGACATTTTATTTGGACCTTTTGAGACCCCTGGCATTTAGACCTGGTATGACCTGGTTATACACCTCGAAATTATTGTGTGTTTATGTTGACCCCAAGAACTCTCGTTTTTTGAGGTGTTTGATGTTATACGTAATTTAAACGTAGTTAAACGAAAGTCCTTTATTGGAGTGATTTACACCAATTTATCTATCTACTGTAGGCGGGCCACTTTGTACATAATATGCATATAGCTTATATATATATAGCTTATAGATGCACATATTTGTGCGAGCTAGTGGTTAGTGGTTTCTGTAGATTTTTTTACTATATGTTCAACACTGTTTAAACATAGTGTTTTTTTCAACTCTATGTTTTTTTTCTGGTTCAGCCAACATTTGGCATGATCCGCACCTGACGATTCCTTTGGGATCGCCACCAGCATGATGTTCCTGACATGTTTCCGAAGAAATTTTGGAGTGCGAAACCTACCCATGTTTCCGGCAATGTTTTTGGAGTATCGATTAACAGGGAGTTGTTTGTTTCTTCCCACGGTATGTCCAGCAAACAACTCCAAGTCAGGCTCAGGGTGTACCCTCTGGTAATTTAACATAGCTATTGAAAATCACCATTTTTCATGGGAAAATCCACTATTACTGGTCATTTTCAATAGTTACGTTGAATTACCAGAGGGTAAATCCTGTGACGCAGGTGATATCGACATTTGGGAGTTTGTGACCTGGTGCCCTGGAGACTGGGCCGGGGAACCCCTCGGTACCCCCGGCCGGGCTTGGATACCATAGTAGTCATCACTAATGATGACTACTATCTCTGGTGACTCTCCAATAATGTCTTCATTTCAGGGTTGTGCATTGTTAAAATTCAGCCGGTATATGATTCAAATCATATATATTCATATTATGGGTGCATATTGGTGTGGACAACAATCACAACACATGAAGCATACATTAAATATGTAATGTATATCATAGTGATGTTCATTTTTTGTGATGTCAAACAGCCAGTAGAGATTTAAGGATTACACATATACATTTGTATATACTTCATTGTCCAATAGAAGCCCATCACAATGTTCTTGTAACTATACCATAAATCTCATTTGACAAGTTACAAGTAATTTGTGATTTGGTGTTGCTTAATTTCTGATTTTTGCTGATTAAATATTCGCTATAGCAAAGTCGTATCTTAATTTGTGACCCATTGTGCCACCATAAAATTAAACATGACCTAACCCTTCATGATATTTCAATTTTAAGTTGGTTAATTGATCATAAATTACCGAATATCACCTGATATCACCTAGTACTACCAAATATGACCTATATCATTGCACCTAACTATAGTCAATAGTATCACTTATAAATCCCAAAACTTCCTCATTTGGTTTCGCCTGTGAACTGTAGACCCCACCTTTCGCCAATCATTGGAGGTACTCTGCCTTCAGCTTCTCTGAAGCCGTATGCGTCAACAAATTCGCCCGCGAGACACGCGATGTGGCGAGGAAACATGGCATGAACATCCTGAACATCGAGCGTCACTTGGTGCCGTGCTTGGTGAAATTGGTGAAATTTCACCAGGGTTATAGCCAGGTTTTAAGCATTCAACTAGGGTGATAATGGGTGATAGCATACCATAACGAGGATGTTCGATTAGGTTTTTTTTGTAACCAACTTTTGGGTTAAAGCTCCATGATGTTCCACATGGGTGATGAAGTTTTTGTATTCCAGCTATCTTGGTGTGAAGGGTATGAGGGTTTTGATCCATGGCCATATTCTCCAAAAATGGATTTGTGGTGAATTTCGAGATAACCGATGGGAGATGTTTTTCATGCATGCAGCATATGGGAACTGTAAAATGGTGGATTTAATAAGAATATATGATGGGATCTTCAAATTGACTGGCTTGCCGCATACTATACTTTCCAGCTTGTTTGGACAAAAGTACGGGTAAACTCCACATGTCCCATGCCCCCGAGTTATAAGTTGATTTATGTAGAACTCCCGGCAACTATGGATACCATATCTCTACCGTAAACCATAGTTATCTTAGTTAAGTTAAAAACTAACTAAGCTAATGTTTGGGGCACCATTTTGTACAAATGAACTTTTTTGGCGTGTTTGACTGTCAGGAAGGAGGAAGATCCAGCAAACTACCAAGTATATAGCAGCTGGAACTTGCTCTGCAAAGCTGATATCAATTTTAGTAGGATTGATTTCAATTTGAATATATCAACATCAATCTAGTGGAATGCTAAAAATGAATCTAGTGGTGTCTAGTCGAATGCTCATATTTTCTCAAACCCATATCTTCATTATATCTTCCCATTTTTTAGTAGATTGGTGGAAGTGAAGATGAGTTTCAAGGTTAGTTATGGGTTATAGACTGGGTAATGATGTGATTTCGGGGATCTTTTTATCCAAGAACCGGTCTTGCAGGATGGAGGCAGAGCCATCAGGCAGACCACCCGAATGGCCATCTTTAAAAGCGAAAAATATGATAAAGCCACGGATTTAGGATACCCTGGATACCCTGTTTTCTCACACACCTACATGTACAGAAATATGTATAGAGGATTATATAGGTATAAAGCAAGTCATTGGGCTACCCACATTGTTTCTTCGTTTCCCAGCCGTGTACTTCACTCCTCAAAGATGCCCTTGGAAATATCGACCTTTAGGGGGAGATTACTATAGAAATGATCTTTCCGGAAGTTGGAACTTACCATCAACCCTTCCCATGGGCTTACCCTCTGGTAATTTAACATAGCTATGGATAATCACCATTTTTAATGGGAAAACTCCCTATAAATGGCCATTTTCAATAGCTATGTTAGTTTACCAGAGGGTATTACCTAATGTTCGACGGTTAGTGTGAGTTGGGTTTGTTTTACCCTCATGCCTTTGGGACATAAAAGGATCTGGATCGAAATGTCAAAGGCCCTGTTTACAGGCATAAAGTCACACATTGAAATATTTGTCGCACGTAACCACCATGTTTGTATCATTTGACCACTGCCTTGACAAATGTATATATGTATACATATATTATGATTATATATGATTATTATATTTATATATATGCAAAATAACATATAATATATATATATATGTATATATATATATCTATAATATATCCAATATACACTTAAATGTATAATCCCTTTCCCCCAAGATTCAACACTCCGAAAGCATGGTGGATCTCGGGATGAGACTGGATTTTTCGCCACAGTTTGGATCTACCCAAAAAACAGGAATCCCAGTAGAATATAATCTATCACATATATAAATTAATGTTTTTCTGGTGCTTCTTAAAAATGTCAGGGATCCCCAATTTTCACCATTTTTGTGAAGCAAAAAACTAAAATTTTCATACGAGTCGTCATGGTCACTGAGGGGTAGCCGGGTAGCCTCATGACATCCCAGGATGAATCCGATGTCAACCTTAACTGGTTGGTGGTTTCAAACATACCGGGTAATTTTCCATGTCATATTCCGGGATGTCATCCTTCCCAACTGACGACGAAGTCCATCATTTTTTGAGGAGGGTTGAAACCACCAACCAGTTCATATTACTGTTATCGTTTGTCAACCAAACCATTTGTGACATTGGGTGCCAACACATTGACCTCCTGATCCATTTGGCCGCCTAGGCTATAAGAAGGCCTTCGACCGTGACCCTGCTGCAGCTGTGTTCTATTTTGTCATTTTGTTTAGCTGAAAATAGCAAGAATAACTGGAATTGGTGCTTCTTGGAATTATGATGTTATACGAAGTTGTATGATGTTATGTTGATGTTATTATGATGTGAGATGATGTGTTGGATATTCAACATTTAAATCTGGATAGTCATGATATCCTGCAATATCCGAATTCTTAGAATTCTCTACGGAGTGTTTCGGTTGACCCAAAGTGTGATGGTTCGCCCGTCCAGTTCTACGGTACGCCAAGTTTTGTGGTCGGAGCAATGTCACGAGTCCCATCCCTCACAGACTTCATGATCCCAGATGCTCTATGTATGGTACTGGGTATATTATTTACCTACAGTATAAGTCAGTATATTATAGTATCATGATCCCAAATGTTCATCCCATGATCCCAGATGTTCGTATAGTATATTTACCTACAAAACTGGGTGATTTTGGACAGGGGCAAATGTTGGGATTCATATTCCAGCACCATGCTTCGCAGATGGGGATGTTTTTCAGCCTCATCGTTTGAGAAGGTATACAGTGTTTTTCTTATAGAATATGTTCAGGTCTCGAAAGGTTTGAACAAGCATCTGTTTTTTTTGGTTGAATCTCCAGTTCACTATGCACTAGATCCTCGTAGGTTTCCTGATCCTTGGGGATCAGTCGTCACCATGGCTGCCACGTGATGATTTGGCCCCAAGGATACGACCTCAACAGCAACGGCGTCATCGAGTTCGTTGGGGCACCCGGTAGGTTAGTCAGGTGGATTAAGTCTACTTATCCCACTGAAATCACTAGGAATATAACATGATAATACATGATATATAACCTACGCAAAAAATGATCCGTGGCTAGTTCGCCTTGTTAAGTATGGAAGCCAAAAACGCCCATAGAAATAGATGATCAGCATGGTGTTTTTGCAGTTTACGTCATTCAGAACCACAGTTAATGAAGGCTAAGACCTTTACCAGTTATAAATGGTTCTAAACGGTTTTAAATGGGCTTACGATTCCTTACAGTAAATGGGATTTGAATTAACTTATAACTGGTAAAGGGCCAAAACTGCAGAGTTTTTGTTGTGTTGTTGGTTGAAAAGAATCACCTATTGCTAACAGAATGACATTTAAGCAACAGGAACAGTATGTTTTGAGAGTCCGGCCGTTTTCAGAAGACATTCTGTGGGCGTGGTATGTCTGAAGAAAGTGTGATCATCATTTCGTTCTCCGGAGCGGTAGTTGTGTCTGCCTGTTTAACCTTGGTTTCAAAAGCCCAGCTATCGAAACATATTCAACACTTCACCTACTTGGGTGCGAACTACCCACGGATCGCAAGTAGGTTATATATTATACACCCTATAGTTACAGGTGGATTAACTCTACTTATCACAAATATAACTAGGGTGAACTAACCTACTTACGATCCGTGGGTAGTTCGCCACCAACTAGCTCACCATGTTTGATTCTGGGCCCCTCGGGAAACCTAACAGTTCACCAGGTGTGTGTCAACTTAGCCCCACCTTTGAGAGGATTCATGGCCAGATCTAAGAAGCCTTGGGCAGGGTAGATACAACGACCCCCTTTTGATAACCCAACATAGGGAAAATGGCCCACAGATGATTTACCTATCCAAAGCTGGTGTATCCAAAGCTGGTGATTTTCGCAAACTGTGGCCAATTGCCAAATTTCATGATATCATCTGGGTAAATTATAACGACCTCGCTACGACCTCACTGGAAATCATGGTTAGTAAGGGGAATCATCCCCAAATGGCCTTAATTCAGATTATATAGTGAATTAATATAATTTGTCCAGATATCATGAAATATTATGAAATATTCCCATTATTGAGTTTTATCAGTGCTTATTGCGGGGTTCAGAAAACCCACTCTCCCAGCTACAAGGTGTTTTTTTATGGTTTATAAACCGACAAACATCCACGCCCTGGGGATATGATATGGATACACAATAAACTTTGTATATAATCATATAGTATAATAGGGATCGAATATCACTAATTGATGATAATTGTTCATGAAAAAACATATTCTTGGTGGATACTTGGTGCCTCATCCCACAAAGTAGGTAATATCCCTGGTTCTTGTGCAAAAACCCGATGGGGCTCCACTGCTGAGTTTCGCGACCATCCAAGGAACTCGCTAGATTTATACCGAATACATGTGAATGGAAAGAACATGAAAGAACATTACATAGTTGGTGTGTAGCTTATTGACTATACAGTAATATCACTCGGATTTTTGCTGGAGATTCATTTGCATCTGGATTGCTTTATTTTTTAGTGCTGCACATACCTTCTGATCCTCGTGGTGGAGCCCCATAACTTATGAGTTGGTGTCTAAACCGAATCAAACATATGTACTACCATACCATAAACGTCCATAAACCATCAATTGTCAATTGCCCATAGAGGAGGTGATTGGTATATATATACATATATATATATATTTAATGTATATATACATATAGATATTATACATACACCATACATCGCAAACCATCAAATACCCATAGAATTCGTGTACTTCGCACCATCAGAAAGCCATGTTCAATCGCCCAACCAACGACACGTTTTCACTGACCAACGTCGCCGTTCCGTTCCGTTCGCTCAGAGCGAGTTCAAGAACATCATCTCGGATCTGCTGAAGATCCCCACAGGTCTGGACTTGCCCCAGGAACGGGTGATGTCCATGTGGCGCAACGCCGACAAGGACGGATGGAAGGTCAATGAGTGGCGAATCAATGGCATAAATGGCAGAATGGCATATAAATGGCTAAAAGATGGCTGGCAAATGGCATATAAATGCATATAAGTGGTATATAAATGATATATAAATGATATATCAATGCTTAAAGAATGGCTAAGAATGTGCGAATGGCGCATCAATGGCTATAAATGGGGTAAGTCTGCAATCCTTGAAGTGGATGGTAATAACATGTTGCAAGCGTATGACCGCCCACATTTTTGTATTTTTACATCGCCTGTATTGTTAATTTGGCATAGCGGAAAAGGCCATTGATAGATTATATTATGATATTCCTTTGATATTCCTTTCAACATGGTTTGTTTACAATAGCAATGTTAAATTACCACAGGGAACATCTCATGATATTTATTGAGTTGTATCCCATGATCTTCCCATTATGTTTTACTGTATGTTATTGGTGAATAAGCCACTATACAAAATCACACACATCAATATAGATCGATAGGTTTATCTATGTTTATCTAACTAATATAAACCATAGACCTATACAGATAGGTTCATATTGCAAGCTTTTAGCTACCTATCCCCATGGATGCAGCGGTAGCTTCGGAAATGTGGCTGGGGAAAGGTCAAAGGGGTTAGGTTAGCCGTATCGTCTCAGGAAGTATTTGGATCCATGGTGGGTATATTTATAACATTATAAAATTAGACACGTTGGTTTTCATCTTGGCTTTTTAAAGATGAACAAAAGCATTGAAATGTGTGTTGGTGTAGAGTTTTATAGGGATGGGTCAAAACCCATTATGACCATATTTGGAGCCGTCAACATCCATTCACCGGCTATTTGTGGATACCTAGGTACCAGGGTTTCGACTCACAGCCATAAATCATAATTTTCTAAGGCAACTCAACGCCTCAACGCTCGACTGGGGGCCCCATATCTATACAATGTGGTGCCCCAGTTCGTTATCTAAGTTGGTGCCAATAACTTCAATAACTACGTATGGTTTATGGTAGATATATCTATAATGGGGTTTATAAACCAGCTTATAACTAGTGGGGCCCATATCTATAAACCAACAACATATCTTGGGACACGTTGCACGGGGTTCTACGGTGTTCATCGCGTCGCAGGATGGCAGCGGGTCCATTGACTTCGAGGAGTTTGTTGCGTTTCTTGACAACGGCGGTTACTTCATGGGGGTTGAAGGAGATCTGTTGCAAAACCATAGGAAAACCATTGGAAAATGGTGAAAGCCATAGAAAAAACATGGGAAAATTGTGTAAAGTGAATTAACCAAGAAACATGTTGATAGCCAACTTGGTTACCTGGTTAACTAGGGTTTATCCCCTACATTGCCTACATAAAACTATACGTAATGGGGTTTATAAGCCAACTTACAACTGGGGCGGCCACTTTGTAGGTTTTAACCAGCAAAAGTGGTGATGTAATCCAGTCATTTTAGGGAGGACAATACCAATTTGCGTACAGGTAACTCGAGGGTCTTGGTGTCAATATCATCCAATATCAATGTGCTGCTTGTAGCGGTCCTGTTGGGCATCAACTTGGGCGTGGTCATGGCAGACAAAAAAATCATTGTGCATCCATTTTTGCGGGTGATTTTCGCAAAGACCTAGATCGTTGATCCGGAAAAATTGTGTTCTATCCTATGTTGTCACCTTTTCCCCTAATGAATAATTTGAAAGTCATGGTACCCACAAAGATATGATGATTCTTCAGCCTAGCTCAAATTCCTCACCACGTGCCCAGTTGCGATTTGTTGGTTTCCCCACAAACCCTGGTGATGGTTATGTTTCAAACCAACCTAGCTATCCTAACTCAGCTATAAAATGTTTTAATTCCTTTTGAAATCACGATTTCCCTATGGTTTTCCTATGGTTTGCACCATTTTCCCATGGTTTTCCTATGGTTTTCCTATGCTTTCGCTTGTGTTCGGGAGCCCTTCCAGGTTTTACGTCAAAGTCTTTGGTGACACCTTCGAGACGGACTTCGATCCGGTAGCGGACTATTACCGACGCTCAGCATAAAGTGGACCCCCCAGAATTGTTTGTTTGTTGGCATATAAACATATAGCAGTAGTACCGCACAAGGCGGTGGCGGAAGTTTCAAAAATAGGAAACCTATAGGAGAGGCTGTTTGTTGTGAGTCAGGGATGGCAGAGCGAAGCCACTGATGGAGCGAAAGGTGATTGATCTCTCTCACTATTTCTCTCTCTTTCTCTGACTATCTACCTACCTACCTACCTATCTATCGATCTATCTATCTATCTATCTATCTTCCTATCGATCTATCTATCTTTCTATCGATCTATCTGTGTATCTATCTATCTATCCATCCATCTATCTATCTCTCTCTCTCTCTCCTTCATCCGTCTAGCTGTCTATCTGCCTATCTGTGGTGCAGTGTCATTGAGTGTAATGTAGTGTAGTGTAATGTAGTGTGGTGTAGTGGAGTGTAGTGGAATGGCATGAATGTAGTGTAGTGTGGTGCAATGTAGTGTAGTGTAGTGTAATTTAGTGTAGTGTAATTTAGTGTAGTGGAGTGTAGTGGAATGTAGTCGTGTAGTTGTGTAGTTGTAGTTGTAGTTGTAGTGTAGTGGAGTGTAGTGTAGTGTAATGTAGTGAAGTGTAGTGGAAGGTAGCGTAGTGTAGTGTAATGTAGTGTAGTGTAGTGGAGTGTAGTGTAGTGTTATGTAGTGTAGTGTAGTGTAATTTAGTGTAGTGGAGTGTAGTGTAGTGGAGTGTAGTGTAGTGTAATGTAGTGAAGTGTAGTGTAGTGTAGTGTAATGTAGTGGAGTGTAGTGTAGTGTAATGTAGTGTAGTGGAGTGTAGTGTAGTGTAGTGTAGTGGAGCGTAATGGAGTGTATAGTGTAGTTGTGTAGTTGTAGTTGTAGTTGTAGTTGTAGTGTAGTGGAGTGTAGTGTAGTGTAATGTAGTGAAGTGTAGTGTAGTGTAGTGTAATGTAGTGGAGTGTAGTGTAGTGTAATGTAGTGTAGTATAGTGTAATTTAGTGTAGTGGAGTGTAGTGGAGTGTAGTTGTGTAGTTGTAGTGTAGTGTAGTGGAGTGTAGTGAAGTGTAGTGGAAGGTAGTGTAGTGTAGTGTAATGTAGTGTAGTGTAGTGGAGTGTAGTGGATCTAGTTGTGTAGTTGTAGTTGTAGTGTAAAGGAGTGTAGTGTAATGTAGTGTAGTGTAGTGGAGTGTAGTGTAGTGTAATGTAGTGTAGTGAAGCGAAGCGAAGCGACATCTGAACCTCAAAAAGTGGTCCGAACCCCTAGTGTTTTTAACATTTTGACTTCGAAATTTGCTTCGCGCCACAACGGCGTGCACTTTTTCGACATCTGAACCTCCAAAAGTGGCGCGAACATCTAGTGTTTTGTACATTTTGACTTGGAAATGTGCTTCGCGCCACAACGGCATGCACTTTTTCGACATCTCAACTTCCAAGAGTGGTCCGAGAATGGTGTGTTTTGTAGATTTTGACTTCAAAATGTGATTCGCGCCACAACGGCGTGCACTTTTTCGACATCGCAACTTCCAAAAGTGGTCCGAGCATGGTGTGCTTTGTACATTTTGACTTCAAAATGTGCTTCGCGCCACAACGGCGTGCACTTTTCCGACATCTCAACTTCCAAAAGTGGTCCGAAGCTGGTGTGTTTTGTACATTTTAACTTCAAAATGTGCTTCGCGCCACAACGGCGTGCAATTTTTCATCACTCACCTGGCCAGCTGGCTTCGCACCCGCCGCTTTAGCGAGCCTACTTTTCGACCCTCCGGAGCCACAAATCTTTGGAAAAACACAGTGTCTAGCGACTTTCCTACCTTTTCGCGCATCTGCATCTTCTTTCTTCTTACTCTTTCTCTTCTACTCTTCTTTCTTCTAACCTTCCTCTTCTCTCTGCCTCTTCCCTGCTCTGCTTTCCATCTGTCCATATTGTCGGAAGTTTGACTTCTAAACTTCCTTCGATAAATATAATATAAACATATATAAACCCTATGGATAATATCAAAGATCATATGAATTTAGTAGTTCGATATATTTCCACTTCCAACCATCGTGAAATTTGATATTGGCACCAACTATAGACTATAATGTCTGCCATAAAATGGTCTTTTAGGGAAAATAATGGATGATGATCAACCATGATCAAGCCATGGTCATTTAGAGGTTGATTTTCAGACGCGGAAATTTTCCCCATGAAAAATCTTCCCATGAGGTGATATGTTTATCATGTCTGCTACTTGGATGATTTGAGATGTGGAGGTTTCCGAAAAAGACTTAAAATGATGGTAACCCTAAATCATCCATTTTAATAGGACTTTCCATTATAAACCAACCAAAACCATCCATTTTGGGGTACCCCCATTTATGGAAAGCCCCATGTATATGTTGATCCGCTCTTTGGACATGTTTACTGAATGTATGGAGCACCCAAACCTTGTCAGTGCACAGGAAGTATGCGAAGAATACAATGACATTCATGGTGCTGTGCTCAGTTGAGTTTGCCGGGTCGGTAATGGCAGCCAATCACTGGGGAAATGCGCCTGGGGAATTGTAAAATGGGAAGATCCGGAATATCCATCCAATACGACGCAACGGGGGTTTTGAACGCTGCTCAATTGGTGTTATGATATGTCTATGTAGATGTAGATAAGGAAAAACAAATAGGTTGTGTTTTTGGTATGAAGATAAGAAAAAAAACATGGGAATCACAAACACTTTGATTTTATGTTATAATTTGTTGTAAGGAAACAAAAACCACCCTCGGATGATCCGACAGAGATGGCAGGTGGCGATCTCACCAATGTGAGTGTTACCACGTGAGGAGGGGAACAGCAAAGGCCTGTAGCGCCATGAACAACACAACTTCCGGCCAAAATGTTTCAAACAAATCAGTCACAATCTATCAGTCGTCCAGATTCTGTTGCTTCTGTTGTGTGTAGGCACTGAAACGTGATGTTTGAATGAATTTGATGTTGCCCATCCGTGTAAAGTTGTTTCAAGTCCTCTGAAAGAGCTTGAAACCAAGTTACAAACAAGACATTTGGATGATGCCTCTCGTCGGAGCAATGGTCCGAACATGGGGTGTTGCTACTCCTGAGTTTGGTGATGTCACAATGGCCTCAGTTGTAAATTTGTCTACAGACTCTGTCTAACATAAACCAAAGATAACCAAAGTCTAGTTATAATTCAGCTTACATAGCAGGGCACCCAACTTGCTGGATAATTTTGTCAAGTTGTTGAGAGTTCGGGATTCCACGTGAATTTAGTCACTGACTCTACAATGCGGGGCGGGCACCACAGTATATGTTGGTTTATGTTCACCCGTCCAACTAGATGAATCTCCACTATAAATGCTAGTAGTTACCAATTCAGCTATCTTAGGGGTCCCACATTGTAGTGGTTGGCTGATGAAACGATAAAAAAAGGAAAAACAAGAAAACAACAGGGAATTCTTGGAATGAAATCGCTGATTGGATCCAAGGTAGAAAAAAACAATGATACTGTAGCTGGGTAAATTAAAGGGACCTGCCCAAGCTCAGCAAAGATGGGTAGAATGCTGGGATGAACTTGACATTTATTGACCTGGCGCCGGTGGGCCACAACCCCCGTTTCGGCATCATCGTTCTCAGCGGTCCGCGCGCGTTGCCCGCGCCCATTTTTCGTCGCCGCACGTTGAAACGAGCGGCGCTGAAGCTCGGTGTAGCTCTTGGCCACCGATGTCAGACTTCACCCGGAGCATGGTTGCTGGCACATCGTATATACGTACTATAAACATATAATATATAATATGGTATATATGTTGTATATATATATTATATGTTGTATATATATATATATTAATATGTATATATTATATGGTGTATAGTTAAAAACAAATATATAGAATATGTATGTGTTTGTTTTTTAAATGAGTGACTGATCTTTTTTGACACTGTATACGTAATATCATAATTATATATATATATGAAAGTGACTTTTTTTTTGCCAAACAATGTTTTATTTTCAGATTCCGATGGAAATTCCAGCTAACATACTAATTTGGTGGTGAATGATGTTTCTATCTTTTTGGGATTTCGGGTTTATTATAGTTACAAGTTTGGCACGAAGGGTTAGCCCACTTGTATAGTCCTGGGTTAGGCTGTGTCTCTGGTGTAAAATTTCTTGCGCCCTGGCCAACCTCATGACAGATATGTTCATGGAAAAATCATCGATTCCCGGAGGATCATTTGCCGATTGTTGATGTAGACCTGGAAATACCCTACCTATAGGGATCTATACATAATATAAATATATATAGAGTATATAGTATATAATTTATGTATATTTATGTGAGATGTTTCATTTTTGGCCCTGCAAAGAAATCGGAATGATGCTACATGTTGAGGCCCTGAATCCATAGGAATCCATAGGTATGGACGGAGATTGCCATGGCCGAAGCATGTCCGGTGTTTATTACAGACCAAGGTCACTGTGTCGCAAAGGCGGGGGCCAAAGATGTGTTTTTTTTTTTTACTGTAAACGACACGTGTCCCCATTTTTTGGCCTACATCCCCATGGGCTAACCTTGGATGCGTACTTACTACAGTTGAGTACTTGAATCCTTTGTCATAGAAAAGGATGTTCACTCGTTCAACGACTATTTTGTTTATCCGAAAAGTGTGAAGGGTATCCAAAATTTCCAAGATTGGGCCATGGTATCAGTGAAATATCCATAAATATCCATTGAATCCCACTGACCATCCACTGACATTATGATTATGGCCTTGTGTTTTCGCCCTGAAAACCCTTGACCTTGGTCGCCTCTTGGAGACCTGACGTTGAAGCGTCACCCGAAACGCCACTTAAAAGAAACGTGCCATGCTCAAAGCTGGAAGCATTCACACAGGATTGGCATTAACTAACAATTATAGTAATTAATTAATGGTGGTGAATGGTAATTGTCTAGTATTCACCCACAGTTAAAGCCCTAAAAACCAGTGAGTTTTGACGCTTATAAATGAGGTTATACATGACCATATAATTGGGGTGACTTACTGACTTATAACTGGTATCACTCGGGCCATAGGTGAACATAGGTGTGGTTGTCAGGCGAAGATGAATTTGGTGCTTTGAAATACGGGGATGGATCAACACCTATGACGTGACATAGGATTTTGTTGGGGAAATGAACATCTAAAGGCTATTTTGATGTGAGAAGGATACCATATGTGGGATTTTGATGGATTTTCTTCAGGCATGTATTTGATTAATGTAGGAGGGTATAGTTTCTTTCTGTTTCATCCACAAAAAGGATGATGACTCTCATTTGATTGGCGTAATTTTGAGGCTTTTGTGGCTCAACCACGAAGAAAAATGGTGTTTGGGACGGACATGGCAATCAAAGGCCATTCCACACACCGTGGGCGTGTTTGAAAGGAGGTCGAACCCCAATACATTGCCATGTTCATCGGAAAAAAAACTGAAATGCCTCAAACAACTGGCACGTCTCATTACCCCATTTTCAGACTTCAGATATGTAGCCCCCTTGGATTTGAATTGCAATACAAGGGTCCTGGACCATTCACCACGGTGGCAGTTTCGGAACGGCGTGGCGATCTGCGATGCAGTGGGATGGGGAAAGTTGGGGTGGGCACGGGGTGGTTGATGCGGCGTTGGTTTTCTTGCTGAAATGATGCCTGAAGTGAAGATATGATTGCAACGTGTCCAGTAATCTTGTATATTAAGGAGATATGATGTGTTGTATATGATGTTGTACATTCACCCGGTTTATGGGCCAGAGCCGTGTCATCCTGCGTTCCTTTTTTATGGCTAACCAAAAACCAGCAAGTTTCGTTGGAGTCAAGGACCCCTACCATGACTGGGGATGCTTTGTAGAACCCATTTATGGCAATATATAGGGGATGGTTATTAGTATTTAGGTTTACCACATTATTAATACACACATAGTTTCACCAACTTTTGGTAAATTAACTTGAGGTTTACCACATTATTTACCAGATAATTTACCACATTTACCACAACCAAGAGTTGGTTTACCACATTTTTGGCTTATCGGGGTGTTGATGTCGGTTGATGTCGGTTGATCGCTCCACAGACCTGAAGAAATTGCTTCAAAAAGGGGATGTTAATCGAGGTACTAAAGCAACAAACATATATACAGGATGGGGCCCCCAAGATAGCTAAGTTGGTTTATAAGTGGCTTAACAATGGTTTATGGTAGATATAACTATAGTTAATGGGGATTATAATTGTTTTTAAACCAACTTATAACTGGGGGGCCCCATCCTGTATATATATATATATACAACTGGGGGGCAAGGGGCACCTTGAAACTATAGTTGGGTATAGTTCTTTGAACTATAGGTGAGTCTCCTTTTACATATAGCAATCCCAACTATAGCATATAGCACCTAATAGCAATCCAGAAATTGGTGGTGCCCCTGAACAACGGCTAAGTTGGTGCAAAATAACTGGGGTGTACGGGGGATACAACAAACTAGTTCATGGGCTTTATAATCCAACTAGTAACCAGGGAGCCCTATTGTTTTATTGTGGGGTTAAATCAGATTAAATGGTCATTGCACCTTGGGGCACCACGTCTTCGTGACTTTGGCTTAAGCTGGACACTTTCGGGAACGCCCAATTTTCCACGTGCAGCTCACGTTGCACCGGACCCTGCAAGTGCCAGCGTCCGGGACGTAACACGACTGCACGACACCTATAGGGTGCCACCCGAGGTTGGGAGGACGGTTGGTTGTGGAAACTGCCCAAGAACCACTGAGAAGTAGACACAAACATTAAAAAAGAACTAACGTGGGTAAAACAATAATAAACCATCCCCACAATCACCATTTTTATATGTGGTAAAAACCATTCCCAAATGTGTGGTTTATGGCATTGTTTTACCCACATCATAGCAAATGATATGTACCATGTAGATGAAACCCTTATACTAAATCAAGATAAATTAATTGCATAACCAGACCATGAGTAACCACCCTACAAGGTGGTGCACCCGGTCGATAGCTAAGTTGGTGCCAATAACTCTAATAACTATAGGACTTATGGTAGATATATCTATAGTTAATGGGATTATAAACCAACTTATAACTGGGGGGACCACCTTGTACTTGCAAAGCTTGTTTTATATAGGTCCTATAGGTATTGTATAATCAGTGGAAAACTGAAGTAGGTATATGCTTGAGCCGTAGAAGAAACCGTAGAAGATTTGGTGGACACAATGTCCCCCATGTTCACCCTCCAAGTATACACAATACTTTTTTAGGGGGGTTATATTCAGCAATCATCATATCATCAGTGTAGTCATAAAAAAAAAACACAAATGAGTTTTGATACAGACATCGAAGACATCGAATCTTTGACCTAGTTACCCTAGGCAACGGATCGTTGGTCCAAACGACTCGGGATGCGAGCAAGGATCATAAAAACGATCGCGCTTAAAACGCTAACGTGTTTTGCTAAGTTGGCTTATCCGGAAAACGAATCGCTATGCTTAGTGGCTCATTCCATTTAGTAGGTTAGTTATGCCACGAATCGTAAGTAGGTTTGCTCACCTAAGTTTTTTCAGTGGGACAAGTAGGTTACAGTAATCCACCTATGTGGGGTGAACAAACCTACTTTCTAAGTAGGTTATGAGCCACCAAGTACGATGTCAGTGCATTTATCGGTGCCGCCGCGGCCGTAGGCTCTTTTGATCGCCATGCAGGTGGGTGTGATTGTTCTTTTTTGAGTGCGGTGATTTTATTCGCCAGATACCATCTGGTAAACTAACATAACTAGGATCAACAATGGAAAATCACAATTGTTAATATGTAAATCAAGTATAACTTGCCATTTTCAACAGCTATGTTAGTTGGCCAGAGACATGGCTTTGGTGGTTTTGGTATACCCAAGGAACGAAAGGAGGTGGGGCCTGGAGTCCAAGTTAGGTTTGAAAATGTTGTAATCATCGCTCCAAGTTTTTGTGACTTTCACCCCAGTTGCTCAACCTGTAGGCAAGTCATGGCCAATTTCTTCTTTTGTATTTGGATGTATTTGGGGTGCTAGGATACTGTCCCGAAATGTCCCTTTTTTTTGGTGGGCCGACTATTACTGTATCATGTTAATCATGTTAAACGGGGACACAGAATGGTTAGATACACTACAAGAATGGGATTTAGAAAGAACTGCAACGGTGGATTCCTCAGATCGGATCATCATGGGATCCCTGGGATTTGGGGCTGTTCCATGCTGTTCCCAATTCAATTGTTTCAGATGTACAACCGTGGGCGAGCTTCCAGCTGTGAGGGGCAAGTACCAACGCTGACGGCCAATTCGATGGTTTCTTCTTTTTGGGCCGTAAAAGCTAGGTTGGTTTATGATTTTATGGTACTTATAAAATGTTATGACTATATAGTAATGGATGGTAATGGTGATTATTTACAAAACAAGAAACATGACTGGAGGGGGGCACCACCTTGTATTTTCATGCAACCAGCAAGTTCAGTTTACTGTAAGCGAAAGGAGGTACCATGCCACTGAAGTCCTGGTTTGCCTGTGTCTCCTGATCATAGAAATAGAAGTACATCCAAATCCCATGTTTGTGGTGTATGCCGCATCCTTGCGTTGCAGCCTTTTTTAGTGGTCAGATAAATTTTGTGCCGTACTCAAAAATGTCAAGTTTCGTTGCATAAATCAAAAAAAGCGCTTGCTGGGAAATTCTCATGTTTTGGTGGCTATAAATCCCTTATTGACCGTTTTTTCATGCTGAAATGTCTCAAATTTGCCCTGCGAATCGGCAACTAAGATCCCATAGATCCCCGTGTTCCTGCGCTTGGCGCCATTCTGGGTGCTGAACTCCACCTGAGGCGGACAAGGTCACCCATGTGGATCCTCGTGGGTCCAAATTCTCAGACCGGGAGACCTGGGCGAAAAAGGGGTGTTACGAAAAAAAGGGTGGAACATAAAGATATCATGGAGATTTCATGGGTTAACCTTAAGTTAAACGGGATAGAAAAGACCAACTAGAAATGATATTGATATTACCAGTAGTACCGCGCAAGGCGGTGGCGGAAGTTTCAAAAATGGAAAACCTATAGGAGAGGTGAGTTGTGGTGTGACGCAAAAATGGCAGAGCGAACCCACTGATGGATTGAAAGGTGGTTGAGTGTTTCTCCCTTTCTGTCACTTTTTCGACATCTCAACTTCCAAAAGTGCTCCGAGACCCTCAGTTTTTAACACTTTTGACTTCGAAATGTGCTTCGCGCCACAACGCCGTGCACTTTTTCAACATATCAACTTCCAAAAGTGCTCCGAACCCCTCATTGTTTAACACATGTTACTTCCAAATGTGCTTCGTGCCACAACGGCGTGCACTTTTTCGACATCTCAACTTCCAAAAGTGTTCCGAGACCCTCAGTTTTTAACGCATTTTACTTCCAAATGTGCTTCGCGCCACAACGCCGTGCACTTTTTCGTCATCTCAACTTCCAAAAGTGCTCCGAACCCCTCAGTTTTTAACACGTTTTACTTCCAAATCTGCTTCGCGCCACAACGCCGTGCACTTTTTCGTCATCTCAACTTCCAAAACTGCTCCGAGACCCTCAGTTTTTAACACATTTTACTGCCAAATCTGCTTCGCGCCACAACGCCGTGCACTTTTTCAACATATCAACTTCCAAAAGTGGTCCGACGCTGAGGTGCTTTGTACCTTTTCACTTCGAAATCGGCTTCGCGCCACAACGGCGTGCAACTTTTCATCTCTCATCTCCCCAGATGTCTCCGCACCCGCCGCTTTAGCGAGCCTACTTTTCAACCCTCCGGGGCCACAAAACCACGAAAAAACACAGTGTTTCGCGACTTTCCTACCTTTTCGCGCACCTGCATCTTCTTTCTTCTGATCTTTTCTCTTCTGACTCTTCTCCCTGCTGACTGCTTTTTCATCTCCATATTGTCGGAAGTTTGACTTCTAAACTTCCTTCGATTAGATGATATTAGTGGGCTTGTCTGAACATGTGATGTATCCCGAATTATGGCTCTGTTTGAAAAATTGTTTAAATGATGATGAACCAGTCGATGGAAGGAGGTAGCCTATTTCTATCAGTGTTTTTCTACAGTTGATTGACTTGCAGATGCATATTTGGAATGATTTGCCTAAACAAAGACTGCAGATGAAAACCATGGTGTGTTTTTGTTCCTCAAACCTGGGGTCGCTCTTGGGTACTAAAATTGCATGGTCAGGGCACTTTCGTGTACCCGCTGGTGCTGGTAATTTACCATGGCTATTGAAAATACCGACATGTTCAATAGGAACATCATATGGGTTATTTTCCATATATGTCACATTTCTAGAGGGCAATTGGCTTGGTGCCACCCAGTTTTCCTTCACCCTGAATCACATTGCTTGAACGATCTTTGTCTAGGAGACTCAGATCCAAGCAAAGCCACACATTGGACATCCCTAGAATACTCTGGCGCATGAATGTGCTAGGTTTTCACAGCCATCCCTGAAAGATCGGTCTGTTCTTCCCGCTTTGCCAGGCCCATTGCAGCTGTGGCGCTGGGAATTTTCGTCATCACCTACTCGGCCTGCAGGTGCAGCGATAGCTCCCGTTGAATTATGTTTACCCATCAGACTTGATGGAGTTGTCACAGAGTAAACATGAGGACCAAAAGATATCAAAAGACAAACATAGCATATTTGATATCTTTGATGGGATGCTGGGGTAAACAACGTAAACAACCATAGCATTTTTACTTCGCTTTTCCAACGGATCGGTAAATCGAAGGGCATCGCTACTGCCCAATCTTTATTAAACATATCCCATATGCTCCATGTATGGAATATTTCCCTACATTTGGGGCATATTGGAGGTACTGTAAAGGTTAATTAGTACAGCATTTGGTGTACGACGCAAGCAAATGTTTTGTGGTGTGGTTCTTCTCAGCTGTGCTTCCTGCATGTTCTGCTTGGACACTTGCCTCATCCACGAGAACTTCACAGCATACAGTCGGGATGCCTAGAGACAGGGGTCGAAATTGCAGAGCGGCAGGTGAGCCTTGCGGGGAACTGGCATTGGCTAACACAAGTCTACGGCCCTGTCGCAGCTGTTGGTTCAAACAGCATGAAGTTTCTGAGTGCACAGCAAAAATAGCAGTGAACATGTATGCTGCCATATAGAGTCTTGATCGGTCTTGATGTTCGCGGCATTTTCATGGAATGATTTTTAGGCAGCACGTTACTCTCAGTGTGTTCTTTCGGTGCATGAGAAAACGCACATTGTTTTTGTCACAAATCATGCTTTAAGACATTAGCAGATGTGTCCAGAATTTGGAATTCGGTTCTGCCGAGTCGTCAGTGAACAGATGTGAACAGTATACTCAGTACACGCACAGCGCGTCCAGCGCGTTTTCCTCAGCGGACCAAGTGTCATGACGATGATTTGGAATTCGGCTCCATCCAAGTTGTGATGACAAAATACCAACAACATGCATCACTCCATTTTGCTTGGGATGGTGCATATTTGATGGCCGAGCTGACAGCTGTCGGCGAAAACGGGAAAATATCTCAGGGTCCATGCCAACCAAAGCTGCAGGACTCCACAAATCGATTTCCATACTTCCGGAAAAGGAACCTTTTTACATTCCGGGCGTCACCTCAGTTTGCAAGTTTTCAGAAACCAATCCACTCAATTGGAAGGCCACATGTTCCACCAGAACTGTCAGCTTTGGGCCTTGATACTCATGTTTGAAGTGAGAGTTCTCTCAGCTTTCATGGAGAAGGTTGAGACAGAAGTGACGTGCGCAGTTCAACGCCAATTTACTTCGAAGACATCGAAGAGGAAAGCGATCATGCTGATCTCGTACTGCACAAGCGCCTCACTGGCATGTCTGCCGAAAGTGATGCCAAGTGATGGGCTTGGAACATCCGATCCATTGCGATCCCATGAAAAGTTGTCTCGCGATGCATATTCTGGGCTTTTGGTGGCGCCATAGGCAATTTCACCCTTTTAGCTTTAGCCTTAGGAACCACTTCGGCTTTTGATCAAACAGCAAGAGAGATATGCTCGAAGTTCTCGCATGGGCGAACATTTTCCAAGAGGAAAAAATGCCATTGAATTGGCCCAGACATTGGGTTTCACTCTTTTGCACCATTGTTCGGTGAAAGTGGACATGCGAAGATCTCGTCTTGAATTGTCTTCGCTGTCTGACGTTGGAGCGATGAATCTGATTCCCAGGGGCACTCCTCCTCACCTCTCCAGGCTTTACCTAGATTGGCTCTCCAACACAACGCCTAAAGTAGCATTCATGGTCAAATTGCACCGTAAGAATGGTATTTTGTGGGATTGGGCTTGTCAGCACATTGTGATGGCCTGCAACGACGACATCATTTTCCAGGATGGCGGGTTGGAGATGCTCCACGAGTTCTTTTTTAAAGGCCGTGATGGCTCACGCCCTCACACAAACTTTGTGCCCCTGCACTCACTCTCAACCAAAGGTGGTTGTAGAAGGAAACACTCTTGATGCAGCTGAGTTTTTGGCCGGTTCACAAGATTGCTGTGGCAAAAAAATCCGTTTCTGTCTCATGCTGCTTCCCTCGGCTGACAATCGACAAAGGGTTGCAGAATGTAGTATGTATACATGTATGTACTGACATAGACACACCCGTTGGATTCCAGGGACATATTTTCAGAACATTGGGATATATTGGGATAAAACACCATGTTTTTTTTGGATTAAAAATAGCGCCTATACTTTTTCAGGAACGCATTTGAAACAGAGATCTTTGCCTAGCGAATTTCTGGCTGCCAAGGTTGTGAAGTCATTGAATTTGCCTTCCAGGTCCATCCCAGCCATCGAAAAGCTACGCTCTCATGAACTCATGAAGTCATAAGGTATGGAACATCCTGGGATTTTCCAGGAAATAATCATGGGAAAAATTGTTTCTATACTATATGCCACTTGACTGGATGTGTTGTTTGTTTTATGGAGCAGTTTCGACTCAACATGGAGCGCGAACATTGCGAAACATGTCATGGAGACATATCCTGAAAGATCCAAGCGCAAAGAGAAGTCCCAATCCCAGCATCCACAAGATGGAGAGCAGCTACAGCACTCATGAGAAGTTGCTACAGCGGCTAGGCCCTCATCAATTTCAAGAATAATACTATCAAAAAATAAAAGCAACATCCCCAGACGGCGGATGCACATGATGCACAATCCGTAGCAGTCCCAATCGTTTCAATCAACGCGAGGCCCACATTTGCATGAGGAAATGTACGCTATGAAATGTTGCTAGCGTAGAAGAATCCCAAACTGTCTCAACAGCAGTGATCCTCATTGGGAAGGTTTTATCTTGAAGCCCAACCTCGTCCACCACAATTCCCCACTGTTCAACTCCAGCATAACTAAAGACTTGCCACCTGAGGGTAAGTAATACGTGGCAGGGGATACGATACAAGTCTGAAAGACAGGTATCAGTTGAAAATCAATCTAACTCTGAATCCAATATACCGCAATATACCCCATAGTCATCCACAATTCCCAAGCGCCAAATAAATCCTAATGAATCCCAGAAACTGTTTAGAGAAACGCAACATAAAACGATGATGTTTTGATTACAGTACAATGGCACGCTGAAAACAGCCGACTGTCTTGGATGACCTTCAAACAGGCTGAAGACCAAAATCAAGAAGCATTGGGCAGGCAATGCACTACACAAATACGAACTCAAAGGAAAAACATCAGTTTGGTAATTCTTACCAAAACAAAGCACAAGGCAAACAGAAAGATACAGAGCAACCATCACCGACAAACAATCGCTTTCAAAGGTTCTGTGAGTTTGTGCTCCGTCAGCAACATCAAAGTCATCAAGGCATCAAAGCACTACAGCATCTCTCGCTGCAGTATCGCAAGTACCAAGCTGTTGATAGTTTTGGCCATTTACTAGTTTTAACATGATATAACTGGTTATAAATGGGATTATACATTCTAATGGGGTTATAAATACTTAACTGGTAAAGGGCCATAACTGAAGGTTAAATAATTTTCCAGAAAACACGGGAACGAAGGCTCTACCGCAGGTTGAACAGCAAGCTTGAACAGCAAGAGACCAACGAAGACGAACAAGAGTGATGAGGAGATACGGCGCAACCAACGAAGAGGAAATACCTATGGAAAATGATGTCGAACACAAAGCGGACGAACTGGTGTTTTGGAGGTTTACATTTTGATCATGATCTAGCTACTTACAGTGTCAATATCTGTCAATTGTAGCTTCCAGGATTATCCAAGCGTCTAAGCAAGGCTCATCAGCAACCCTACAACGTGGTGCCTCATAGTTAGCTGCTTGATGCTGCATGCAATTTTCTTTATACCTAAGATATATAACTAGGGATTTTGGTAAATATATTTATAGTAAGTGGGGCTTCAACCAAGAAACATAACTGGGGGGCACTACCTTGTAGATGTTGTTTGCTTCTCTCTTCCAGGATTTTCACTGGTTATGGGATTCTGCAAGGACTATCCAAGTCTTCTAAGGCTACCCAAAGCAACCCTCAGCCACCGCAGCTTCAGTTCGCCGGCGAAAGTGGGTGCAGCCTTTCCTTGGACAGTCAATCCAACAGGCGAGGAATGGGAGCTAACGAGGGAGCTAAGGAGGGAGCTAAGGAGGGAGCTAAGGAGGGAGCTAAGGAGGTTTAAGATGGTTTAAGTGGAGTGTTTTTTTGTTTTAATTCGACCATCATCCATAAAGAAATGGCTTATATCATCTTATATCGTTATTCCCTCTGGCAATTTAACAGCTATGCAACATAGACCATTTAGTTCGATGATTTGCCTCTCAGTTTGCAAAATGTCAAATTACCCGATGGTATTGGAAAACAAAATATAGATAGATAGATTAGATTAGATTGTTATTTAGGCTAAATTTGCGATATATAACATACAATACATATTCTTATTCGATAATGTAAGACTGTTTGAGATCCTGACTATTGGGATGATCTGTGGGATATGTGCATACCAAATATCGTTCTTTAACATGTGGGAATTCCCAAGGTATGCAGACGGACACGCTCCCAATAGTCAGGTCACCTCACATTAATAGGAACTTGAGAAGCTCCCAATAGTAAGGTTGGTGGTACCCTCTGGTAAACGTTTACATAGCTGTGGAACATCACCATTTTTCATGGGTAAATCAACTATTTCTATGGGCCATGTTCAATACTTATTAGTTAGTTTACCAGAGGCTACTTGCTGCGGGTGGATGGTGGTGAACTGTGGGGACTCCCGGGTGGCCCATTTTTGGAAAACATCCCTTCCATGGATATCGTAGTTGGCAAGCCGCCTGAGCAATCTACAATGTGGGACCGCAACAAAAGATGGTTTATGTTCAGCCATCTAAGTACAGGTAAACCAAACAAAGATCATCTAGCAATCAAGATCTGTCTGGTGGTTGTGGGGGCCGTCAAAACAATCAAGGCCATGAACAGATAAGAAAGCACCATTTTGGTACAATGCGGTCACGCTCCCCAGTCATCATGTTTATGTATATATAAATCCATCTGACTATTTAGATATCCATCATAAAGCCATCGGACTATAAAATACTATAGATACATCCATCATAGTTCCCTGTTATTATTGTTAACAATCTACTTACCCATCTTGGCCCATGCAGCAACGCCATGGTCAAGAGCAAAATTGACTGGTTCTCATCATGGCATCGGTCAAAATACTTCTGTTGATCGGTTTTCTTTCAGGGGGTTATTAACCAAACTGTACAATATATTACTGGGATTGTTAAAACTGTTACTCTCAATATTCCTAGCTGTACTAAATCAACTCTGTGAAATTGGAGGATCATGAACTAAGCTATAATAGAAATATGCACTAATAGTGACATACCGTGACCCACATCGGTGACTCCTGGGATGGACGCAACCAATCTCATGGCATCCCAAAGAAAGCTTAGTTCCTGAGCGACGCAGGCATGTTGATGCCAGGGATGGTTAAGAGACCATAAGATGATGATTATACAATGATTAAATCGTATGGCATAAGATAATCAGATAATATGATAATAAGATTAGATAATCAATGATTAAATATATTAGATAATCAATGATCATAAGATCATACAGCAAATTCTCAATGATTAGATAGAAAGAACCTTTTTGATAATTAATGATTAACCTCGATGATAATTTTCGTGCTTAAGCTAATCAATATATATATATATACATATATATATACCCCACTGGTTATTTAACATGTGCCATTTGTCTTCTTTTCTTGCTGTTTATATTTTCCCCTCGGCGGCGCTCGCCTTGGTGCGCTCGATCTTTGTTGTTGTCACTATATGTATTCAGGTTTGCGTTCTTTGAACAGGTCTGTAACTATGAATGCAGTGGCGATCTTTCACCAAAAGCCTGCTTATAGGGAGGCGCCGCTTTTTTTTTGTAGTTATATATCCCTTCAGCACCCATGACCCTCCTCTGGCCTTTTGTCAGGTCCATGATAAAACACTGCAAGATTTGGTGTTCCACATCAAGGCCAAAGTAATGGACGGCGTCTTGCAAAATGATGCCGTTCAGGACGCTTTTCAGGTGCCCTCCCCTCCACCTCAATTGCGTGTCGGGATTGATGGATGTTTTTTTACGTTTGATCACAAGGCGTTTGCAGGGAGCCGGCGCAGCCTCAAGAAAAACGAACGACTCGATGAATACATCGAAGAGGCAGCTGCATCAATCTTAGAAAATTAATCTACACCCTGGCTGTATCACGTACCCTTTGTTCAGGTGATCTTGCATATCCACGTGTGGAACCACATTATGGGCCGGTCAAAATTGCCGAATGCCCCGGAATTATATTAGACAGGCCAGCTGCTGAGCCATCCCATGTCTGCTGAAATCGCTCTGCTCTGCAGGGGGCGGCGAGTCCAATTTGGGAGAAATGAGCATGTGGATCGTGAGACTTGAAACCTGTCGTGAATAGCTGCCCCAAGAGCGACAAGCGCCTAGTTTCATGTGCGGTTGAGTCCAAAAATCAGCCGCTCCTTTGCACAACAGCCAGCGAAATTTATGTTCGTAGATGGCCCAAGTGCCCAGCTAATCAGATTACCACTGATGACCTAACATGATCTTCTTATTTTTTCTTCTTCTTTATCCGGAAGTGAAGTAGAAAATTTGGTGCAAGACAAACTTGTGCGTGCCAGCGTTACCAGATCAAGCACATTTATAAACAAGTCCGTTCCTATCTTTTCTCCTCTCTCCGTTCCCATCCCTTCTATTTCCCCACCTGCCAGGTGAGGGTTGTTAGATTTTATCAGAGCTGTTCTCCTCCTCCTCCTCCTCCTCCTCGGCTACCTGTCCTCCTCCTGCTCCTCCTCGTCCTCCTCCTCCTCCCCCTCTAGTTTCTCCTCGACCATGTCTGCATCAACTTCCACCTCCACTTCCGCCTTGCCAACTCTTCGCCAAGCTCTTTGCCAACTCTCTTTGCCAAGCTCTTTGCCCACTTCCCAGCTCAGTGTGCACTGGGACCTCAACCTGGGACCTGCCCAGCTCAGTGTGCACTGCTGGACCTCAAGCTCAGTGTGCACCGCTGGAACTCAACCAGGGACCGTCTCAGCTCAGTGTGCACCGCTGGACCTCAACCTGGGACCTGCCCAGCCCAGTGTGCGCCGCTGGACCTCAACCAGGGATTTGCCCAGCGCAGTGTGCACCGCTGGACCTCAACCGGGGACCTCCCCAGCTCAGTGTGCACTGCTGGACCTCAACGGGCAGATAGAATGCCAGAAGATATGCCAGATATAATGTCAGATGGAATGCCAGAAGATATGCTAGATAAAATTCCATGAGATATGCCAGATAGAATGCCAGAAGATATGCCAGATAGAATGCCAGAAGATATACCAGATAGAATGCCAGAAGATATGCCAGATAGAATGCGAGAAGGTATGCCAAATAGAATGCCAGATAGAATATCAGATAGACTGCCACAAGATATGCCAGATAGAATCCCAGAAGATTTGCCAGATAATATGCCATAAGATATGCCAGATAGAATGCCAGATAGAATGCCCAGAAGATATGCCAGAAGATATGCCAGAACACCTGCCAGAAGATATGCCAGAAGACATGCCAGAAGATATACCAGAATATATGCCAGAAGATATGCCAGATAGAATGCCGGATCGAATGCCAGAAGATATGTCAGATAGAATGCCAGAAGATTTGCCAGTAACAAATCGATAAATGTCATGGTGGGGATGACTCGAAGTAAAGTAATTCCTTTTGTTTTCTTTTATCTCTTTCTTTCTTCTCTGTTTTCACCCTTTTCTTCCGCTGTTTCCTTGTTTTCTTTCCTTCGTGGTTGCAAAAAAGGTTGCTACTCACAAGACGACAAAAAAGGGCTTGGTGTGCTTGTTTTTTCTTTTCTCTAGGTTACAAAAAAAAGCTCACCGCTTACAGAGCCTGCAGCATGAGACTTTGGAGTGTTGACAAGCAAAAGAGCTTGCTGCATGGTTCACGAGCAATGCTAATCTTAGTTGACAGTGCGAGCGTGGGTGTTATTGCATGTGAAGGTCATGGTGCTGCCTGCGTAAACCGGACATTGCTTGTAGTCCGCGTGTTCTAGCGACATCTGTGCTTGACATTGATTGTTCTTGTTATTCCTTTTCTTTGTTGTGCTGATGACGACCCTGTCTACAGCGGTGCGCTTGTGCTGTCCTTGTCAAGTCGCTCCATCAATGCTGTCACGACTCGAGCAACTTGCTCAAGATATTCGCAAAGAGGCGCGATGTCCACCTTTGCTGCATTATGTGACATATCGGAAAATGTGTCTAATGAGGATGTGATATGTACAAACGAGGGCCCTGATCGGGTGACAAAGGTTTGCAAAATGTAAAAGCCTTTTTTCTTTTCTGTCAACATGCAAGTGATCTTCAACAGGTTGATACACTTCCAGCCAAAAATATTGAGATTCCGATTGAAAAGGAAGAGGTGCTGTGCGTATTTATTGCTGACTTTGGTCAAATAAATGCGAGCTTTTTTTCTAAGCAGGACATGTGTCTTTCGGAGACTGATACGGACATGTCTGAAATTGCCACAAATGAGGCGCGCGTGATGTCAACTAAAAACGAAGCCTGCAATGATCAGCTTTTACCAGGTTCCCTTAAAAAAAAGAAGACGTGTGGAATACCCGCCGCCTTTGAATGCTGGCTCGCGGGGAAACAAAACCGGCGACCGCCCCGGCGCCCGGTGATGATCAGGCACGTCATGCTGCTGCCAAAGTCGAAAGCAGCCAAGGCTGCTGGTTGAGCCCAAGCATCAGCCGCTCCTTTGCACAACAGCCAGCAAAATTCACGTTCATGGATGGCCCAGGTGCCCGGCTAAGCAAATTACCACTGATGACCTAACATTATCTTATTATTTCTTCTTCTTCTGATAAATAGAAAAATATAGTGCAAGCAAATTACTCTTTGCATTGACGGTGCCCGTCTATAAGCCAAAAGCTTCGGTTGCCGCGGGTAGCTTGGGTGAACTCTTGCGCACCAAGCTTGTCAGGGCATGCAAATTTCTGAACAAATCCTCTCTCTTTGTTTTTCTTCTCTCTCTAACCCCTTCCCTTCAAATCATTTTCAGTCCTTTTCTTTTATTTCACCATTCTTTTCGTTTTCTTTCTCCTTCTTGGTTACAAAAAAGATTGCGACTCACCCAACTAAAAATGGAAAATCCCCTATAAATGGAGGTTTTAATGGGTAAATCATCTATAAATGGGCAATTTTCCATGGCTATGTTAAATAACCATAGGGTAGATTAAATGATTAAATTGAATCATTGAACTATATAATGATTAATCCCCCACGACCTAGCCACGTTCTGTTGCCTACCATCATGACTACATCAGGCTTGCTGAATGACATCACCACGTTGGGTGCTGAGAAAAACGCCGATTTGTCGCGTTTGTTGTGCCCCTGGAATTAGTTGTGTTTGTTGTTTTATAACCAGATCTAACTTGTTCAAATATACATCTACAGTACCATAGATATTAATAAATCATGTTGTGAGTTTCAGTCTAGCTCTGCACTCAAGTTACCTATCAAACGGGGGCCGCACGTTGTACGTACCAAAAATGTGGGAGATGATGTACATCACTGAAATTGCGGATTAAGCCTCCCAATGATGTCACCAACCAAACGCTGGGTATGATTTGTAGGCTTGGCCACATTTGAACTGCAAACCCTTCAGGAGTTGTGCGGAAGAACCTGTCTCTTCCAGAATGAAAGAATTTAGATCAAACCCCATATGTCGCTTGTTGGACCCCTGACCCAGTTGGTAAGTGTTGAACTGAACCCTTGCATGATCCTGGGCAAACTATGGCGGCATCACTGGCTGACTGAGACTATAAGCCGCCTCATACTGGCTCATAAATGTTGATTATATGTCTGATTATTTAATAGATAAATGGGTGGTTTCCAATCTAAGACGTCATCATGATGATGATGATGATGATACTGATTGTTCTGTTTATTACTGTTATTGCTGATATTATTATTTTTGAAATATTATGATTCTTATTATAATTTGACTTATTGATTACTTATTGATGGTATTTATGATGTTATAACATTATTATTTAATGTTATATATATATAAGTACGGAAGATCATCCAACAATAAATGCAGGCTATCCATGTCAAATTCAAGATTCGCCATGCTACCGAGGTTGCTGGGCTTGTATGCTGCCACCATTCCAGCCAAGGACGTGGCGTAACTCGGAAAATGGGTGTTTTAATGGGATTTTTTTATGGGATTTAATGGGAATATAAAGAGTATATAATTAATGTGGATACAATGGGAATACCTGGCTATTCTGAGCTGGTGATTTCTGATTCCAATGGGACAGCCACCAGAACCCAGGAATCTATGGGGCAACTCCAAGCTGGGCAGCTAGATTGGCGAAAAAACTGAGATGGGAATATGATGGAATGCTGAACAATGGCAAGATGAGAGGGGAGAACATTCGGAGTACAGTGTGCTGGAGGTTCAAGATGTTCAAGATGTTCAAGTGTCAGAATTGGCTGTGTTCAATCTGTTCAATCTGTTCAGTCTAGGATCTGTTCGGTACATGCAATCCAATCCTGTTGCGACCTCAAACAACCTCAAACATGGACCGGCCGCGCGGCCGCCCAACAAAAAAATCCCTCGATGGACTTAGCAAGGGAGGTCAAGTCTAAAACTGATAGTCTCGAGAATGTTTTCCAGGTAGTATCAAACTCTGGACTGATTTTCAGTGTTCAGAATGTTTACACATGATTTGAATATCCGTAACCCTATGTTTTTTGTTAATTACGTTTTTTTGTTGTAATCGTTCAATTTTAGCATAAACCCAAGAGCAGATCATAAGCATATATTTCAAAAATCGTTTCAGCCTGTGACTTGCAGCTTTTGATTTTCCCCCCCGCAGGAGCTGTTGAATGTGGTCTTGAAATATGTGGGCGATAACCTCATCGGTGGGGGGCTTAGAGTTGACCCTGGCCCTGGGGCCCCCGTTGAGCTTATGTTTGTTTGTTGATGGTTACCCGTTTACCCCATGAATACTATAGACTATAAGTAAGACTATCAGAAACCCAAGTTAACCTAGTTATGTTCACCAACTTAGCCAAGTATGGGGCCTCACATTGTATAACATCTCGCAGAAGTACTATTCGTTTGAAGCGGAGACGCATTTTAACCAAATGTTATGGGTTGACGACCACTTGCACTTTCCTCAGGACAAAGTGTTCTGCGTATTTCAAAAACTGAAAAACTAGCGAAAGTCTGCGCAAAGCTGAGTGGCTGCAGTGCATGTGTTCAGTCTCAGTCAAGTTTGGGCCATTTCGGGACGGTCCTGGTCCTGGATACACCCAGCTCCTCAGCAAGGCTCGACTCAACTTGTTTCTGTCCAATCTGCCGAAGGGCAGTTTTTGTTTTCTCGCAATCAACTTACTGGTGCTTAGTAGGGAATGAGGGAATTATCCATAATCACTAGTAATAATCATCCCATTCCCCCATTCCCTACTAAGCACCAGTAAGTCAAGTATTAGGGGGTGTTTGTTTCTTGTTCCCCGTCAAACCAATCCAATGAATTTTATGATGACAAGCACCCCGAGGTCCCCCTTTCGTGAACAAGATAGCTTTGACTGACCCAAGTTGCTCCACTTTTTTCGGAGGCTCCACCTGTAAGATTGGCACCTGGTTGACATCACCTTTTTTAATGGCTGGAGGAATGTGTAATGTGGAGGAACATTCTACTACCATCTCATACCATCTCCATCTGCCAATTTTAGGCATTTTCGGGACTGGACTGAGTACTGATCAGTGCTAGACTTCCCATTCTCTTCCATCATTTTCCCATAATTTCCTCAACATGTTTCCCATGATTTTTCTTTTATCGTTCCCATCATGTTTCCCATCCATGTCCATCATGTTCCATAATGTGTGCACCATTATTCCGAACATTCCCATAATTTTCTTCACATCATATTCACATCCACGTCCATCGTTTTCGCATCCTTTTCCCTTCATTTTCTCCACATGTTCCCATCATGTTCCCATCAGTTTTCCCATCACCTACAGCCAAAAAAACACGCCGGAAGTCCGTTATTTTGAGGTTACACCAGGATGGATGAGGGTGATCAGAAGGTGCCAAAACTGGAGGTGCCCGGCTGGAGATCTGGCAGAGATTGGATGGACCCCGACACATGGGGATATATAGCAATCCCCAAATAGGTACAATGTGGTGCCCCATAGTTAGCTAAGTTGGTTGATAACTCCAATACCTAATACCTGTAGTTTATTGTAGATATATCTATAGTTAATGGGGTTTATAAACCAATTTATAACTTTTAGGAGCCCCAAATAGAAAAGTTGCAAGCCTGGAAAATCAAAGGAACACATCGTCTACACCATGCTGGAAACACGTTTCTATCTTTTTCGGGGTTCCTATAGCATGTATTAAGTGTTAAGGTGATCTGGAAAATCTCCAAAAAGGGACATGTAGCAAGGCCTGAAATTAGCACAATCCCATCCCTTTGATATTTCAACACCTCCTACGTGGTGCAAAAAGGTTTTAAATCGCTTACGAAGCCATGATTTCTGGGGGGTGTTCAATATTAGGGGGATGGGATTAGACAGTGGGGGACAAGACATGCAAGGCCGTGCCTCAGATCGGTGATTAAGTTGGTTGAACTAGGATTGCAGTATGGTAGATACATCGAACTATTACTGTTTGTTTGTTTTCAACCAACGAACTTAACTGCGGGGCACCACTTGTATCAAACTGTTGGTTGGTTATGCTTTGGGGATATGGAACAATCATAGCAAGTGGTTTTACATTAACCTGGCTTAGCTGCGGGGATCTCGAACCATTGTAACCCATATATGGATAATTAATGGGTACCTATCAAATCCTATCAATACTTCCTGGGATGGGAACACTGGGTTTGACTTTCATGGCTGGATGAACCCTCTGGGTCAAGGAGATGATTCACCGAACATTGCCACTATTTGCGAAGATGTCAATGAGGCAATACAGATATATATATATATATGAGGGCTTCCAGAAATGGTGGTTCCCCAATCAATAGCTGGATGGTGTATAATGGAACATCCTAATCTCACATGGATGAGAACCGGGGGTATGCCCATTTCAGGAAACCTCCATATTTGCAACAATTGGTGGAGAAGAAACTCTACAGCAAAAACCTGCAGTGTTAAGAGTCAAAGTAACAAACAGCCTGGATGATGTGGGAAACACCACCTGTGAAGCCGTGTGGTTTCATTGGTGTTTACACCCAAAAGCCAGCTCTTAAATCAGATTATCATGAAAATCCAATGGTTCACCTGTTCACCTTGTGCTTTTTTTATGCCTACCAAAACATATTAAAACATGTACCGTCCAACCCCGACACAATCATCATCATCATCATCATCATCATGATCATCATCATCACCATCATCATCATATCATCATCATCATCATCATCATCACCGTCAAAATCACCATCATCATCATCATCATCATCACCAGTGTCAACTCATGTGAAATGTGTTAATACCATCATTTTTTATGTCTTATATTCATGTGGGATCAAAAATCCCTTATAGAGATAAGTTGATGTTATTCCTTATTCAATATATTTGCCAAAAAGGGGTGGTGGATTGTTGATCCCTTATGAAGATAAGTTGATGCGATTACACCATTCAACATATTTGTCATAGGGAGTGGCGGATGTTTGATCCTACATGAATATAAGACATAAACGTTGACGGTATTACCCCATTTCACATGAGTTGACACCGGTGAAGATGATGATGATGATGACGATGATGATGATGATGACAATGATGGTGATGACAACGATGACAATGATGACGATGACGATGATGATGATGATCATGATGATGATGATGATGATATTGAACATCCACCGACATGGCATCTCAAACATACGCAACCCTTCTGCGATTCCGGCGCGGAGCAACTTTCAGGGTTGCACCGAACATGGAATATATTAAGATTGTCCAATACCAGCCATGTCTGAGCCAGAGTGATCCCTGTCACGGTGAGGTTTTAGAGTTCCATGATCTTTGCTACCTGGCCGTGAACACCATTGCCGGCACCCCAGGGCCAGAGGGGGCCACAGTTATGGCCCAACTAACAGTTATAACTGGGATTAACTAACTCCTATAACTAGTTGAAATATATTTATATATATATGTATATATCATGAAATACTCCCCGTTATAACTGTTAGGTGGGATAACTGCAGATGCAGGTAATGATTTCCGCGTGGAAACGCTAGCGAGAATGATGGCTGGTGAAAGCTGTTCAGGAGCTAAAGAACTCACTTGGATGGGTAAATGGATGTTCATCCCCCTAAAAATTGTTTTCATATAATATGTCAGGCATTTACGGTAGTATTTGTAGGTATTGATCCATAGCAACTTGAATCTATGTAAAAACACTTCAGAATCCAGTTTGACGTTACGGTTTTACAGCATAATACGAGTGACGGACGCCTCGTTTCGAGGTCGAATTCCTTGGCATGAACCATACTGCCGCCTTCCTCATTGGCAACTCTGTGGGGTATGACCCCAGGACCTGTTTGGATGGTTTACTGTGAGGCATCGAAGAGCTGGGGAATATATACGTTTTTTTTCAAGAAAATAATGGGAACTATATCTGTTTTTGTTGAACCAACAATATTGGTTTGATAATGAATTTGTTGTTTTGGTTGTTGATGATGATGTTGATGATGAAGATGATGGAGGTGATGATTTGTGAGAATGTTGATGATGCGTATCATATATGATCATGTATTCTCATGTTTTCATATTTGATCACATCTTTTGATACTTACTTTTAGTTTATTATTTCATTTTGTTGTTGTTGTTATCCAATTGTGCTTGCTGGAGGTTCTGGTTCAATACGGTCTCTGGCTGAATTAGGTCACTGTAAAATCACCGCACCTCACTGGAATGGCTGCTGGATTGAGGTATCCCAAAACACTGACGGCTGCTGAATGGTACCCTAGGGTAAACGTTTACAATTCGATGTGGAAAACCCATGGGAAAACCATGGAAAACCCCATGGATTTCCTAGGAGCATGATCAATAAATGGTGTTCGTTTCCACATCTATATTAGTTTACCCGGGTACCTACCTCATGGTTTGTCTGAAAAAAGGTACCCCTAAATCCATTGATTCATCATGTGCAACATAAAGAAAACACAAATCAGGCACATGAACAAAAGCACAATCCTGGTGGTTTGGAACATGAATTCTATGACTTTCCATTCAGTTGGGAATGTCATCATCCCAACTGACGAACTCATATTTTTCAGAGGGGTAGGTCAACCACCAACCACCCAAAAATAATTCGCAAAGTTTCAGGAGTTTCAACACGTTCAACGGTCCGTTGGCCTTCATTGCAGTGCCTTGGACGAAACTGGGATGAGTTGTGGGCTGTGACAATAAAAGAACACCTATAATGTGGGTAAAACAATGTCATAAACCACCCATTTGGGAATGGTTTATACCACCTATAAAAATGGTGATTTGGGGGATGGTTTCTTATTGTTTTAACGACATTACTTATATCTACCCTCTGGTAAATTTAATGTAGCGTAACAAACATGATGAATTTCCATAGCTATGCGAGCTTACCAGAGGAACTTAGGGACTACTTATTATTACTTAGTTATACTTGTAATCAATTGGGCTGATCTCTTTGAACACCGTTGCAAGATGTCCCGTAGTTTCACTGGAATTCCGACCAAAACCAAGATGACATATCACTACAGTCCACTGCAAAGTACATGTATTTCAACCAATCAACATATATGGCGAGGTGGCTGAACACATGTTTTCCACAGTTTGGTTCACATCTTCATGGCTCAAGACATGGTTTTGTCATAGCTTACCCCCGGAAATTCCAAATGGACTTTCGTCAGTTCCCATGTATGGCCATTCGGCCATAACACCCTATTGATGCAGACATTTGCAGATGGCATGGCCCAATGGCCCTCTACCAGTTATGGATGTCACTAAGTCAACCCACTTCTGGAATGATAACCCCACGTGTAACCAGAAAAGCAACTGACTTTAGGGCTTTTAATCGAAGGCAGATCGTGACATATCGCAAGACCTCTGAGGTCTTCGTGCTGAATGATGTGATCTACTATCCTTTCCATTTGGTGGCACATAGGCCACCATTCAACGACAAAAACGGGCGGAGTGGTTTGGAATCATAACTAGAAGGTGGTGCCGCAAAACGTTATTTACGCCAATGTTTAGGGTTTATGGTAGACATATCAGATATTATCATATAATTTTCTGGGGTCTTTGACGACCAACTCATAACATGGGGGTCAAGAAATTGTAAACATTGCTAGCTTTTTTCAACATGGCCGGTCGAGAAAAATCCAACTATGATGCACTGGGGGTCAACTTTCTACTTGGCACTGCTGGAGATAAGATTGAGTAGGAGAGAGTTCCTTGTGAATTTGTGACGCATTTTTCTTTTGAAAGGGATGATATGAGACAAAATTGTACTTCGTAACTACATCCATGGATGATAAGGAATATGATACAATTCAGAATGACTGATGCCATATACTTGGAAGGCAGTTTGCAAGAAGCTATAGACAGTGTACATGCCTTCTATGTAAATGTTACCGAATTTGTTGGTGTTTTGGTGCTTCTATAGGCAATTCATTGTGATTTGTGCGTTCGTCCTTGTTTTGATGGACGATCCGACACGACAAAAAAAATCTCTGGGATGGGTTGGTTCACCAAGCACGACTTCCGGGAAGATCATTTTCAAAATCTTGGGGAATCCTCCAAACAAATGTTCAATTCAATCGCTGATTTTTTTTTTCACCTGAGCCTAGTTTACTCAAGAGTTAAAACCCGAAATGCCAGTGATTTTCATGGTTGCTTACATGGTTATAAATGGGGTTATAAACAATTTTCATGGTGCTATTTCACTGACATCCATAACTGGTATTTTGATGTATTTTGGACCATAACTGCACAAACCGGTCACCATTCAGCAGATTTCCTGATCTCCCAAGCAGTGGAGGCGCATCTTCTATCCCTACTGCCATAAGCAGCATCATCGACAGCCTCTGAGCGTGGCAATGAGGGGAGGTGGGGTACCCCCCAAGTTATAACCATGGTGAAATAACCCCCATAAGTTGGGATATAACCTCTATGGTGAAATATATCCACTTATAACTGGAAGTGCACTTCCTGCTATAAGCTGGTTTATGACCCCCCATTAAGTACTTCGATATATCTACCATAAACCCTAGTTATTGGAGTTGTCAACCAACTTAGCTATCGTTTTTGGGCACCACAGTGAAAGATAGAGTACCCCGGTAAGCAGTGGTTCATTGTCATATTCCGCATCAAACAATTAATGGTCATTGTTTCAGGACATACCACATTTCTGCGCGAAGCCATATGTTCTTCAGAACACATGTTTTTTTGATGGATTGGTTTAAGGGAAAATTTCCAGGGCAGCCCCATGATCTTAATGGGAAAAACACCCTGGTTTCTGGTTAAGATTTCTCTTATTAAACCAATCCATTGACTATAGCTGGCTTGTAACCTAATTTGAGTGATGTATAACCTGAGTTGCAGGAGGTATTTCATCCCATTTGTAACTGTTTCTTGGGCCGTAACTGTATGGATGGGATTCTACAGGTCATGACGTAACCAGGTCGTGACCCAAAAATAACGCCTTCCTAGAAATGTAAAGAATGGCCTAGAGTTATGGCCCAGAAAACAGTTATTAAACTGGGAGTATTTCATGATATATAGCCTATGTTATAGGAGTTATCCCAGTTATAACTGTTAGTTGGGCCATAACTGTGATGGAACCTTCAGGCTTAAAATGGCGCAACGCCAAGCATTTTAGTGCCTTCCTGGACCATTCATTCCTATCCGAGGGGATCCCTTACCGTACCCATGTGTCGTGAAATCGGGATGTTTGTTGCTGACACTGGTAAACATGACCAGGCTAATATGTTATATACACTGCACATGTTTGTATCAGTTAAATCATCATGTCTTGTCTTGGTTTACTAGCCTTCATCGACCCATAGATGTGATATTAGATACGGGTATTTATATAGTATTTACCTGACATTGTTTTTTCCTGCTTATATACTGTAAACAATTTCTGGGTAAATTATTATAACGACCTCACTGCCACCTCACTGGAATCATGGTTAAGATTCGGGGCATCATCCCAAAATGGCCGAACTATTCAGGTTAGTGAATCATTATAAATTTGTCCAGATATACAATGTACATATATAAGTACATATATAGAAGTATCTGTATATATAAGAAATATATACAAGTATATATATATATATACAGGTTCATGATTTTTTGGAAGCTATAAAACCCCTCTGAAAAAATGGACGATCTTCGTCAAGGTTCGTGCCCTTCCGCGGCTATGCGGATGCTGCCAACCAGCATCCACTGGAACAGATGGTGGGGGAAACCTGGCGGTATATTGTATACTCCCAATAGTAAGCCTCAATTGGATATGGCTTGGGATGTTTTATCATGTTTCATCGTTGGGTTTACCACATTAAGGAAACATGTGGATTAAGCAAGAACAAATGTGGATATTGGATTAAACAACATGGGCGTTATCTGTGGATGTCTAACATAATATAGCCATCGTGTTGGAACATACCCCAGTTTCCAGTTTTTCTCACCACGACGAATCGCCAATTCTGGCAACATTTGGCCTGTGGGGCCCCCAAAGTTTGGTTTCGTAATTGGTTTCTGTCCACCCCATCCCATGAACTATAGTCATCTATAGTCTATAGTCCTTACATGTTATAACTACGTAGAACTACCACATGTCCAAGTCTGGTCAGGGTTGGTTTATGTCCCTTCTAATTATAACTACCGTAAACCACCATGAACCCAACAGTTCGTCAAGCAACTCAGCGATTCCCTTCAAGGGGGGCCCAGAATGGCCCAGCTTCCTGCATGACCCAAGCCGTCATTGAGGTCATTGAGGTCACACTTCTGGCAGAAATGATTTATGGTTATATTTGATTGACCCTATTTTAATGCTTGGAAATGCATATAATGCTAAAAACCATGGCTTTGTCATTGCCATGAAATCAGCGCAGTGAAAATGGCGTGCTTTGCCCGTGTTATGACTGGGCCTTTTTTCCCATCCCAGTGAAACTCAGTGGAGATGTGAACAATGATCCAGATGATTTAGGTTCAGATTTTGATACATTTAGATTCCTGGTTGGTGGTTTGGAAGATTTGTTTTTCATTATATCTATATATATATATTTGGAATAATCATCCCAACTGACTAATATTTTTCAGGGGTTGAAACCACAAACCAGATTCAGATGATGATGATTTCCGGTGGTTATTACAACACGGCCATGGCTTAGCCCAGTGGGTCGCACGTTTTCTCGTCGATTTCGCCCAGTATGGTTTCGCCATTTGGATCGGCAGTCGTGGACCCAGCGGATCAGGCGGTGTACAGTTAAAGCCATAGAAACCAGTGGGACAACCATAGGAACACCAGGGGAAAATGGGCGAAATTTACCACTTAATTATTTTTGATGACTATTTTTAGGTGATCAGGAACCATAAATCTGACATCCAGACCTGGTTATTTTCGGGCCAAAACGGCCAATGGCACATTCGGGCCACAACTGGGCATCATCCCAACAGGTACCACAGGTCCCTTCGCATATCTTAACGGAATAATTATCATGATTAGGATTCGGGGAATCATCCCAAAATGGCCGAACTATTCAGGTGAGTGAATTATGATATTTTACCATATTTTACCCAGATGTTTTTTAATTTTTGGGAAACATCCTTCATCCGACTGACGTTCTGAGTGCTTTGGGATACCCGTTCTGACCGGACGTCCATCATCTCAGGATATCTCAAGAGATCTCAATAGTTTTTTTAGACTCTTTAAAGAACTTAAACCATTCTGAAGCAGAGGTTGTAAAATTCCTTGTGCACTTTGACCCTGGTGGTTACCGTGTGAATCCATTGGTATATATGTGGTTCCATGTACTGCCGTATCCACAGTATGTTATATGTGGATATATGTGTAAATTGATTACTGTAATTATATACTTATTATATATATAACTATAAATGTGTCCACACTTGGCTGATTCTGTGGATACATCTGGTTCGACTGTTCGTCGACTTAGACATAGCGGTGCGATGGCCTTGAGGCCTATGGATGATCTCGAAACTCCTGGGTTTGCATGCAGCCACTGCTTGGTTTGGGCCCTGGCCTGGGGATCTGGGTTAACTTGGAAGAACCAGTGCATTCCACATCTCAACAAAGATCCTCCATCGACAGGTATCGACAGGTCCTCAAGGTCCCAGCTGGTTGCTACTCCCCAAATTCTGGCCGCCAGGGGCTTTTTGCCCGCTTTTTGGGGCATACAGTCCCCAGTCCCAGCCTCTCCATCAATGGGATTGATTGCATTTAGTTTAATTACTGTAGATGTGTTCCAATGTGCTATACGGCTATACTCCTATACTACATATTGTAACGCGTGGTTTAGCATGTTTTTGTGTATGTATTTGATACTATTTTGGTTTAGTTTAGATGTATGGTATAGTATAATTATAAAACATTTACGGCTAAAATGAACTCAATGTAGATTAATAAACCGACCGTAGACCATGTTCTGAGAAATCATCCCAGTAATGTCAACCCCCGAATTGATAACCGCTTGGGCTGATTCATTGGGGGATGCCATTTTCAATATAAACTGTAGTCACTTATCACTATGTAGGGGTCCTCCCCCAACTCATCATGGATTAAGCCCAATTTTATCTCATTGAATCTCCACAATGCTGGTTATATCTTCAGAATATTCCCAGAATCTCCCCATCTATGATATCATAAAACTCTTTCCGGGAATTTTCCATATTCCATAATATTCTCATAATCTCCCAGAAAATGTTTACATCATGTTACATCCACGCTGCCATCCGGTAATCAAACGTGGCAATAGAAAATCCATCATTTATAGATGATTTACCTATTAAAACCTCCATTTATAGGGGATTTTCCATTGCCACGTTTGATTACCAGAGGGTATATCCCTCTATATTCATAAGCCCTGTTCTATTCATCCCGGGTTTGAAAAAGGTTGGGCACTTTGTCCTGGGCCGTCTTGAACATCTGCAACCATTTGCCCTTCGACACTCAGATCCACCTGCCCCTGCCGTGCGCGGCCTAAGGGTTGAAGGTTGGTGATGGGTTGCTAGAGTTAAAGCCAAAAAAACGCCAGTTATAAACGGTGAATGGAGCTATCATGAACCATAAATATGGTTGTAACTGGCTCAGAGCTGGTAAAGGGCCATAACTGTAGGGTATTTTTGTGAAAGTTGGGAAATACCACCGGGAGTGGCGAAAAAAAACCCTGGGATTTGTTTGAAAATTCACTGAAATCGAGGAAACTTGACCAAACATTATGGCAATTGTGTCATGGATGATGAGACCAGAGCTGATATTCAACCTTCTTCGCTTGCCAAACTCAAACGTGGTGTGCATATCATGGCTACAAAAACGCGACGTCTGACTGCTCGCACAGCCAGATGGGAGCAGTTAACTGGAGCTATGGGTATCGGTATTCCATGGTATTCCCCGAATGGGGAGCGAGTTAAGAAGCTATGAATTCAGAGTTTCCCAACCAGATAGATGGACATCATCATTTTTTGGAGAGGAGTTTCTGTTCCAAGCTGTTTTCTGGCTAGATGAGTCAATGTTCTAAAAGGGACTGGACATTCCTTAGTTACTTGGGATTGCAAGAGATGTCATAAGTTAGTTCGAATCAAATCAATGAGAAATGTCAATAACACTCTCACAAGTGCAAGAAGCTATTTTCAGATCCTGAAATATAACCCTTCTGAAATATGTAAAAACTGATAAATCCTCTGAACATTGATATTCAGACAGGCTGATTATCATATGATACATATGTGCCATGGTCAAAAAAGTTGATTCCATACTTTGATACCAATCATGTTATCCCATCTTTTGACCATGAAACATATGTTATCAATTGTTATCATAACCTGGGTTTGCTGCAGGATTTCACAAGCATCCACAGTATCAAAAGCGTATAGTCAGATACAGAGGTTTCCTAAGTCATGGGCGTACCCAAGTTATCATTCATTTTTTGGGTGATTTTCCATGAATAAAACTTCCATGAATAGGGATACCCCCATGACTTTGAGAAACGCCCCCCATCCTTGGCCAGGTACCCTGCATTGCCAAAGGATCACAACACGCCAGGGACTCAGGTCATCGTCGGACGAATGAACGCTAAGGATATCGTCTCTTTGGAAGTCAGAGTATGTGGATTTTGTTTATAGAGTTAAAGCCTTTTACCAGTTCTGACTGACTTATAACTGGTAAAGGGCCATAAGTGTAGCAAGCCTATTTGAACAGCAACCCTCAATGCTCCATGGCGCTGGAAATTTACCAGTATTCACTCAACAATGAACACATGTACTGCATATATATATATATATATGCAAATATATGAGCATATAGGAACCCCAAACTATTTTGGGAAATTCGTCTATGAAACCGTGTTCTGCCATCTTGAGGGAAACTCTTGAAATCAGACGGAACTAAAGCGTCTTGGCAACCCCCAGACGGAAGATGTTGGAAACCCTGGAGATATGAGGTGAATAATATCATTCATACAATCCTGGAATCACGGTTCGATCTTTTTCATTCTTTTTCGGGGTTAATATATGATCAAACCTTGTTAAAGATGGTATTTATGGAATGTTGATGGGTGACTTACCCTCCAGTCATCAAAGATGGCTGGTTGGGAAATGTCATAAATGGGCATGTGAATAGTAACATCATCGGACTACAGGGGATTTTCCGGAAATCCCTGTTTGATTGCCAGAGGATAGTGACCTTGTGACGGTTGTCTTCTTTTGCCATTTTGATAGAGGAAGATACTATTCTACACATGAACGTTTGATAGAATTATAAACCCTGTTGGTTAAAAACCTCGGGTTAAACCTCAAACATAGTGATAAATCATATTAAATGCCAAATTCAAATTCATACCCCTATCAGTAAACTGTCAGGCTATTCATCCGGGAGCAACATTAGGAAAATATATCAGAAACTATAGGGATCCCACTTAGATGTTGCCAGAATTAGTTAAGTGCTTGGTAGCTGGGGTACATCCTGTACAGCCCACAGTTGTTTGAGGGCTGAAACAACCAAACCATAGCAACATCTACGCAATCCTATTGTGAATTGGCAACGATATCTTGCGGTCCATGCAAAAAAGACGAAGAAGCAAGATCCACACCGTAGATATTGGATCTTACTGGATTCTATTATTGCCATCTGTTGGGGAAGTCACTCAAACATTACCACCACTTTCTGCTGGTTCGAATCCCCACTTGGTCGATGAATCCCAACGCCTTCCGCGTGGAATTCAAGGCACCACCGTTTTCCAAACACCAACTTCGCCACCCTTAGCACAATGACGGACCGCTCGAGGGTTTGTTTTTTTTTAATGTGGTCAAGGGAGTGTGGAGGTGAAAGGTACTTGAATCTTTGGAAATTCTCCTCGAAATGCATACCTACCAGCTATGTATGACCCAAAAATTGGACACCACCTTGTATCTATAGTCATACAATATAAATATAAAAAAATATATATATATAGATAATTATATATATATATGCTACAACTCTGGTGACAGCCCAGTTGTAAGTTACTGTAATAGAAATAATATGTGATCCATATTGGGATAGTGGATCTATATGGGGATATGAAGGATATGTATATATATATATATATATGTATACGGATGGGATATACATATATATATATATACACTTATATATATATATATATTATATATATATGCATACATGCATACACATTATTCCTGTGTATGTATATATATATATAATGGTTATGAGATGGGATCTAATGGGATATAAATACAAACAACAAGATGGGATTTATGATTTTCAGGAAGTCTAACGACCTCATAACGCCCTCATATCGCGACACCGCTTCTGGGATGCTAAGGATTGGGGTATCTGGTAATGACCAACAGTTCGCTATTGAAAATGGCAATAGAAATAGTGGATTTACCCAGTGAAAATGGTGACTTTCCATAGTTATGTTAGTTTACCAGAGGGTATTTCAACATAGTTTTGTTTCAGATTGGTGAATGACTATAATCCAGATCTATTTGATCTTTATCTATGTGTCTTTTACTGGATTTTCAATCTATTCGGACAAGAATCATGACAATCAGAGACTCTGAGACTTGGAGATACGGCACAATCGCTTAAACACATCGCATTAGATGCTTCCCAATTCTCCTTGGATGTGTATAACACATTTGTTTCCTGTCCAATCGCAACGGGATTGTTTTGTTTCTCAAACCAGCCATGACAAATTCTGGATTGCAACTAAGTGTTGTCTAGTTACATCTCATTTGTTAGTATGTTACCCCCATGTTTGCCAAATAAATCCCATTCACTCCGCCCCTTCGCCACCCTAAACCCTTCAGGACCGTATGTTCGGCACCTTCCGGCCGTGCGCTGGGCTGTTACACACTGTGGCGCGGGGAGAGATATGAGGTGAATTGATCAATGGTACAAGGTGGGCGCCCCCTTTACGAAACCAGAGGAAATTGATGGACATTGGTGATTTATGCAACAAAATGGGGACTTAGTGGGACTTATAGCTAGTGCCACCCCCTTCCGTTATGTTTCTTGGTTTATCAACTTCACTAAAAAAGTTATAACCACCAGAAACTCTAGTTAACCTAGTTATGTTCACCTATTTGGCTTAAGTATGGTGCCTCATATTGTAAGGACTGGGGTACCTATAACTATCAATGTTTTTTTGAATTATGCGGATCTACATTTTTGGGGGATTACACATGATTGTAAATGATGTAAATGATTGTAGATAGTTCGTCATTCTGGGTTTATGTTATGATGTAGTTCAGGTTCGTGAATTAGTGCTTACTTTAAATTGCATATTTCTTTTGTACGATATGTAACATAAATTGATAATATATTATATCATATATATATATATATTAACATGTATATATATATATTGATATATGGTATTTTATCTACTTTCAACGCCTAAATGCGGCACAACAATCCCATCACAACTTGGTGCCTGGCTGCCTTTGGTTTTTTTTGCTGAGGTACAAAGCAGCTGGCAAGATCAGTGAGTCGGGGATCCCAGATCGATTGTGACTCCCGGCTTTTCATAGGCCTTGTGATAATGAACCTCATAGGGGGGGAACTAGGTAGTACTACAGGTAGTATACCAACTGGATATAGTGATTGGTTGTGCTTTTACAATAACCTCTGACCACAGAAACATGATTGGATTCGAGACAAGCATCAGCTTCCAACCGCAGGTTCGGCAGGGATTTTGGGCATGGGCTCGCGGCTTGTTTTTTTTTTTGTACTCCCCAAATGCTCCATGGTGCTGGAAATTAAGTCGGTGCCAACAACTCCAATAAGTCGGATTTGTTGGAGATACATTATTATATCAAACTAGTTTCTATGGTTCATAAACGAACTTATAACTGGCCGGTCACCGAGCACCGTAATTCCATATATATATACATACATGTAGAGGTGAAAAGTTCCAGTATCCCAAGAATAGTTCAAATGTACAGTAGATATACCAGACATGGAGCATATGGGCTCGTCTTTGTGTTCGCTCAGAGCTTCGGACTTTTGTTCGGCGCCCTTTGGCGCCGATTCCCAGGAGCAAGGAGGAGGAGGAGGTTCCCATTCTCAAAGAGGCAGGCAGCGCATTGGAGGATTTGAAGCTGGGGAATTTGGAGAGACAAACTGAAGAAGTTGGTGACTGCGATGCATTTTTTGACTTAGGACACTGGAAATATTGCAAGAACTTCCGGTGATTTCATGAATGTTTGGCCGCCAAAAAAACAAATTACTTTACTTCGAGTTATCCCCACCATGACATTTATACGTTTTGTTACTGGCAAATCTTCTGGCATTCTATCTGACATACCTTCTGGCATATTATCTGGTATTCTATCTGGCATATCTTCGGCATTCTACCTGGCATATCTTCTGCAATATGTTCTGGCATATCTTCTGGCACTCTATCTGGCATATCTTCTGGCATATCTTCTGACATTCTATCTGGCATTCTATCTGGCAAATCTTCTGGCGTTCTATCTGGCAACCATTCTGGCACTTTGTCTGGCATACCTTCTGGCATTCTATCTGACATTCTATCTGGCACTCTATTTGGCATATCTTCTGGCACTCTATTTGGCATATCTTCTGGCATTTTATCTGGCATATCTTCTGGCATTCTATCTGGCATATCTTCTGGCATTCTACCTGGCATATCTTCTGGCATATGTTCTGGCATATCTTCTGGCACTCTATCCGGCATATCTTCTGGCATATCTTCTGACATTCTATCTGGCATTCTATCTGGCAAATCTTCTGGCATTCTATCTGGCAAACATTCTGGCACTTTATCTGGCATACCTTCTGGCATTCTATCTGGCATACCTTCTGGCATTCTATCTGGCATATCTTCTGGCATTCTATCTGGCATTCTATCTGGCATAGCTTCTCGCATTCTACCTGGCATATCTTCTGGCAGATGTTCTGGCATATCTTCTGGCATTCCATCTGGCACTCTATCTGGCATATCTTCTGGCATTCTACCTGGCATATCTTCTGGCATATGTTCTGGCATATCTTCTGGCATTCCATCTGGCATTCTATCTGGCAAACATTCTGGCACTTTATCTGGCATATCTTCTGGCATTCTATCTGACATTTGATCTGGCATTCTATCTGGCATTCTATCTGGCATATCTTCTAACATTCTATCTGGCATATCTTGTGGCACTCTATTTGGCATATCTTATGGCATTTTATCTGGCATATCTTCTGACATTCTATCTGACATTCTATCTGGCGTATCTTCTGGCATTCTATCTGGCCGTTGAGGTCCAGCGGTGCTCACTGAGCTGGGAAGGTCCCAGGTTGAGGTCCAGCGGTGCGCACTGAGCTGGGAAGGTCCCAGGTTGAGGTCCAGCGGTGCGCACTGAGCTGGGAAGGTCCCAGGTTGAGGTCCAGCGGTGCGCGCTGAGCTGGGAAGGTCCCAGGTTAGGTCCAGCAGTGCGCACTGAGCTGGGAAGGTCCCAGGTTGAGGTCCAGCGGTGCGCACTGAGCTGGGAAGGTCCCAGGTTGAGGTCCAGCGGTGCGCACTGCGCTGGGAAGGTCCCAGGTTGAGGTCCAGCGGTGCGCACTGAGCTGGGAAGGTCCCAGGTTAGGTCCAGCAGTGCGCACTGAGCTGGGAAGGTCCCAGGTTGAGGTCCAGCGGTGCGCACTGAGCTGGGAAGGTCCCAGGTTGAGGTCCAGCAGTGCGCACTGAGCTGGGAAGGTCCCAGGTTGAGGTCCAGCAGTGCGCACTGATCTCGGAAGTTGGCGAAGAGCTTGGCGAAGAGTTGGCAAGGCGGAAGTGGAGGTGGAAGTTGATGCAGACATGGTCGAGGAGAAACTGGAGGAGGAGGCGGAGGAGGAGGAGGAGAAGGAGGAGGACAACAGCTCTGATAAAATCTAACAACCCTCACCTGGCAGGTGGGGAAAAAAGGGCAGGCTTATGTATAAGGGCTTAAAAGTCAAATAGTATGTGAAAATTGCCGGAGGTTGTGCCTAGTGAATCCTGATGATGATATATAGCAAAATATTGCAACAAAAGATATCCATAGCAATATAGAATAACTATCTGTAGTGTAGTTGTGATTGGCGAAGCTACGATGGCTCCAGATGGTGACACTGTCAGCAGTGAATCAGGGAGGAATTCCGGCGATGTTTGAGTGGTTGTCTTAGGCAAAAAAAATGCAAGGATTTCTTCCGGAACTATGTGGGTATTGACACTGGGTTTTTAAAATTAAGTTGATATTGAACAGAAGGGCATGTGGATGTAGCCAATGATTGGCAGGGTTTCGCACTGAATACATCCTTTAGCCGCCATTCTTTGCCAGTCGGGTCTTGTGGCCCCAGTTGCAGTCCTGAGCAACTGATGCTTCAAGTACATGTCTCGTTCCCAAGCGGTTCCGGTGAGACTCTGGCGCTTCCCCCAAACTCTACAGTGGGGGACTTGAAAGTTCTGGTCCAGAAGACATTCAGACAAGGATTCCTCAGGCTTGTCACAGAGAAGGGACATGTCCTGGCTAATCATGAGGACTCTTTGCTTGCTGCTGGAATTCAAGAAGGGATGCACTTAACGGTTGTCGCACAAAAGCCCAAAGTGGCAGCAACATCACAAGCTTTTGCAGTGTGGTGCTGCGGAGGTGACAGGATTGCGACCTGGGGCGAACAATGTTATGGTGGTGACAGCTCTGCAGTTCAAGATCACCTCAAGAATGTCCAGCAGGTGCAAGGCACGATGGGGGCTTTTGCTGCCATCTTAGCAGATGGATCCGTCGTTACCTGGGGTGATCGAAACTCTGGTGGTGACAGCTCTGCAGTGCAAGATCAGCTCAAGAATGTCCAGCAGATTCAGGCCACAGGATCGGCTTTTGCTGCCATCTTAGCAGATGGATCCGTCATTACCTGGGGTAATCAAAACTTTGGTGGCGACAGCTCTACAGTTCAAGATCAGCTCAAGAATGTCCAGCAGGTGCAAGGCACACGCATGGCTTTTGCTGCCATATTAGCAGACGGATCCGTCATTACCTGGAGCCATCCATTCTATGGAGGTCACAGCTCTGCAGTTCAAGATCAGCTCAAGAATGTCCAGCAGGTGCAAGGCACAAGCATGGCTTTTGCTGCCATCTTAGCAGATGGATCCGTCGTTACCTGGGGCCATGCAAACTCTGGTGGTGACAGCTCTGCAGTTCAAGATCAGCTCAAAAATGTCCAGCAGGTGCGACGCACAAGCATGGCTTTTGCTGCCATCTTAGCAGATGGATCCGTCGTTGCCTGGGGCGAACAATGTTATGGTGGTGACAGCTCTGCAGTTCAAGATCACCTCAAGAATGTCCAGCAGGTGCAAGGCACGATGGGGGCTTTTGCTGCCATCTTAGCAGATGGATCCGTCGTTACCTGGGGTGATCGAAACTCTGGTGGTGACAGCTCTGCAGTTCAAGATCAGCTCAAGAATGTCCAGCAGATTCAGGCCACAGGAACGGCTTTTGCTGCTATCTTAGCAGATGGATCCGTCATTACCTGGGGCCATCCGATCTCTGGTGGTGACAGTTCTGCAGTTCAAGATCAGCTCAAACATGTGGAACATGTTGAGAGCAGTAGCGCTGGGACTGCATTCGCCGCGATCTTGGCTGATAAGTCAGTCGTTACCTGGGGTGCTCCAGGTTTCGGTGGCGACAGCTCTGCAATTCAGCTGCAGCTCCAATATTTCTAGCCATTTTTAGCTCTATTGCCCTTGTTGAGCAGCGTCAGAAATTTAAATCCTATTGTTTTTTTGTTGTATAGAATTCGAGTTCTATGGAGTCCTACTGAAAAGGGTGGCCATTGCAATCCACTATTGCTACACCTATAAACCAACCAAAAAGACCAGTTCGTGACACCAGTTTTTTGCCGCTGCTCACATGTAGCAGAATGACCCGCAAAGGAATCGCTGCGCCTGCAATATCCTTTTCCGACTGGTTGGTGTTGGTCGATAGACAAAGCCCTTTTAGACAGATTGATGTAAATGTGGGTTTCTTAAGACGAGGGACTCCCAAGTCAGCATGGGTTTACTGAGTACTTTCAATACTCAGTCATGGGGTAATGTGGTATAATGACTTGGATGATTTGGGGGTAACCACATGATTTTGGGAAACCTCCAAATGGTGTACCAAACCCATCAGGGGTCCATTTATTTTCCACGGGTGAAACATCCTTTCAGATCCTTTCAGTCTAATGGTGTAAACACTGCGGGAATCATCCCAACACATATAATCATATACAGAACCATATACATATATATAATATATATATATACAATATATATATATTATGTAAAGAATATATATATATGTATACAAATATATATATATATATATATATGTATATATATATGTATGTATATATTATATCGTTTGTGAAAGATTTTCACTAACTAGCGCGCCGCTTTTCCAGGGATTGGTGTTGCGGTTTCTGAACTGTTGAATGAATGTGAACCCTCATCACCCATCAGCCAACCAACCACAAAAAGTATGGGAGTGTCATGCCCGTCCTGATCTTTGATTGGTTGTAGTGTGCTACCATTAAACAAGTTATGTTCAAACACATCCTTATAATATGTGCGGTCTTCCAAAAATATAGGATACACCAAAGAGTTTCGAACATCAGAATTTTGTGGATAACAGTGTAACTGTACAACCATAGTTGGGTTATATCCCAGTATGGTGGTTAGTAGCATGGTTATACCTCCATCCAGTAGTACTCCCAACTGCACCCCTTAAGGTCTTGCAACTTGGTTCCTGGGGATGACCACTCCCCGAACGAAAGGACCTCATTGTGGCGATGGGATCAAAACCACTTACCATCCTTGTTGCAGTTATAGACCTTAAGAATTATACCCTCTGGTTATTACTAGCATAGCCATGGAAAATGGCCCATTTATAGAGGTTTACCTATTAAAAATGGTGATTTTCCATGGCTATGTCAAATAACCAGATGGTAACTGGGATTATAATGATATACAATCTTAGTTTTAGGAGTTAGTTCATCCCATCTACACTGTCAAGGGCCATAACTGTCACAGCCATTTCTATCCACTGGTGAGGCAGCGCTCCGGAGCGGCTAGGTGTTTTCATCTGTTTTCGTTGCAGCCACGGATCGAGTTGTAGCCACGGGATAGAACAAACTCAACCACATGATAGTTTGTTCACATCCATCTATAGTAACCCCCCAAAATAGATAGAACAAGTAATATTTATCACTACTTTCCTGGGACTTTATGTTTCCTATCTTTCCCGGGGCTGGTTCTTTGTCAATTTTTCCATTTGCCATCCTAGCCCTGATCCCCCAGGACCTGGGGTGATCTATAAGCCCCACAGTTAAAGCCTTATACCAGTGATAAATTGTTATAAAATGTTATACTTGGTGTTATAACTGACCTATTTCTGTAACTGGTAGTTCGGGCCATAACTGCAAAAAATCCATGTGGAATCCATCGGAACTTCGGATTTCACATCTCTCAAAGTAAATTTTGGTGAGTGAAATCCACCCTTTTTCGTTGTTTCTCCATGTTCAACGTTGCTGATCGCTCCTTGGTGACATCGCTTAGCTTTGCGAAGGCCGTGCCTTCGCAGTGGTCTGTCATTAGCTCCTTGTGCTCAGAGCGTCGGTGCCAGGATTTACGTCGATATTTACACAACAATAGGTCAGATGGATTCCAGATGTATTTATCCCATTTATCCATGAAATGATATTTAACACCAGATGAAAATATAGGTCTTTAATATCCATTATACCAGTATAAGGTCAGTAATAGGTCAGTTTAAACCCCATTTATCACCCCTTTCTGGGATATTTGCAGTCATGCATATGGAGGTTTCCACAAAAGGGGATACTCCAAAGTGGATGGTTTGAATTGGAAATTCTTATTAAAATGGATGATTTGGGGGTAGCTCTATTTATGGAAATCCCCATATAATGGCTTAGCCATAATGGGGAGTTAACAACTATTAATGGGAACAGACATAAGAACATATATAATAGTAACAATGGGCCCCAGATCGTTAGCGTTCAGTTGGTGAACATGATTATGTTATGACAATAGTAGATGATACGCAAATAGTTTTACCCTTTGGTAAACTAACATGACTATGGAACATCATCATTATTAATGGGTAAATCAACTATAAATGGGCCACTTTCAGTAGCAAACTGTTAAATTACCAGAGGGTATTTAGATGGGGCCCCGATAAACCAACACACATAACTGTGGTCTATCCCATGGGATAGATTATATGGATAGTATGGAAATGTGGGATTTTTGGAAAATGTTCCCCAAACATTTTGCAAAGGGCAACGGTTGGGTCTACCGTCCGTTTAGGACTGATAAGCTGGTGAAGAATGATAAACCAAAGGATAGGGTACACTGTTGTTCAGACCCATGGGTCACCCTTTCTGCGCGGAAGAATGATGCTTTCCACAAAAAGTGCTAGTTTGAACGCTTCTGTGCGTTCATTTTGTTGAGGTCTTGTTCAACAGCATCTGAAATGATGGTTCAAGATGGTGAAAGCGAGAATTAGGGTGAGTTTGTTTTTAATGGGTTATTTTCCATAGCTATGTTGAATTAGCAGATGGTATTTAGAAAAAAACGCAGTTTACCTGATTCTCGTTTGTTCTTTCAGTCATGTTCTTATTTTCTCCATCTTTATATATATATATATATGGCAGGGTGGACGCATTCATCGTTTTTTTCGGGGTTGAATCACCAACTGGGTCGAAATTGGGAGGGGAGATCCAGAGGAAGCTTGTTTCTTGGTGAAACACGGTGAAGATGTTAATGTCAAAAAATCTTCCACCAATCCCTTGAATTTGCCGTAAAATATCAGTAGTCGAATGAAGTTTTGAAGTCAAACTTCCGACAATATGGACAGAT